ATGACAGAAAAACAATGGTAATCAAGTAGAGATGATGACTTACATGGGTGGGTCGTCGATCAGTGGCGGCAGGAACTGGAATGTCTGGATTACCAGTCACAGACTCAGATGCGCAGATGGGTCAATTGATGGTGAGGGATCTGCATCAAACAGACCATCAGAAATTGACGAGGGTTCGGGACCTGCAGAAGGATGTGAGAAATCTATAATAAAGAATGAGGACTCTGACTGTAAGGGAATGAAAATTTAGACTCAGAGAAAAACAACTTATGCTCCCAAAATGTAACATCACGAAAAATACACAGACGATTCAACATAATATCCAACATCGATAACCTTTGTGTTCTATCCCATATCCTAGAAAACAACATAAACGGGTGTGTGGCTCTAGTTTGTTTCGTTCATGAGGAAAAAGATGAACAAAGCTGACACAACCAAAATGATGAAATTGAAAGTAATCATGTACCTAGCGGAAGAGTCTCTCATAAAGTGTGGTATCCTGAAGGACATATGAGGGTAAACGGTTAAAATTATAAACAGCAGTAAGAGCAGTCTCATCCCAAAATCAATCTGGACAAAAGGCAGATAATAGCATAGCTCGAACTGTGTTTAAAATATGACGATACTTGCACTCTTCCCTACCATTTTTCTGAGATATATAGGGACAAGAACGTTGTACAAGAGTATATTGGGTGGACAGAAAACTAAAAATGACAAAATTGTATCATATCAAATGTAGTTTGTAAGGTTTCGAGTTCATGAGGTTTTGATTTTGAGGAGCCGGAGATTTGGAATTCCATATTGTTTACCCAAGCTCTTGAACGAGGAGACAAACCAAGACAATGCACGGGAGTGATGCTTGCTGCAATGCTAGCTTTTGAAAAGTGATGACGCTTGAGGATTTCTTCACATTAACATAAATGAATAGTGGGCTTGCAAGCCTCTCCCGGGTCACGAAATTTGTTGCTGTCATGCAGAAAGAAAGTGATTGTGTTATAAAGAATACTAGCAAAGCTACTAGGCAATGGAATGCTGTTGCTAGTGCTATTGCTGCTACTGAGAACAAAAAGTGTCTAGAACTTTTCATTCAGCTAGATGGTTTTCAGTTTATTATTAAATGACTGAAAGAGGCACAAAAATTGGGGAATGACTCAAGTGATGACTTTGTAGAGGAATCAAGTACCGTGGTTGTTTCTGAACAAGATACGCTAAAAAATGGAATGAATGTTCATGATTACAACCTGCTGGTGATGAGAAAGTATCGGAAGGTCTGGTGCTTAAGAAGCAATGAAGTCTGTAATGGTACCCTGCTCACCTAAAGCTCTCTTGCAAAGCATACAATGGTTCACAATCCAGATTCAGTATCTCCTAAGCCGAGGAAAAATGACCAGAAGGGAAAAATCCCCATGGAGAGCGAAAAATAAGTGTTTGTTTCTTACTATGCCAAGAAACAAAGAAATTCCCCCCAAAAAAACAATAACATGTGGTGGAGCGACTATCAGTGGGATCACATGTCCAATCAGTATCAGAGAAACCAACAAGGACCAATGAAGAGTCAGCATACAAGTGAAGACCATGTGTTTAGCATAGTAGCATAGTGAACTGTCCGGGGGTTAGCCATGAACTTACTAACAACATGAATAAAATGAGCTATTTCAGTGCGAGTGACTGTCAAATAGATCAGGGATTCCAGCAACTACCGATAGCGAGAGGGATCCTCTAGTGGAGTGCCATTGAGAGGAGTAAGTCGGTAGTTTCCTTCGAGAGGGGTGGATGCAATCTGGCTATCAGTCAGGCCTAAACGAGATATGAGATCAGAGGCATATTTCGTCTGAGATAGATAGACACCATCCGAAGTGTCAGAAATCTCAAGGTTGAGAAAGTAGCGGAGCTGACCAAGACTCTTCATGTCAAAGTGTTGATGGAGGTAGGGTCTGTAGATCGGATATATTAGAGGTGTCGTCGCCAGTAATAACCATATCATCCACATTCAATAAGATAATGATGATCCCCGCAGAAGAATGACGAATAAAGAGAGCATAGTCATAAGAAGATGCAGAAAAACCATACTGAAGGAGCGCAACGTTAAACTCGGCAAACCAAGCTCGGGGTGCCTGTTTCAGTCTATAAAGGACACGGTGCAGCTTACACATCTTCCCTGAAAAATCTGAACTAGGTGTAGGAGTCATGTAGACTTCCTTAGACAAATCCCCATGAAAAAATGCATTCTTCACATCCAACTGTAATAGCTGTCAACGTCAAACAATTGCAACAACAAAGAGACAACGGACAGATGTAAAGTGAGCAACGGGAGCAAATTTCTCCTTATAATCAATACCGTACTCCTGCGAGAAACCCCTGACTACGAGGCGAGCCTTATAGTGCTTAATAGAATCATCAGAGTGAATTTTGATATTGTATTCCCACTTGCAGCTAATGAGTTTCTTGTCAGGTGGGAGATCTACAATATCTCACATGCCAGTCTTCTCAAAAGCCTGCAATGTTTCAGACATAGTGTTGCATTACAAGTGATCAAAGTTCGCCTCACGAAAGGTCTTGGGTTCATGGTGGAGATAAAATGACAGAATAGCAATGGTAATCAAATAGATGAGAGGGATGATGACTTACATGAGTGGGTCGTCGATCAGTGGCGGCAGGAACTGGAACGTTCAGAGGATCAGTCACAAACTCAGGAGGCGCAGATGATGGACATTGTCAGTGCAAAGAATCTGAATAGGACACGAGAACTGAGTTTGCACCATTTTCACGAATGCAGAGTAAATTGAGGCAAGTTCAGACTGGTTCCGCATAAAGTAAATCCAAGTAAAGCGAGAGTAATCATCAATAAAAAAAAACACAAAATAACAAAACCCAATAAGAGTAGCAACGTAAAAGAGCCCCTAAATGTCAGAATGTACTAACGAAAATGGTTTATCAGCAATAGACAAGTTATTCATAAAAGGTAAAGTTGGTTGTTTTCCAAGCTTACAATGCAAACAATCAAATGACTCAAAACAAACTGAACCTAAAACACCTGTATTTGCAAAAGACTTGAGTTTAGATAGGGAGTCACGACCAAGTATGAGGTGCCAGTGATAAGAAGATGAATGTGAGACTGCATGGAAATTGATGGTGTCTGGCGAGGTGCGAAGGTGTTCAAGCTCAAACAACCGGCCCGTCTCAAGTATCTGATCCGTCTACGTGTCCTGAACCTGCACACTAGAAGAAGAGAAAATTACAGTAATACCTTGCTCAACCAACCGACCGATAGGCGCAAAATTTAGGGTTAATTTGAGAATGACATAAACATTACAAAGTGAGGAGATGAGATATGTCTAATATGGGTAATGCGCATGGAGGTGCCATCAACGGTAAGTATATGAGGGGATGAAGTGACAAGTTAGGAGGAATATAAAAGACGATGATTATGTGTCATATGATTACAACAGACAAAATCAATATACCATGTGTTTTTACCCAATGTCAAGACTAAAGAAAAGTGGACCAATAGTGGTAGCAACAATGGCAGAGAAAGAAAAAGATGACTGACCAGCCTTCGCATTCTTGGGACAATGTGGACGGATATACCCTTTATGATGATAGTAGCGACACTTAACTTTAGAATAGTGAATAAAAATATGATCAGCATTCGGGCAACTGCGACATTTATAAGACTGAGGTGGCTGGGCATCATTGCGATTATCCCTGCGATGAGAAGTAGATGAGGAAACTGCCAAGGCCGAATCAAGAGTAGGAGTTTTGAGTATCTTGAAACGAGTGTCATCAAACAAAAATTTCCTTTATCGTTGTCTCAAAGGAAGACAAGGGATGGGGATGAAGCAAAGAAGCACGCACAGACTCATATTCTAGATCATACTTCATCAAGAGCTGAATAAATCGAAAGTGCTCAATATGTATATATACTTCATCAATTCGATCCCACATAGACTGATAGTAGAAAAGAACTTGTTCCTATCCTAACTCGAGTCATATGTCAGTGCATTCAATGACTCGATAAGCTGATAATAATGCATACCCCTGGTTGACTGATATAGATGCTGCAAATAATCTCAAACTTTCTTGGTAGTGTCCATGTGGCGAAGTTGAATCTAAATGGACTTGGAAGAGGTATTCTGACTCCAAATAAAAATAATGTGAATGCTACTATCCCAATCATCCAAGGCCTCTTGATAATCCATGAGCTCCTTATTAGTGAGGGGTGCCGTAGAAAAAAACAAATTTACATTAATATCAAAATACCTGTAACTTTTATTTAAATTATAAATATACTATTGCATTTACAATTACTTTAAAACTATTAAATACTTGCATTAATTAATAAAATACTACTCTTTCGGTCCAGCTAGAAAATATACATATTTATATTTTAGGACATCTAATTACAAAATAACCCCTTCATTAAATACTTCATTTTTTTTTCCACAAAATAATCTTACTTTACATCACATCATTACATTTATACCAAAAATTAAAGGCAAAAATATCATTGCACTATTTTTACATCCATACTATAATTAAAATATTATTAATTTCTAAACTGAGTGCCAATAAATGTTAGTTCTTGCTTGAATTGATGGATTATTATTTTTTTATAAATTACAATTTTAAAGAATTTATTTGATTTGAAATGAAAAGAGTACGTACTCCCTCCGTTCAGTTAGAAAGTATACATATTTCTATTTTGGGACGTCCAATTACAAAGTAATCATTTCATTAAATACCCTATTTTTTCCACAAATACCCATACTTTACATCACATCATTACTTTTATACTAAAAAAGAAAGACAAAAATGTCATTTTACTACTTTTACCTACCAATTATAATTAAAATACTATTATTACTTAATATCTGCGCTAAAAGTAATTGTATACTTTTAACTTGGACGGAGGGAGTATTATATTAAAATTATATATATATATATATATGTATATGTATTTACCGGACAAAATGTAAGTATGTTCTTATTTTTTTGGGAACGCATACAACAAATTGCAGAAATGTGAGGTTTGACTGATAAAGAAACAGTTAGGCAATTTTTGGATGGAAGAACCAAACCTTGCTGTAAAAGCACACCCTCAAGCTTCACCGCCATGGCGGTTTCGCTGCTGCGATTTCCCAGCTCCCCGTCCTTGGTTTCTCCATTAACCTTCAACTTCCTCTTCCGGAAGCCCAAATTCTGCAAGCCTTTCCAACTCATTGTCCATTGCATCTCAACTGCTTCAGCTCCCGCAGTTCAAGCGAACCCTTCGGAGACAGCCCCAAAATGGGAACCGTTTCGCAAAAAGAAAGTCGTTATGCGCGTCGGCTACGTCGGTTCCAATTATCGAGGTTTGATGTTTACTCGATTAGATTTCTCGTTCTGCCGCATATCTTTTATCTTCACATTTCGCCTGACTGATTTGGTGCTGAAATACCTCAGGCTTGCAGATTCAGAGGGATGAGCACGAATTATCTAGTGAGATTTTTTCTTACTCGTTAGAAATTAGTAGAATCATTCTATGATGATGATGCTCTTCTTATTTCTGCTTGGGTAAAATTTAGATGAAAAGTTCTGGTAAAAAAAGAAAAGAATAGATGTACCAGTAATTTGCTGAAGCACTGAAAATTTGTTATGCAGCCATTGAAGGGGAACTAGAAAAGGCTATATTTAAAGCCGGTGGAATTAGGGATAGCAATTTTGGGGATCTGAACAAAATTAGTTGGGCGCGAAGTAGCAGAACTGATAAAGGGGTTAGCTAGCTACATTGTTGCTGTTTGAGCTCTGCAATCGATTTCGGTGTCTATCTGTTGGTGCATTTTTATGGAACTTTTGCTAATCAGATATCACTTGTTAAATTTTCAGGTTCATTCATTGGCAACGATGATATCGTTGAAAATGGAGATTCCCTCTTTTGCTTGGGAAAATGATCCTAACGGATTCGATCTTGCTAGATGTGTTAATGTTCATCTTCCTGATAACATAACGGTTTTCAGTATCTTGCCTTCGCAAAGGTATTGAAGCTGCCTTTTCAATCAAAATTATGCTCTCACACACACTGACACAGACACCGACATGTGTTCCGAGATAATAAGAGGAAAATTACTTTTGGTTCAAAAGCTCCATTGGATCAGTAAATTTGTGTTATGAACAAACCAGTAGTAAATTGTTGCACATAATAATATTTAATTTCTATGTTTGAATCTAGAGATTTAATTGTTGTCATCATTTGCAGAAAAATCTGTTACAATTTATGAACTGATATTTGTGTATCATATATATGGCTGGCTATGTTCCGTGGCTTCCTGCCCAATTGAATTACTCTGCTAGGGATAAAGTTCTGTATACAAGAAAAACAAGCAGTAATGAGCCCTGTAACCTACACTCTGCGAGGCTAATAACAGCTATGCTTGCTCTATAAACTTGCAAACTTAATTTATGCTAGCCACGATCAAATTCATGTCTTTATCATTTTTAATTTATGGGCTAGTTGGAATGCTGTGCACATGGAATGTGTTTTTGGTGTTTACAATTTTGTTCTTGTGCAAATATAACTTGCGGGTAATGTTGTGCAGTATCCGCCAAAGGCATAAATGATATTGATGAGTTCTTTAACGCAATCAAGTTGCAAATTGTATTGATGAATGCTATATGATTTTAGGAAGTGGAGAGACTAAAAGCGGATTAGGGATTGATATAGTATATATACCTAAGCTAAATCTCCATTTCAAAAAGCTGCACCAGTAGCTTATTGGTTTGGAAACTGCAAAAACTATTCTTATAAGAATGATCAGATGAGCTGGTATGTACCGGGGTGTTCCTGGTTCACATATTTATCTCTGATTTTTGGTTGCCTAGGATTGTAAATTAATGATCGATATTCTTGGTTGAAACCTTCGTAAAATGATGCCTCCTCCTCCCAAATAATTTGAAATCTGAGACCAACATCTAATGGATTGCTCATGTGTAATGTCCGACCCAATATATATATATATATAATGTAATAATGCAATTGTGTTTATGGTTGAGCAGTACTTTCAAAAGTGACCAAGGAAACTTTCCTTCTCGCCAAATGATCTTGCTCGTCAGAGTTTAGGTTTTAAATTTTGTTTTGTGAATTCCCTATTACTTGAAAATTATTGCACTTTGTCATTTAACATATGCCTCGGTTGAGGTCTTCTTTCTCCAATCTGAAGCGACCTTATAAATTTCTTGCATTTTTTCACTATGTTGGAAGTTACCTCACTTGTTTTGAAATTTATTTGTTCTATATATGTCAGGAGTTTTGATCCCCGAAGAGAATGCAACATCCGCAAATATTCATATCTTCTTCCTGCTGAAATTATTGGAGTAAAAGAGGATTCTTCGGCCAGTGAAGCTGATCATCACTTATCGGATTTTAATAATATCCTGAATGCTTTCGAGGTTTGTTTAATGCTCAGATTAGCTTCTTTATCTTTTCTATGCCTGGTTTTCTTCTATCAGGTAAATTTAGATATCTAGAACTAGTCGCGTTATTTGTTATGGAGATATTATTTTTTTTCTTGGTCACATCTTGCAAAAGACAGACCTTTCCTTTTTCATCAATGCAATGCCACATGCTGTTTCAGGGAGAACATCCATTTCACAATTATACAATTCGGTCGAAATACAGAAAAATTCTTCGTAAGGAAGATGCTTCCAGAAATGGTTCAGTGTCGAAGAACTCAATGTTGCAAATTGGCTCTGAGCCAGAGGAAAGTGATAATGAAGATACTCTTGAATTCGATAAATCTCTAGTGGTAGACCATGGGGAGAAGCAAAATTCACCTGGAACTGACAGAACTCCAAATGCAGAGTTCAATGAAATTTACAGCATTGACGATATGAACGAGCAAAATCGCAATAAACCTGTACTTGCCAAGTGGTTATATGAACCCGACAAGAGAGACAGACTCAGCGGTTCACATTTCAGAAAGATTTTTCAGTGTTCTTGTGGAAAATTGGAGCAGCTATCTGGTTCAACTTATGTGGAGTTATCGATTTGCGGAGAGTCATTTATGCTGCACCAGGTAATTATAGTTAATAGTATTATCATCATTTAGCGGCCCTAGTTATTGTTGCAACATTTAAATGATCTTGTAGTAAATGAGATGCAACTAAATCAGCAGTTCGGATAGCAATTAGATAAACATAATTGGTTCATATTAGTTGGAAAGAATTTCATCTACTAGAATATACTGCAGGAAGCTATCTAGTGATTATCGTAAATGCACCTAGGAATTTCAACTTTTGATTGCCAATCCTCTTGTCATATCTTCGTACTCCCGATTGTACTCTTTCTATTTCAAACTGTCTCTGAATGCGGGCATTCCGGGATTTTTATTTCTCTGATTTTTTGGCGATTTGGCTTTGGAACTAGAGTTAAAGATTGGAAGATATACAGGCAGAAGTAATCATTTTTATCCAAGAACTTTCTTTGGTGTTAGATGAATTGCTAATGCCAATGTCCGGGACTTATTAAAAATAAGACTCAGACTTGGCTTACAACTTGGTTCGAATCTGGACTAATAAATGGGTCATGATTGTTAGAAAAGAGCAATAATCTTTCTTCCTTCATTGCCCCTGCATGTATTCCTTCTTAGTAATCGAACGTGGTTCTAACCAGTGAATGCATTTGATTGTAAGTGTATTATACTTGTGCTAATCTCGTCGTATGATATGACCACAGATCCGCAAAATGGTGGGAACTGCCATTGCAGTAAAGAGAAATTTACTCCCAAGAGACATCTTGAAGCTTTCTCTTTCAAAATTTACGCGGATTGTCTTGCCCCTAGCTCCACCTGAGGTCTTGATCTTAAGGAGCAACAACTTCACCGTTCGAAAAAGACCGGGTGTGACAAGGCCGGAGATGTTGACATTGGTTGAATCAGAAGAAATCCTCAGGTTTGTCAATCAGTTCTATTATTCTGTAATGTTGCCTCAGTTGTCTGCGTTTTTGGATCCGTCGAAGTCCCCTTGGAAGGACTGGGTAGAAACATTGGATGCAAACACTCATATCCCGGAATTCCAACTCGATGAAGTCAGAAATGCTTGGAAGTCGTGGAAAGAGATATTCGATAGTCAAAAAAAGGCAGGATTGTAGCTTTCGAAGGTAATCTCTTTTACATTTTGCAGAAGTTGCATTTTTATTGAAATAGGGACCTATTTATTAGTTTGATACAAAACCTGATAGCTTCAAATTGTAAAAATTTAATCTAAGATAATAGAAACCTAATTTAAAGAATCACAATGACGGCATTTAGGGTGCTGACTTGACATAATCAGCAAGCTAATCCTAAGGAATTAGCAAATCATTACACAATATATAGCACTATCACTGAGTTAGCACATTAACTTGAAGTAATTAGCAAATCGTCAGATAATATATATTATGTTATATAATGTGGTATATATTATGTGATGATTTGCTATTTTCGATAATTGGATCAAATACTATTGTGATGAAATCAAAATAATTTGTTAAAATTAGGATACATTTTACTATATATATTTATATAACATACTGTTCAAATATGTGTTATATTTTGTATCTATATTTTCTATTTTCTTATAGACATTTGCTAATTTGGTCAAACCAAATCTGAAAAATATCTCAATATTACCTTCGAATTCAAATGGTAGAAACCAAGTTGAAATCGAAGATGATGCAATCAGAATAATCCATTGAGGTATTTAGGGTTGAGTTAGAGTCGGAAATAGTGCTCTAATACTAGAGCCGGTAATGGGTCGATTCGTATCGGGTTGACTATTTTAAACGGGTTAAATTACTCAACCCTAACCCGACCCGTTTATTATCGTGTCGGATTTGTGTTAACCCGTTTATTATCGTGTCGGGTTCGGGTTCACTCGTGTTCACTTGTATATATAATTAAGTCTAATGTCTTGATTCAAATTAAATAATTTTTTGTTTTGTTGTCGTGTTATGTTAGTTTTTATTGGTTTGAGTCTAAATTAGGTTGAATTATTTAAAATTGAACTTAGTTTAAATTAATTTACGAAAAAATTATTAAATTATGATTATTTTATATATATAATAGATATATTAATCAATATTAATATATTATAATCAGGTTGTCGTGGCTGTTCGAGTTGAGAGTCTCAACCCTAATCCGACCTGTTTATTATAGTGTCGGGTTCGTGTCAACCCGTATACATAATCGGGTTGAAATCTTTAATTCAAACCCAATTATTTCGATGTCGGGTCGGGTCCGGTTTTGCCAACTCTATCCAATACTACGTTACATTTTGCAAAATGTCATTCTATCTTTTTTCTTTATTATTATTATATAAAAAAAAATAAAGTCCTATTTTATCGATCATTACCTCATCGAACAAGGAAGTACAATGCTCTATTCTAATTTGTAATGTATACTATCATCGCTATTGAACAAGACAATGCACAAAAGTTGAGCAATAAATCAAATCAAGAACCTAGTCGAATCTTACAAACCTCTATTGTTTGCAATACCAACGACACCATTTTCACAAAATAAAAAAATGAAATAATTGAGAAACTACAAACAAAATTGTATCTATAGAAGTGATAAACCATACTGCAATGTCAAATATTGCCTCAGCAATACATCTTTCACACCAAACAACATGAAATCTTACTGCACAAATTTATACATATTCGAAAACGATCGATTATTCACAGTCGTAATCGTGCGTAAATAAATCACCGATGCAGAACTTTGGACACTTTCTACACAGACATGAACTCAATCTGCATCAATTTCATATAAAACACATACCTTCCGACGAATTTAAAACATGCGAGAGTATATAGATACAATATTTATTGCTTTCGAATTCTTACCTGAGGAAATTTACGCCTTCCCGATGCCAAAGCATAACAGGGGGCATATGTAAGAACATAACCCCTTTTTCTTCTTTGCCTTTGTCTGCCTCGGCATCACATTCCTCCGAGCAACAAAATCAGCCATGTATTGTACAACATCCTGAAAATAGAAAAACCATAATCAGAGTAATGCTCGTAAGTTTGGTTCAAAATCGAACACCGGGATGTACCTGCGCACCCAACTTTATAATATCCTTTGGTGGCGCCTCCAAGGGCGTTTGATCAGCTCGAAAGATCTTTAGGCTCGATAGGAACCTAAACGAGTCTGGCAAAGCAGTTATTTGATTGTCACTTATGTCAAGCTCTTCGAGCATCTCCAGGTTTCCAAGCGACCGTGGCAATAATTGGAGGTCTGCGAAATTCTTCCCGACATTCAGTTTTCTGAGGCTTCCCACAAATCCAAGAGCTTCGGGTATGCTCTCGAGCTCGTTGAAGCTAACATCGAGCTCTCTTAAACGAGAGAGATTGCCTATTGTTGAGGGCAATCGTCGTACTCGATTATAGTGCAGAGTAAGAATCTCCAAGTGTTCAAGCTTTCCTACTGCTTCCGGAAGAGCTTTGAGCTGATTGAAATCCAATCTCAGCTCCACAAGCAACGAGCATGATCCAATCATGTAAGGAAGTTCTTCGAGATCATTCGTTTCCAAGTTCAGTTTCTGTAGAGAACACAGGTTCCCGATTACAGCAGGTAAGCTTGAGAACCCGTTGGAACTTAAATCAAGATTCATCAGATTTTTCAAGCTGCCGAATGATTCTGGCAGCGACTTCAACCGGTTCGCTGCAAGATCAAGGTCGGTTAAATTCTGCAGCTCACCGAATGACTCTGGAAGATTTATCAGCTGGTTAGCGCGGACTTCGAGCTTCATCAAGTTATTGAGGGTGGTAATGGAATTCGGGAGAGCCATGATTCGATTTTCCGATAGATATAATTCAGATACAGTGTATAGCTTTCCTAGAGACAATGGAAGCCACTCTATATCTTCCCTCAGTTTGCCGCGAAGATCCAAAACACTTGCGCCGGTTTTGGCCGAAGCTTCGATTACTCCCGCCACTTTCATGAGGTTCAATTTTTCGACTTCTCCTTCCCCTGGAAAATGCAGAGTTAATTGCAGCCATTCTAGGCTTCTAGCACACCAAATTTATCTCAGATTTCTTATTTTCTGAATCTTATGCATATATGTTTAAGCAATCAGTTCTGATGAAACAAATACTTCTGCAGATAATATGAAAAAAAAAAAAAATGCCGTAAATTGTATAATATCCATTTGATCTTTATTATAAATATGTAATAAACACCATCTCCATTCAAAACCTACCTGATTGTAAATATGCATGTCATTATACCAAGTCTTTTCATTTCAGTTTGTAAAGATGAAGTCATGGCTCCTCATCATTCTACAAAACTATGAAGGGTTGATCAATTTTTTGTTTATTTATTTTATTCAAATGAGGATATATAAGAAATTTCAGTTTATTTACATGCATCATTAGTATTTTCTGTCCATATTTTAATATAACAAAACTGAATTTCATACAATAAATAAATAATATGGCATATTATGAATTTATAACAAAATACAAATGGGTATTATGATGTAATTCACCAAAAAAATCCTGCAAAATTGAAGTCAATGGTTCACTCTAACAAGCTACAAAAAATTAAATTATCATGGCCAATGATCTCGTCCATTGTTCCACTCTACATCAGCAATTGAAGACTTATAACAATGGTGTCATAACTAATCGATCTTATCTACACCTTTGACCTAAAGGAGCACTGTATTTTTTATTTTTTTTATTTTTTCATGTTCAACGCAAGCATTTAATTCGTTAACACTTCTTTTTCAAGCCGTCAAAAATTCATCAACGAATATGTGAAGGATGTTTTTCTGTTAGATCATAAAAAATTAGCATATGAATTTGCAAAAACTACGAAGCTCTTAACCTAAAGTTTCACCCAAATCAAATAGCAAAAATCATATATAATTGAAGTACAAAATTACAGAACCCTAACCTGAGAATGCAGAAATTGCCTTCGAAGACGTAATTATGGACGTAAGAGGCTTCGATTCACCAACATGATCAGCATCTTCTGTATCAGGATTCTCTTCACTCTCCTCCTCGTATATCACAGCCATCCTTTCATTTCCACTACCAACACCGCTGCCGCCGCCGCCGCTCAAATTAGGCGTTTCCTCTACAACAGGATCACCAGACACAATCGCCGAAGCCTTTCGGATTAATCCATCAAACACTTGAAAATTCCTGTCCAGCTCAACCAATTGAGCCGCCTCCTTCCGCTGCTCGTGGCTGCGGAAAGCGACCATCGCTCTCTTCACATCCTTCAGCACGGCGAACAGCTCCGGAGGCGCGTCTTTCCTCGGACGAAGCTGCTCGATCCCCTCCAACTGGAGCCGTTCCTCTGCCTCCACTGTTCGGAGAACAGAAGCCGCCGCCTCAACCTCCTCAATCGAAGGCCTCGGCGGTAGCGATCGGTAGATTGAAGTGATTTCCTCCACCGTTTCCGCATATGCGAGCGGCGGATCCTTCGTCGCCGCCGAGCTCATGGCGGAGGAGCGACGATCGGAATTCGCTCGAGATAGTATCTAAGGCTTTTCAGTTCAGATACTGCAACGCCAGCCGGCGCCAGCAAGGCTTATATTTATTGAAATTAATTAAAATTTAAATATAATTATTTAAATATATTTATATTATTATGACACATTTGCATGCGTAGACCATAATTATTGACGAATTAAGTATATATTATTATTAATTAATAATGGTATATATGAACGTACATCAATATATACTATGCTATAATTTTAAAATCAGTTTAACTCTGTTTATTCGTAAGATTTTATTCATTATTTTACTATTTTTTTAAAAAATATCAAATTAAATAATAAATTTTTATTTATTTTATTACACTAAAATTTAATTATACATTCAAAATATCATATCAATATATATTTATATCACATCAAAATTATTTAAATTTAAAATTTTACTGTTCAAAATTAAAATCCAAAACCAAAACATTACGAGTAAACCCACTCATTTATTTTTTTATTGGGCACATGTGAAACATAAATTCAGCTGTTTATTTAGGGTTTGTTTGCTTACAAAATATTATTCCAAAATAACAGAGACATTTAGAATTGATACATAAATTTAACAATAATAATATCAGATTGATAGTAGGTGTAAAATATTTCCAAAATACTAAAATAATCCTATTTTATTGTAAAAAATAGGGATAATTTTGTAAAAAAATAGGAATGTAATTACAAAATACAAATAGACTATTGTTTTGGAATTGACGAAAATAACAAAATAATACTATTTTTTGGGACGGATGGACTATTATATTTTTTATTGTTCATATTTTTTTAAAAAAATTCATATCAAAAATCTATTTTTTTATTTTTTATATTATATTAAAAATTAACTTTATACTTCCTCCGTCCCGTTTCTATCTATTCATTTACTTGTTGTACGGAATTTTAAAAATATTAGTATTATATTATGATGTAATATAAATAAAAGCAAAAAAAATTAAACTAACTTTATCAGTATTTTATGATATAAAAATAATGACATTTGTCTAATATATTGTAAATTAAAAAGGTATTTGTAATATTAAATAAATAATAGAATTGCTAAAAATAAAAAATAGATATTTTATTTGTGACAGACCAAAATAAAAAAAAATGAATAAATTATTTAGTTTTCCTTACTAAGTGCCAACAAAATCCTGATTTTTTATTTTTTATATTTTTTTACAGCACAATAATCGTCTTATAAAATAGACTGGGTGTATTTGTTTAATATTTTAGTTTAAGGATATTTTTTATTTATACTTAGAAAAAATTGTATCAATAATATAAAAATTAATAATATTTTATATTAAATTTAAATTTTTATAAAAAAATATAATATATATGATATATATTTAAAATTATATCAATAAAATATTATTTTATGAAAAAAGTCCGTATATGCTAACAATTTAGATAGGATAAACTATTTTTTAGTCCAGTATATGACTCATTTATCATGCTTTAAGTGGATCATGTCTGAAAATAGTCTTTGTAAGTAAAAAATTTTCGTTAAAATGGTCATTCGGTGCCGAACTCGCCACGTAGGCCCGCCGTTGCTAACGTGGCGCTGATGCAGCTGACATGCCATCGCCACGTAGATGCCACATGAATGACACCTGGAATTTTTTTAAATTTTATTTTGCAAAATGCCTTTTTTTTGTAAAATTTTTTTAGTCTCATATATAACCTTACTTATCATTTCTAGCACATTTAAATGGACTCTGTCTGAACATTGTTCTGCAAGTAAAATTTTTTTTTTCTAAAATGATTCGACGTGGCATCTACATGGCGATGACATGTCAGCGTGGTAAATCCGACACCGGAGAACCATTTTAACGAAAAAATTTTACTTATCGAACTATTTTAAAATATAATTCACTTAAAATTCTAAAATGATAAAAGAGATAAAAAATACGAGACTAGAAAATAGTGTGTACCAATTTTGATATTATGTTGGTTTTAATTTGACCAGGGCTATTGAGCATGTCACCATAACTATTATTGTAATCTGACTATTATTTACATAATTAATTAATTAATTAATTAATTATACTTGTAAGTGTAACTGAATAAGTGCACGTTTTTTCCCATTCAACTTGCCGGCCAAGTTCTCTTCTTCTTTTTTTTCCTTTTTCTTTTTTTAAAATAAAAATATTTGGAATTTGAACTTTAAATTGTTTTTTTCGTTTTCCAATTAACTTATTTTAATAAAAATATACTGTATTATATATTCTTATATTCCCTCGCTCCCGTCAACACTATTTTCATTTTTGTTTGTCTTGAAATAATTGACACATTTCTATACTTGATAAAAATTATTAAATTTAAACATATTTAATAAATATAAATCAATTTAATTAACTATAGTATAACATCATAGATGACGACGTAGGATCCACTCAAAACCCCTTTATTTTTATTTCTCTTCTAAAAAAAATAAATATTTTTATCTATATTTAAAACTACACATCTTTTATAAAATTGATTTAGATTAATTATAAATAAAAAATATTTTTTTATTTACTTGTATTATAGAAAATTTTATTCTCTACACAATAATATTCATATTATATATATTTTTTAATTGCTATATAATTTTTAAATATTTAAACATATATTTTGATTTTTTTAATCATATATATTAAATTTAGTTTCAAATTATAAATATTATTAATTATATAAAAAATAATATCATAACTAATTATTATTAACTAATTAAACATCCTTATCTTAAATATCGTGTCCTTAATCAAATGATTCAATTTCGGTGGGACGGAGGGAGTAAAATATTAAATTAACATATTATTTAAATTTAAATAAAAAATTCATATAAAGACATAACAATTTTCTTAGTAATATAAAGACAGAGTTTTAGAAGACATTTGTTATAGAGAATGAAATTGTAATAATAATTATAATAATAAATAAAATTGCATAGAAATTTTTTTAATAGAAATTAAGAATTAATTCTTTTATAGAGAATGAGAATTAATATAAAACTAGAATTTAGAAAATATATATATAAAAAATGTAGCAAATTAATTAATGAGAATCTATGAAGAAATAATTTTATGATTTTTTTTGTTTAAATAATAAATTAAATACGGTGTTTTGTAAGATTTGTAAAAGTAGTAACAATTAAATAATTTAATAAATTAGATATAATATTTTGTAGAATTGAGATGATATAATTTTTAAATAATTATAAAAATTAAAAGTATAAAAAATTAAAAATGAAAATAAATATATTGCATAAATATTCAATTATCTATGACAAAAGAAATGATGTAATTTTCATTTATCTGGTCTCATCTCTTTATAACAATTAGGGTCGGCCCAATTTTCATGGGTCCGGGGACGACGGCTCAATTTATAAGTGTGGCGGGTTAGATATGACTTGAAAATTTTGAATTTATTTTTAAAGATTCAAATATAATATTGTTTTATTCTTTAGACCAAACTTATTTTTGCTGTATTTTGATCTAAATATTTTTAATATAAATGAAAAATTAATGATAATTTTATAGTGATATTATATTATTGTTTTAGGACGAATATATTGTACTAGGACGGAGAAAGTAATATTTTATATTAAATATTAATCAGAATAATATATATTTTATAAATCGGACAATAAAAAAGTGTGTTTGTATGAGAGATTTTGCAAAAAAATCCATTATTCATTCAAAATTTTTTCGTTCGTTAAAAAATATCACATCAAACACCTATTTTTTATATTATTTTAAAAATTCATTTTATATTCAAAATATCACATCTAACACTTTTTATATATATATATATATATATGTCAGATCATATATAAATTTTCAATTCAAAACTTTTAGCCAACTCAAAATCCAAACTACAAACAAACATTAAAATCACAAATTTAACATATACTCTAAAAAAATAAATAAATAAAATAAGGAAAAAGGACCGTTGAAGAGACAAATGGCAGGCGGCGAGCAGCAGCAGCAAGATTTTTGGAGAAGACGAAAACGGGACATGACAGACATGGAGCCTCCATCTCCATCTCCAATCTCCATCCTCCATCGATGCCCGCCACTCGCTCCAGGGGCCTTTCTCCTTCCATTCATATGGAAATTCGCAGCATATATTGCGCTCTCCAAACTTTTCGGAATCCTCTCCCAATCCATCCATTCCTTACAATCTCCGCCAATCTTTTCTTCCTCTCCCCTCCACCCGCCGCAGGCGCTTCTGCTCATTGTTCCACAGAATGATGATGGACAGTGTTCCGTTGGAGACTGCGGTTTCCGATTCCGGCTCCGAGGATAGATCGTCGCCGACCGCCGATTCGCTTAGAGAAAAAGAGGGCCGAACCGACGACAGCAATGTCCGGAGCACCAGCGTGAAATGCAACGTCGAAAATGGCGATAAGGTTGAGTATTACGGTTGGGTTTATCATTTGGGAACCAATCCGATCGGCCACGAGTTCTGCCACTATCGCTTCCTCTTCATCCGCGGCTGTTATATGGAGATGTATAAGCGCGATCTACATGAGAACCCAGGCATTGTGTGTGATACCTTTTGCCCTAATTTTTATCTTCGTTTTTATTTTTCCATCCTCTGGTTGCGTGATGTCTTTTGATAATGTTTCAGAGTGCGCATGTGCAAGGATCTATACGATGTTTTGTATAGATTTTTTAGGTGTTGAAATTGATGTATAGATTGAAAATTGAAAAAATGATGCTGAAAAAAAATACTAGTGAAAGGTAGGGTGGGATTGCATGTGGTTTGGGATGTTTTTGGTGTTTTGAATTTGAATCTTTTTGAGTGAAAAATAGTTTTTAGATGTGATCTTTTTGTAGTAGCGTTTCTTTGAGTTTTGGATTGAATTTGGGTTCGGGAATAGCAAATCTTTGAATTGAAATAATACTCAATGACTGATGTTTTGGATGAAAAATTGGTTTTATGTATAATACATTAAATGAAAAATAGTTATTGATTTAATGGTTTTGAAGGAAAAAAGAAACTAATTGTGTGAGACCAAATAAAACTTTACAGAAACACAAGGTTTTATGCCTCTTTTTATTCCAATACAATTATTTTTTATTTTATATTTTTTGAATAGATCTGCCTGCAATTCTTTGTCAATCTTGTTGTGACTTAACTAGCTAACATGTTAATGTATAGTTTAGATATGTATTGACCAGTTGTTTATTGTTAATTTATGCGGTATTGTATATTTCAAATCATGATGTGCTTGAAAAATGAGCCACTATGACTTAGATAATTAAATTACTGTCATATTGAAATCTGTTTCAAGTTGAATGACTCTGGCCAGATATCTTTTCTGCAGAAACCCATCCGGAAAGGTGTCATAGGGGATACACTTATGGTGGAGGATTTAGGTTGTCGGGAGGTTAGCCACAATGTAAGGCCATTACTACTCTAACGTAGGTCTTTAAGTGGAATAAGACATGTCACTGTTCCCATGGACATCTGCTGTATACTGGCTACATAAGTTTATCTGTGTTTTTCTATATATTATTGCACTTCTACATGTATCCGATATATTTAGGTACACGAGCTGTGTATGTTCCATTAATATAAAATAAATGCTGATCATGTTCTCAATAATTGTGTAGGAAGTGTATGTGCTGAGGTTTTACAATCGATTGGATCAAGCTAAAAGGGGCGAAGTAAGTGTTTATGATATATTCTCTTTACATAGAAACGATTCTACGGATACACAAATCAAATGATAGTCTTGATTTATTAATTATATTGCAATCATTACCATCATCATCATCTTCTTCTTCTTTTCGTTCTGTTTGTTAGTTTGGTAAAGCTTCTTGCTATGTGTTTTCTAATGTCCTTTGAATACGTGTCGGAGGTTTTTGTAACATGGGCTTGCATCATATTGTTAGATTGGAGAAACATATACTGGGATGAAACCCATATTCATAGCAATTGTAGAAGAAATTATTTAACCTATTTATTTATTTATATTTTATGTCTGATATGATTAGATTATATATAGCATGTGTTGGGATATGCATATTCTTATGCCATACCGTGCATTTGTCTTTTCATAGTATCTACTGCTAGGGTTTCGTTGTTTGTGCTATTGACGTATTGCAAGACATTTTTATAGATATAATAAACTTGTTTTTGGTATCTCTCATTAATAAATTATTTGCTTGTTGCAAGATTGCTTGTGCTACAGCTTATGATGCTAAAAAATGGAAGGAGGCATTTGATCATGCTAAGCAACAGGTATGAAAGAAAATTTAAAATGGCCTCCCATTGTTATTTTGTGCAATAATGGAATTTCTTTTTATATCATTATATCAATTAAGTAACCAGTAGAGAATCTTAGGGCCACATCGAACAAATTTGGCACATTAAGTATGCTAATATCTTGAAGAATAATTTATAATTCAGAGATTTCTAATTAATTTTTTGCTTCACAATATTACCCACCCCCATAATTTGTCCTAATATTACCTGAATGTTTCAACAAGGCAAGGATGCTTTACCTTAATCATTTAACAGATCTCAGTGTTTAGTCAAAACATTGTGTCCTACCAGAATGACATAGTGTTTGATCAGGAATTTTTTCACTTAATAATGAAATTTATTGATGATATATTGATCCAATGTATATACAGAAATGTGTTTCTATAAAGATTCATATGAAGTCCTAAAGGGTGATAATATTTAAATTGTTAGATTTATATATCTATTCTTTCAACACAGTTTTTCATCTGTGATCTGTGCTTATGTTTGTATACATGTAAATATCTTTAAAAGCTCTGGATGTGTACATTGCTTTGTAAATGGATGGGCTTAGGAGCCAACTCTGATACCACATTGCAAGACCATCTTACTAAGTAGTTCGAAGGCCTATTTCATTTTACTTTTATTTACTGAATCTATCCAAAAGTTTTTGAGGAAAATGTGGGATATCAAGAATGGATTAGAATGAAAATAGTATTGTTGTTTTCTTCTTAGGATGTGTTTGTTTGGGGGTTTGGATTTTGGATTGGGATTTGAATAGTAAAAATTTTGAATTTGAGTAGTTATATGATGTGATATAAATAAGAATTGATGTGATGTTTTGAATATAAAATTGATTTTTTGTATAATATAAAAAATAAAAAATAAATGTTTAATTTGATATTTTTGGAGGAAAAATTTTGTGGGAATAGTAGAAATCCCACAAAATCCTTCAAACAAATACACCCTTAGTTTACAATTCGCTTGATGTAATTCATGAATTAATACTTTTACTACTAGACAAAACGGTTCCAATCACTAAAAATTCAAAACTGTTTTACATGCATGGGCTTGCATGTGGAGTGACTTATACATATGTATATATTTTTTATAGGGACAACAAGAGATCTCAAAAGGTGGAAGTGTAAGAGACAAGTTGACTATGGAGGATGAGTAAGCTTAAATACTTCCAAATATTTTATTTCTTTAAGAGAAAACAAGTCACTCAATTAATTTCATGTGAACAATGAACTGCATATGAAAACGTATGGGTGCATATATAAACATAAATTAGCTATAGTTCTATGCAAAATTTGTGTACTTGTCTCATCTATATGGTCATACTTTTTCTATTTTACACATGGAAGCTGCTATTGTGTACTAAGATTGATTTCATTTTGGAAGAATAAATCTAGAGGGGCCTCGGGCTGGAGTACGAAAATATGCTCATGGATTGAGATGGCTAGTAAGGAGAAAATCAGGAGGTGATCTATTTTTATTTATCATCATTGTTAATTCTTGTAATTGACTCACTTCTTATATTCCATTGTTATTTCCTATTTTGAGTAAATATAATAGTAACATCCTTGTCATTCTTGCTAGTTTTACTTAAATAATTAGCACATTGGAAAATTACATGCATTTTGTATATGTTTTATATCTGAAACATAGAAGCATCTCAAATCAAGTGTTATCATGCATTTTATTTATTGAACCTATTCGTGCTCTATAAACTATGCTTATATAGAATTACTATTGTTTGCATTTTGCACAGACCTAGGCTCACTTTCACGCAAAGCCTTGAACCTACATAGTGATAGTAGACTCGATATGCTTTTTGATACGGATACTGGAGATGTGGTTGATGGGCATGAATGGAAATGTGTACGTACTATCAATGGTAAGGTTTTATTGACTTGTTTGATTTATTTAGTTATTTTCTTGAGTAATACTTGTATTTAATTGTCTTTAACAACTTGAGCAACCATTAATATCATTTGTCAAACAAACTCAATTTTTTGCATGAATTGCTACAAATCTTGAAAGCACATAGTACTTTATATATACATAAATTAATTGTATATGCATCACTTGTGCTTTAATGTATATTGTAAGACTAAATAATATGTAATTAATGATGCATTTTCCTACTAGTTTTAGCTTTTAGGTAGATGGTCATTTGGCAATTAAATGGATAAAATATATTGTGTAACTTTGATTGTATACTTCAAAGTTGTGTAGATTGCATGTTCAAATTTTAATCTAGTGTACAATATAAACTAATATAGTTGTGTTATTCCTTCTGAACTTTCTTAGTAAATCATAAGTCGTAGTTTCATTATTTATTTGTGGTATATAATCTTAAATCATGAAAGAAATTACAATTATGCTTTATGCAACATTCTCAAAGCACATTTCAGTATACGCCACTTAAAGTTCATATATATTATGTGTGTGTGTTTTCAGTCTTCATATCTCAAATTGTAGATTATTTATAACAGTTTTTGTTATTATAAAACATTATGAAACTAATAACACAAAATGATATAGCTTTTAAATATAATTTGGTATAGATCTTAATATAAGATACTTTGGCTCATCATAACCTTAATTTGGTTTTCAGGTGTGAGAATATTTGAAGATGTAGCTGCCTCCAAGGTATATTATCTTAGGTTATTTGCATTTTAATATTCCCTCATCAAATACTTGTAGAAATTTTTTTGAAACATTATGGTAGTTACTTTCCACTTTATTTTTTACTTTGATAAATTTCTGAATTAACAATCCTCAATTCTATCCCCTTCAATAATTGAGGTCCTGTAATTACATATGCTTTATGTATAACATGCAGCTGCTTTAAGTATCTCAAAAAGAATAAAAGTTATTTAATTAGCTAGTTTTCAGTACATTCCTTGTTTTATAGGGTGGCAAAGGTGTCCTAGTCAAAGCTGTTGGAGTTGTTGATGCAAGTGCAGATACGGTGTTTGAAGTTTTGTTGAGTTCAGATCGGCTTAAAAGATATGAGTAAGTTGCTTAGGTTACTGTTATTGATGCTTTGTTTGCTTGGTTGAAATCCATCTAATAGTAGTTTGCAGGTGGGATACATTGACTGGTGACATTGAGTTGGTTGATTCTGTGAACGGACACTATGATGTAGTGTATGGGACATTTGATCCGCGTTATCTAACATGGTAAATGATTAAATCTTTGTTTCATATAGTCACTTAGATAGGCTGAGGGTCTGCTTTAAGCATGAGTGGCATTTTGTTTTTTAAAATCCTGTAAGTTCTTATCAAATTAAATTTAATTCCACTATTTGGTATTTCACTGATTTACCAGAGTTACCATCCAATTTTTATTGTACATTTTTAATATGAGTTTGGCCTTAATTGAGTACTTTGTTTGTTACTGAATTTAGTTGTTTACTGAACTATCAAGTTTATCGTATTTGATACAGTATGTAAGGCTATTTGAGTATTTATTTGATTAGATTAAACGGTTAACTTTAGTTAAACATTATTTTATATAACTTATTGATTAGTTATATATCCATATACATTAAAACCTATTTCAAATTGTACAGTTCATATAATTTAAAATGATCAGACTATCTACTTACTGGTTTATGATTGATCTAATTCATTCAATAACTTAGAAATTTGCACATGCCTATTTGGCTTGGCTTTGTGAAGTTACCTATCTTTGGTAATTTCATGGACGTAAGTGTAAGCATTGGCAGTGGAAATAAGGATTCAACACAACGAGATTAGCAATGATTTGTGCTAATTATTCAATGCAGGAGACACTCAAAAAGGGACTTTGTCTTTTCTAGACGATGGTTTCGTGATCAAGAAGGGACTTATAGTAAGTGTGCTTAATTATGCTTTTTCTTGATGCACTTTTTACATTGATGGTATGTTTGTACAATCATATGTGATTTGTAAAGAATGATTTGTTAGTATCATATGGTTTGAATTCAAGCAATGCCAAAGAGAAACCATGTGTTGATCAAATGTTTGACAATAGCTTCATCATTGAACCATTGCACTATTGGAATTTGAAACGTATGTTGAAATATATAGTTTAGTAGGCTTTTTTTAGTCTTCTCTTTCTAAGTTTGCATGGCATCCTCTTGAACGTCATAAAGCTGAAAATGCTAAAGTTATCACACTCATGAGTGAATAAAGACATGGAATGAAGATTAAAAATCATAAATATCAAAAGTCTATTTTAAACTCTTAAGAGCAGAAATTACGAGAAGTAATTATGAATTTATTGCTTAGCAAATGCTTAAAGTATGGAAAAGTGGAAAGTGGAAATACTTTGTAAGATATGTTCTTCTATTTTACTTGAAGAAGCATAACTTTACTTGTGATTGATAATTTGATATATACTTACCAATGCAGCAATTCTACAGTTTCCATCTGTACACAAGAAGCGGCCTTCAAGATCTGGATATAAGCGGACAAAAATCAATCGTAAGAATATCAAACCATCTCTTATGTATATTGCCATATTTTTGAACTATAGAATACTAAGTAGATGGTGCAAGCATACATGTATGCGGTTGATTTCTTTCCAGGCGAGTAAACTACATAGTTCTAATTTGCTAGAGTGAAAATATAAAAACATAGTTCTAATTTGCTAGAGTGAAAATATAAAAGTTTACGCTGGCAGTATGATTGAAAATTCTACGGTTGTGTTCTTTTGTGAATTTTACACAAGATTTTTATTACTCAAATTCTTTTTTCTTTAAAAAATATCAAATCAAATAATAATTATTATTTTTAATATATTTTACTACAAATTTAATTTACATTCAAAACATCACATCATCGTCTTTCTATATCACATCAAACAACTATTCCAATTCAATTTTTTACTATTTAAAATTCCAAACCCAAAAACCCAAATCCACAAACAAACACACCCTACATTACTTACCTATATTGCATAGTATGAAAAAAAGATCATATGTATTATAATGGTCCGTATTTAAATGATTAAAAAGAATGCATTACATGGTATAGGTATATAGTTACCACATATTGTGAACCGATGGAGGTCATGAACAAATAGTTATTTCTACAAAATTTACACAAATATCTTAATGCTCCTTCTTCTTCCTGTTCTTCTTTTTCTTTTGTTTGTTTGTTTGTTTGTTTAACTGTTTATTAAATTAAGATCTGGTTCAGTTTTCCAACAAAATGATGCTTGGTAAGTAGCATACTAATTGTCCCCTTCTATTGACTATGGGGAATCACCACTATCTTAAGAATGTTTGTTCATGCACTTTCTGTTCTTATGGTGCTAAAGATAGTTTCACCATTAAGCATAGATTCTTAGCTGTAGACAAGTGCTTATTTAGAGAATAGTCTAGCATATTCATTTCCATCCAAGCATTCTTGAATGGATAATATGAGGTTTATGATAGCTAGACTATAAAAATATTCAATAATTCTTTTCACTTTTCACGTAAAATGTCCCTATCATTTTCCAGTGCCCTGTAATGTTGGGTATAATATTCTTACTTACAGCACATGCTTCCAGAGTACTGTAATATTGGGATACTGTAGAAACAGTGTTAGGAGCTTAAGGTCAAACACTTAAACTGATATACTTATGGGGGACAACAATCAATTACCACATAGAAAATGATAGTTAGAGCCAAGCTATAAGATCCATCCTCAATGAATCTCCACGTTTAGCAAGGAAGTTTGCTAAATTATTTCCACTTCTTGAAATGTGATAGAAGATAATATCTGGATGCTTTATAGTGCCTTTTCTGTTGTGTCCAGATAACTGTAAATATGTCAAGTTTCGTAATTCTTCTTCTTGTTATAATTTGTTTTACTTTTTCTCCTTTTTAGCCACAACTTGGGAGATCAGAAAGTTAAGCTCCCAAGCATCATCAAGTAATCCTCGATGTCTCGTGACACAAACTCTGGAGATAAACCCCAGAGGCTGGCTTAAATGGAGGAATAACCACTGCCCAAAGTTTGAACGGACTGTTCCATATGCATTGTTGAGTCAAGTAGCAGGTCGGTAACACTTCTAAGATACTTTTCTGCTCAGTATGTTGTTAGGAATTGCTGATCAAACTTCTTGCAGTTTTTGCTTTATTAGCTATGCGGAAACATAAGCATTCATCAAGTATAGTTGCATAATTATCTTATTTGTGGCTATATTTGCTTATTTGTTATGCAGCACTCGACTTTATCTACCTCAGATATTTCTAATAAACACATTATCTTTTGTTTTTCCCCAAATGCCACAATAAATCTCAACAATGACAACATGACTTTTACTACATGGGGATTGAGTTTTTTGGTTGAATGAATTCTTTGCATAATGTACTGAAAACTTGAATTAATACATATTTAAAGAGTTTAAATTTTTAGTTTTGCATTCAATTTAATTAAACCAATATAGTTGGCTCCTAGCATGTAGATGGTATCCTTGTTTTGATGTTTTTGAGGTGAAATAATGGTTGGCGTGATGATTTGGGGGATATAGGTAGATTGATGTAAAACAGGGTTGAAAAACACAAGTAAACAAACCCTTAGGTTTGGTACCATGATGGAACTTATAGTTTGACTAAGATTTGATAGTTTCTCAACAATATTGTACTAGTATCTAATATTAAGTTCAGATCTCCGTTGGTATTGGAACATGCGTATTTCATTTGCTAGACTTTATAGAAAACAAGAAAAAGATAAAGATGATATTCACAAGGATTTTGAAAGAACTTGTCTTTTATGTAAAAAGAAATGTCTTATATGTTCATCTAATTTGTTGCCATGGTGTGGTCCACATATTTCTTCTTTGTTTTACAAAAGAATATTACAAACTTGAAGCAAATGACACTGTTCATATAATTCGATGCAATAACAAGCCTAACAGTGTATATATTTTTTCAAACAACATTTTTGAAAATTTCCAGGTTTAAAGGAATACATTGAAGCAAATCCTGCAATAACATCGGATTTTCCTGGCACAAAAATTGTCGATTCAGAAGATCTTTCTCAAACCAGTAGAGAACTTGAGAGTGCTGAGAAAACAGATGAGTTTTATGATGCAACTGCTGATGCCGAGTCATCTTCAGATTCTGAGGACAGTGAAAGTGACTCAGAAGCCACTGAGGTACATAAAACCTCTAAGCATGGAAAAAATGGATTGAAGTTTCTATAAAATGATCCTGCAGTTTCGATAACTTGTACTTTATTTTGAAGGAAACAAATCTGCTGAAGAGTGGTCCGCAGTCCGTATCATGTTTTTCACTCATTCAAAGCTCAGGTACTAATCCGGCTATTGCAGCACTTTGTTTTTTAAAATATATTTTTTAGTTATTTTGTATGTATACCTGATTTAACTTAAGCTGGTTCTCGCCACCAGAATCAAGTGATGAGCTGGACTCAAATGTACCTTCTATCAATCTAGAACCAAGTGAGTTTCCTGGGACCATGAGAAGAGCTGTGGACGAAGATGATAAAAATTGCTGGATTTCCCCAAGTGGTTCTGGATTCATGATCAGAGGAAAGACATACTTGAAAGACAGTACTAAGGTAGTTCCATAAACTCTTAAAAATCAGTCACGCTTCCATGAAAGTTATTTCAGATTGTCTTAATTTTATTGATAAGAAAGGATTTTATAGATTAAGAGGTAGGATTCACAAATCACAATAGAAGGAACCTAAAACTAAGTGATTAGGGGATCAGATAAAGAGGTATAGGAGCTGATTGTTTTTGTGCTTATAATAAATACTATTGTTGTATTCAAACTCGACCACTATAACATCGGATTTTAATAATTGCATAGTTAAGAGTCTTGACCAGAAGATTCATCCTTAATTTGGAAATTTGTTGAGGCTGCTTACATAAACTGATTGGTCATAACTTTAGAAATTTGGAACATTGTCCAATATCATGAGGTTATAGCTTTTTGTCGATACGTATTATATTCCTCCCAATCAAATGATCAGAGAATTTTGTTTATCAAGCTTATGCCGTGTGACGTGCTTTCAGATAAAAGGTGGACAGCCACTTCTCAAACTCATAGCAGTGGACTGGTTCAAGGTGGAAGGCTGTTTATCAAATGCTGCGTTGCATCCAAGAAGCCTTGTTCAGGTTAGCCCATAAACATAACATAGTTATCATTTATGATCACTCAACCATCCCCTTGTTCGTCTTATTTATTAAATGATTCTGTTTGTAATGGCACAGAGTGAGCAGGGGAAAAAGCTCCCGTTTATTCTGGTTGTAAATCTTCAGGTGCTCGCTTTTTCTTGAACGACTACTATTACAAAAACTTGCAATTTCTACATACTGTAGCAGAATCTCTTTATGAATTTTAGAAAATGAATATATTTTAGCTGATGAATGAGATGCTGGATAGGATTACATGACTGAATCTAATTCTCTTGCAAATGTTTTACTGAGGCAAAATTTTATTGGTGGCTACTAATTCAGATCCCATCGAAGCCGAACTATAGTCTGGTTATGTATCATGCTGCAGACAGGCCCGTAAGAGAGGATTCACTGTTGGGTAAATTTATTGATGGTACCGATGCGCATAGGGACTCTAGGTTCAAACTTATTCCAAGCATCATTGAGGTAGCTAACACTTTATGCTATTTTTCAAAACATTTCTGTTCTGACTAACCTTTTCCTACGCATATCTTAATTTCGTGCTTGTTACAGGGATACTGGATGGTAAAGCGCGCAGTCGGAACAAAAGCTTGCATGCTAGGAAAGGCTATAAATTGTAAATACCTCAGGCAAGACAATTTTCTGGAGGTGAGTATCGGATCATCATCCTAAGTACTAGTTGTGAAATCCATATTGGCTACCGAAATTCTTATCTATTGGAAGACTATATGATGTTCCATCCATCCACCAATTATATGCTCGATTGAGCTGGACACGGATTTTAATGAATATAATATATTAGTTAATAATAATTTAAGTACATGATTGAATTAACGAAGTTAGAGAAAATTTTGTAAATAAGTGTAATGTTAGAAAAACATAAATTAAAGAGTTTATAAGAATATTTTGCTTGGAAAGTGAATATTTTTTTTTGGACCAAAAAAACGAGGAAGCAAACATATTTTATATGCATTTTCCTACGAATTTAATCATTTAGGTTTAACATAGTATCAAAGGGGAAGTCCCGAGTTAAGCGACTATATAATATGGTAATTAATGATGCATTTCATAAGTTTAAATTTTTAGGTGAGATGATCTTTTAATATCATTATCAATGAAATTGTACTTATGTATGGTTGGATACAGATTGACGTGGACATTGGCTCATCTTCAGTAGCGAAGAGTGTGATCGGGCTTGTCCTAGGCTACGTAACCAGCATTGTTGTTGATCTTGCAATGGTTATAGAGGTTCGTCGATTGAATTAGCTAACAGTTTGTTCTTCGACAATGATTCATTAAAGTTAATTTATTACAGGGAAAAGAAGAATCTGAACTCCCGGAATACATCCTTGGAACCATCAGACTAAATCGCGTGCAGCTCGACACTGCTGAATCAATATGATTCGATCAATACTCGATTTGCCCGAAGCACTAGGTACATTATTTCAATTTCTGACTTGTTGTGACAATTATTATGGATTAGTTTTGATTTATCCATAATATGTTACAAAAATTTTGTATTGAAAAGATGTCTGGGGGCAACATTCTGCTGCTCACCTCAGCTCAAGCCTGATTTGTAATGTTTTGTTCTCTATCTTGTCATATGTTTGTTAAATTAAGGGTCATAGTACTAGATGTATTAATTAATTTTGTAAAATTTATACAGTAATTTATTTATTTACTATCATTTGTTATTTTGTAATGTTTTTTTTTATTTTTTTTTTGTATTATTATTGCTCTTCCCATCTTTTTTGGGATGATATAAAGTTGAAATTCAATAATTTTGGGGGAAAATACAAACAAAAGAAGTTATTTTTGAAACAATCCAATTTTCAAACATATGTAGAGAGAGTCCAGCAGCAGTTTCTTTGGAATTTTTTTTACTTTTATAATTTCTATTATTTTATAAAAATACACTATAAATATTTCGTAAAGTAAATAAAAATAAAATAAATTCATAAAGAAAATATCAATTCACATCAATTTTTAACATATCTTTTTTCGTATATATTTAATTAAAAAAATATATATATATTTATTTTTACAAAAACATCTAAAAACAACACAACTAAATATTTTAATACCTCTTTTATTATTCTGCATACAAAAAAATGTGTTGTCTGTGGGTTTGAGTTATTGGGTTTGAATTTATAAATAGTAAAAATTGATGCAGTGATGTTTTAAATGTAAAATAAATTTGTAGTATAATATAAAAAAATAATTATTTGATTTGATTTGATTTTATTTTTTTAAAAAATTTGACTAATTAAAACCTCAATAAAATTTAGAAAAGAACACAACCTTTTAACACTGAAAAACCAGCTCTAAGAGAAGACAACTTCGACAAAATCCTTTTACCACGAATTTTATTGACAAATAGATTATTTGCAAAACATCCAAAAATCAAAACCAATCCCTCCAACCAAACAAGAAAAAAAATATACTAAACACTATTCCCATCTAAAAAATCCACCTTAAATTCAAAATACTTTCAAAAAACAAAAAATATATATATATATACTTCATATAAATTATCGATGGATCGATCGATCTAAGGGCAAGCCGAGTTTTTTCCCGGCCCTCCATGGAATAGAAAAGCTCCCCAATTCGCATATTCACCTTCCGGCGTCACTTGTATGGTATAGCAATTACTCTCATCCATAATCACGACGGGAGTTGGGGGCGTGGTTAGCGCGCCATTTTCATCGACAATTTGCATGTTTCTTATTAAAGCTGCTTTTTTGAACCCTTCTGAAGCAAAATGACCACTCCCCATTTCGGTCGTTGTATGCCCCGATGATGGATCGCGGATCGTGAATATTTCACCCCCAAAATCGACAGTCGTATTTGGACTAGTCCATAAAAGAGTGAATATTTCTGCTGGCCAGTAGCCCACTGTTTCGCCCCCGAGCTCTAGCCACCAGGCATCCGCATCCTGTAACAATAATGACGGAATCGGAATAAAATTAGAAGGGGGAATTCTTTTTTCGATTTTACGAAATAAAATCAAAATACAAAATAATAATACTAAACAATATAAAAATACTTTTTATAAAAGTCAAAAATAAAACCGAATAAGTCAAATATTCAACTTGAAAACAATATATATTTTTTGATACAATTTCTTGTGCCATACAAAAAGAATCAATCCATCTAAAAATACTGAGTAAATAAAATTAATATCGAATAAGAAATAGTACGTATAATTTTTGATTAAAAAACAAAAATAAAAATAAAAATCAACACTTGATATTTTTTTTTTATAGATTTCTTTTAATTTATTTATTATATAAAACATTTAATAGTTAACCAAAGAATCATATCTCATTTATCAAAACCTTGATAATATATCATTTAACAATTTTTATTTATTTTTATTTTTTTCATATGATTCAATAGATTTCTTGTATGATTTAAAATATATATATTTTTCTTTTGCTAAAATAGAGAAATTGGAAAACTTTCGACAAAGTTTTTATATGATAATAAATAAATAAAATAATAATTACCTTCCAAACGTGCAAGTTAATTTCTAATTGATCTCCATTGTACGTCGAAGCAGCTGCGAAGGATCCTCCGACTAATACTTTTGTACTGAACTGAACAAACCCTGAACAGATCAAATTGTAACACCCTGTATTCTGGTAAGCATCCCTCTGCATGCAAAAATAAAATTAATTAAATTAAAATACACACACTTGACGCCGATGTATGAATATATATATATAATCGACAAGAGAATAATTACCGATCAAAGATCAATTTTTTTTTTATTCAACAAAAACTACTCACAAAATGAAAGACTCTGTATATATGGAGTCGATAATCCTAAAGTTTAAATAAGAATAATTGCAAATTCTTTTAAAAAATCCTAAACCGTTGAGAAATGTTGATTTGAAATCGTAAACAGATCTCATATAGACAAAAAATTATTGTACGTCATGGCAAAGCAATGATTTTGACCCATTCGATTATTTTGGATGTATCGTGCATTTTTTGTCTAATTTTGAGCACAAAGACAAAAGAATGAAATAAAGAAAGGATAAGTTGGTAAAATTTGACAATACTTAATTTCTTAAAGAGTGAATAAAATCTTAAAAATAGTAATTTTGTCACTATTATTTCAAATTAATGACTACTAATTGCATCAATATATATATATATATGCAATGATAATATGCACCGCCATGCATGCAAAATTTTATAATTTCCTTCATGAATGAAAAAAAAAAAAAGACAACGTTCTTACAGTCCAATAGACGAACAATCTTGGACGGTCATCGCCATATTGCATCGGGTAAACCTGTAATAAATAATTTTAGAGGCTATAGAGAAAGAGTTATACGAGTCGAGCTCAATTTGGTAATCATAATATCATTGAGTTGAACTAAGATCTTAAAAAACTACAAACTAAAATGGTTACTTCACATATATAAATCAAGCTCGAGTTTGAACTGAAATTTGCCGAGTACATTTCATCTAACAGTTGGATTTGAGTTTAGGATTTAAAATAATACTAAAAATGAAGTATTAATATTTCACATGATATAAATAAATATTGTTTTAATTTTAATTTTTTTTTTAAAGTTTTTAGGTAATATTCTAATAAATATAATATATTTAATTCTCCACTAATGTCCCTCGTAAACTTTTTTTTTTGTAATGTTTTAAAAAAATAATAAAAAATGAATAATGCTAAATGAAAAGTAAATATATAAGAAATGTCTATTTATTTGAGTTTGAGAATTTATAACTCAATCAAAATGCTTTTCTAGAAGATAAAAGTATCATTATTTCTTAAAAAAATAAAATACTCGGCTGGCTCGATTCAATTCAATTCAAATAATATGATACATTAGTACCTGCCAACCAGCTTCAACTGTGTTGAGATCATCAGTTTCGAAAGAACCCGCACTTATCCACATTTGTGCTAAGCTAAATTCCTCTGTACTCTCCACCTTAGGTGCCCAAACATTAAAAAACGCCTTTGCTCCGCGAAACGTCCCATTTACCCTCGCAATTGAGTGCTGCATATCGATTTATTTATTTCTTTTAAACAAGACTTTCTTGAAAATAAGTTATCGAATGATTAGAATTGTCCTAATATCTCGAAATACAAGTAGATTGCGTACTTTAATATATAATATATGCATACAAAAAATTGTATGCACACGCACATATATATATATATATAGACACATACCTGGTGATCATCTGAAGCTGTTGCTTTTGAATTCCGGCCTAGTTTTCGTCCAAATCTTTCAATAGAACTTGCTCGGAGTAGATCTTGTTCGGTTGTTCTTCGAATAGGAATACTCCCTTCCGGACACGATTCATTAGACTTTGTCCAAATTTGAAAGTGTCGATCTTGCTTGCCGGTCATTGACAACATGTTCCTCTTCAAACTTTTCGGTGGATCCTACAATTTAGTTAAAAAATACATTTATACTCATAGTATAATCTAATAACTTTTTACTTGAGATAATTAAATTTAATTTGTGATAGATAAAAAATTTAGGATAGCTATATTCGTATAAAAGATGATACAAATCATTCATAATTCCATGAAATTGAATAGTAAAAAAGCAATGTTTATAATGTTTTGTTTTATCTAGTTAACAATTAATCAATATATCATTAGTTATAATTATACTGTTATAATTATATCAGAAACTAAAAATATTTTAGGTAGAAATAATATCATTAGATGTTATAGTAGATATCACATTATCTTATATTTGTTTAGGCCAAACTTACAAGTTTCATTTCAATTTTTTTACTATACAACAATCACAATTTCTATTTGTTTAATGTCTCAATTTTAAGTTTTTTTTTTTTTTTTAATAAAGTATGAAAATTTAGTCAATAATATAAAAATAATATTTTAAATTGAATTTTTAATTTTTATGAGAAAATAAAATATATATATATATATATAAATACATTGGAAATTGTGTTAAGAAAAATTGGTTGAGTGAACAAATCTACAATATTTTTTATCGTAAAAAATATTAAGGATTATAATCTTATATATATTTGAAATAAATATGTTCGAAATTCAATAGTATAACTCACCAATAAATTATGTCCTTTCAAGAGTGGATGATCGAAGGCGGGCTGTTGATGAATCAAAACACAATCAACGATATCACCATCGGGGCTCTGTGTAAAACAAGAAGAACAACAAAACAGCTGAATAATCGAATCGAATTAACTGTTCGAACATAAATAACATGACAATAAATAGATTAATGTTGCCTGAATGGTCTTGACAGCAGGTTTATTCATTTTACTCAAAAGAGCTTTGATGTTGTCCGACTCTGCGATCTCATCTCCCGTCATGAAGTTCCGAATACGAAGCTCTGCATTTGCGTAGGAGACGAAGAACACTACGAAGAACAAGAAAGATGAAATCATTGGCAAGATTTGGCGGTAGAAAGAAGCCATTTTGATGAAAAAAAAAATCTTATCATGCACGAGATTAATGTTTCGTGTAGCTTAGTAAATCTTATTTATATATAGTGAGACATGTGTATGAACCCTAAAAATTAAAATTTTGAATCATAGTAAATTCCATAATAAGAGGATTCTGTGAATTTTACCAATAATATAATTCTGCCCTCTTCTATGTTTCATCTTATGTTATTTAAGGACATTAATCGAATTAATTATCTAATATTTTTGTACATATATAGAGATTGTATTTTTACCATTTTAAATCCAAATATATATTATTCCAAAATCCACATATATATTATTCACTTGCACGATTTTGATTAAAATATAATATTTTTTTCTTACAAAAATATCGTATCAAAATATTATTTAAACAAATATATTAATTTAAAATTTATTTTAAATTAATTTCAAATTACAATCAACCAAAGCAAATTCATAAAATTTTCTTCATTAATTAATTATATTTTTATTTTTATCCTCCCAAGCCTACTATAAGAGAAGGTGATGGGTAAATCCAAATTACTTTTCTCTATTTTTATTTGCCTCATTTAACATATATAAAATATATTTGGGTGCTAGGATTTGCCTTCCATTGTTCCTGATTTTTCCTTCTTTAAAATATATCAAATCAAATCATATATATATAAGATTTATTTAGATAAAAATTTTGGAAGATTTTAGAAATTTGAAAAATAATAAAAAAATTAGATACTTGATATGATATTTTGCTAAAACACGATATATTTGTATAATATTTTTTAAAAAAGTTAAAAAATTGATTACTAGTGTAAATATATATATATATAACTATAGACTTTGTTCTTTCAATAATTCTTACACAATTTTTTATACTTCACATAAAAAAAAAATTTCATTGTCAACAATCTCACAAATCAAACACACTGTATTTAACTAGATTCATTTGTAACATCATATCAATTTCAATTCCAATTTTTATCATTCCTAATTCAATACACTACAAAAAAATATCAATTTTGTAACGAGATTTTTTCGTTCTTAAATTCATTTTTTCCGTTACTAATGATATTAGAGACGGAATTAGAGATGAAATTACGTTAGTTACGTGAACTTTAGGAACGGAATTCCGTTACAAATATACTATTTTTTTTTTTTTGGTAGTGAATCCATCTCTCAACAAAAATGATAGAGACAACTATATTATTTTGCGAAGTAATTAAAAATTAAAACCAATCCCTCTAAGCAAATAAGAATACATATTAAGAACTATTCCAATCTAAATTCACTTTTAAGTTCTTATAACTCTCAAAAACACTATACTTCACATAAATTGACGATCAAAATCGCTCCAAGGGGCAAATAGAACTTTTTCCCGGTCCTCCATGATAGATAAAAGTTCCCCAAATCGGATCTTTAGTCGGTAGATGCACTTCCATGTTATAGCAAGTATTCGAGTCTATAATAACTTTGCTAATCGGAGCGGGAATTAGTGCGCCATTCTCATCGACAACTTGCATATTTCTAATGAAAGCTGCTTTCTTGAACCCTTCCGAAGGGAAATGGCCACTCCCCATTTCGGTCGTCGTGTGCCCCGATGATGGCATCCGGCCTATAAATACTTCGCCTCCAAAATCAACGATCGTATCCTTACTACTCCACAAAAGTGTGAATATTGATGATGGCCAGTAGCCCACGGTCTCTCCTTCAACCTCTAGCCACCATGCATCTGCATCCTAACAATAAAAATGCATATGTATCAAAGTTGGTCCTGACTTTCGAAGGGTCTGAAACGAAAAAAAAAAAAAAAAAAAAACCCTTATATAATTAAATAAAATAAATTTTCTAATTTTTTTTTTAAAAAATAGTATTAAAAAATATTTATATATATATATCAAATAAGTTCTACATATAAAAATTATATATATACAACAGACCTCTATTTATATTGGTCTTGAACAAGCGTTCCTTTCGCCCGGGTCAGGGTGATATGTATGTACGAAAGCATAAGTAAAAAAATTATGCAATTTAATTTTGTGTTTGAACAATTTAAAATATATATATATATATATATATAAAGGTATTTTGATGTGATAAGGTTAAAAACCATTTTAACTTAAGGAAATTTACCAAAAGGAAAATGTTATTAAGGTGAATAGTATTTATACTGCTAATGGAGTAATGGTGTTATAATTTATTTTAAAACCTTATCTGTTATAGTTAAAACTTTGAAATTATTTAATATGATTGAAAAGGTATATTTTTAAAAATTTGACATTTTAATCATATTTCTTAATTTTAAGATTAGTATATTATATAAATTAAAAATAAAAAATATACAATTTTGACTTCAAATTGATTATACTAAACAGGCTAATGCATTCCACAGTAACAAAATTATCATGCTTTAAAATTTTTTAAATCATAATAAATAAAATTAAAAGTTTAAGTTTAAAAACAGATAAATTAATATTTTTGAAATAAAAATTGCTGTTGAATTTATTATTTTAAAAAGTAGATTTCCAAAAACCCTATATTATCAATTTATATTTATTTAAATTATTATATATGTAAATTAATTTTTATTTAAAACATCACATCAAAATAAAATTGATTGAATTTTTTTAATATTTTCAAAATAGACTAAAACACAAAATTACCACTGAACAAATGGATTAGAGGGAAAGCTATCACCTGTTTTAGCAAATTTATTATATCCTTCGATGGACAGTCTTATTAGCCAAATTTATATTCAAATATACATTATAAAAAAATATAATATATTTGTAAAGAAAATTAGATACGGACAACATTAGCTAAGTGAACTTTAGGGATATAATTTAATAAATTAAGTCACTAATTCTATTCATAATGTTATTAGTAATGAAAAAAATTTGTTACAAAAATACTATTTTCTTGTAGTATATCTATTTTTGTTTCTTGGGTACCCTTTATTTATTTATTTATTTTATATATATATATATCTTTACTAGTTCTAAAAGTAAAAAAAAAAAAGAAAATTCAATTATTGCTCATTCTCCTTTTAATGTGTGCATAAATATATGAACACACAATTTACTTATTCTTTAAAATATAGTATCCACAAACTTTTATTATATCTTCAACATCTTTATTAATTTTATTTAATACATAAATATTCGATAAATTTGCAATATAATTATAGTACTATTATTGTTTAATAGTTCAAAAGTGTAATAATGTCACTTATCATTTAACAAAGGCGGATTAAGAAACATTTTTCACTGATATTACAACATATAAACTTAAGAATAATCGGGTAGCGGCTGCAAGTTTCCACGTCATTAAAATAATAATAATAATAATAATAATAATAATAACATAAATTTAAAATTCTCGATGTAGAATGAAAGATACAAATAATTTACCTACTATAATAATTTTCTAGGCTTCTTAATTGTTTTTTATGCTCTTTAATATAAGCATTTCAAATTTTGAATGAGCCACTAATGATTATTTTTAATTCATTGAATAAAATAGGGTAAATTGTTTTTTTTTTTTAATCCCGTAATTGGACACCTTTATCATTTTAGTCCTGTAAGTGGAGCCTGTCACAAACTAGTCCTATAAGTGAAAATTTTTCGTTGTTTTAGTTCTCCGGCGCCAGAGACGACCGCGTGGCTCGTCGGAGGCTACGTGCACGTGGATTTTTTTTTTTTTTCATTTTTTTAAATTTTATTTTAAATTTATTTTAAATTTTATTTTCCTTTTTTTATATATATTTTTATTTGGTCCAGTTGAAAAAAAAAATAAAAATAAAATAAAATAAAATAAAATCCACGTGTCCACCATGATCTGACGGACACGTGGCTTCCGGCGAGCCACGCGGGCGTCTCCAGCGCCGGAGGACTAAAATAACATATTTTTTTTCACTTATAAAACTAGTTTGCGACAGGCTTTACTTATGGAACTAAAATGATAAGGTCCAATTAAGGGAAAAAAAACCAGTTTACCGATTAAAATAAATAGGTACCTTCCAAATGTGCAAGTCAATACCAAATTGTTGTCCATTGTATGTGGAAACAGGTGTGATGGATCCCCCAACCAATATTTTGCTGCTGAATTGAACAAAACCTTCACACAACAAATTGTAACATCCTGTTTTCTCATAAGCATCCCTCTGAAAAAATAAAAATAACGTTATCAAAAAAAATAAATAAATAACAAAAATAAAACACTACAAGAAAAAATCATTTTTGTAACAAAATGTTTTTGTTTCTAAATCTACTTTTTCCGTTACTAATGACATTAGAGACGGAATTAGTAATAGAATTACGTTAGCTACGTGAACTTTAGGGACGGAATTCCGTTACAAATATATTATTTTTTTGTAGTGAAAATACACACGAGATATGACCTAGTAATTATTATTCAGTAGAAACTACTCACAAAACGAAAGATTGATATTTATTTATGAAATGGAAAATCCTAAAGCTTTAAATAAGAATAATTACAAAATTTTAAACGAAAAAATTTGAAAAGTAGAAAACGTTAATTTGAAACCCGAAATGGTCACACATGGACAATAAACATTGTATGCCATGGAAATACGGTGAATTCGATTTGTTGGTTGGTTTCGGATGATAAACATCACTACAAGAAAAAAATCATTTTTGTAACAAAATTTTTTTGTCTCTAAATCTATTTTTTTCGTTACTAATGACATTAGAGATGAAAATATGAATGAAATTACGTTAGCTACATGAACTTTAGGGACAGAATTCCGTTACAAATATATTATTTTTTTGTAGTGCATGGACGAATTTTGTTTACTTCCAAACTCAAACACAAAAAAATAAGAATTAATTAGTAAGAATATTTGAGAATGGAAGTGATAATAGGATCTTAGAAATAATAATAATCTTGTTCTCACTCCAAAAAAAAAATAGTATATTTGTAACAAAATTCCGTTCCTAAAGTTCAGGTAACTAACGTAATTCCATCTCTAATTCCGTCTCTAATATCATTAGTAACGGAAAAAATAAATTTAGGAACGAAAAAACTTCGTTACAAAATTGATAATTTCTTGTAGTATCTATAAAATAAAATAAAAAGACAACATCCTTACAGTCCAAAAGACGAACAATCTTGGAGAGGTGTCGCCATATATCTGCGGGTAAACCTATAATAAATAATTTTAGAGGCTATAGGAAAAGAAATTATACAAGTCGAGCTGCTCCATAACTCAATCTGTTAATCGTAATAACATTCTTAAGAAAATATACAAATAAAATGGTTACCTTATATATATATATCAAGCTCGACTTTGAACTGAATTTTTCTGAGTATGCATGTTTCTTTAATGGTTGAATTTGAATTTAGGGTTTAAAAATAATAAAATTTTAAATTATGATCGTATGTGATATGACATAAATATATAATATTTTTAATAAAAAAAATAAATATTTTGTGTAATCAAATTAAGTTTCTTTTTCTTTTTTTTTTTTCAAAATAAAATAAAATATTCGACTCGTCCAATTCAAATAATAGGGATGCATTAGTACCTGCCAACCAGCTTCAACTGAGTTGAGATCATGATTCTCATAAGTACCTACCACTACCCACATTTGTGTTAAGCTAAATTCATCTGAATTCTCCACCTTAGGTTTCCAAACATTAAAAAATGCCTTTCCTCCGCGAAAAGTCCCTTTTGTCCTTGCGATCGCATGCTGCATATCGATTTTTTCTTGTTTAAAATAAGACTTTAAAAATAAATTATCAAATGATTAGAATTGTCCTAATATCTTGAAATACAAGTAGATTGTGTGCTTGAATTTTACCTTGTAATATATTATAAATGCGTGCAAAAAATTGTACTCACAATTCTATATACTTCTTTCGTCCCTTAACAATCTATCAATTTTTCTATTTTGGTCCGTCTAATAACAAAGTATCAATTTTTTTTAGTAACTTTCTGTTAACATTAAAAATACACTTACAATTTACAATATATTACACAAATGCTATTATCTTTATATCACACAATACTAATAAAGTTATTTTAATCTTTTCTATTTTATTCATACCACATTCAAATACAATACTAATATACCTAAAACTCCGTGTAAAAAACAAACAGATAAATAAATAAGGAACGGATGGAGTATGTATATATATATATATATATGCAAATTATTGGGGGTGAGATTATATCCCATATACATAAGTTGTATGTATATATACACAAGAGAGAGTGTGTCCGATGTGTTTTCTTTGATAGGTTTTGAAAAATTTTGGTTTGAATTTGGTACTAAAATATTGTATGATGAGATATTTTATGAGATTTTTTCGAAAAATACATAATCCAAATAGTAAAATTTTTGAGTTCTGGTGTTAAAGAAACACACCCGTTCGAAACTTAAAGATGAGGTTAAAAGATTATTAACATGAGCTATTTGTGGGTTTAAAATTGCTAAATTCTTATTTTAGCGTAGCTAAGACATAAATAAGTTTAATCGAATTAGATAATCAAAGTTTGTGTTTTCCATTATTATTATTTTTTCATTATTGCATTATTTATCTTAACATAGAATAATTAATTTAAAACACACCTCATGGCCTCCTTCATCTGTCTTTGAAATCGGACTTAGTTTTCGCCCAAATCTTTCGATAGAACTTGCTCGGAGTAGATCTTGTTCGGTTGTTCTTCGAATGGGAATGGTACCTTCCGGACACGATTCATTCGACTTTGTCCAAACCTGAAAGTTTCCACCTTGCTTGCGGGTCATTGACGACATGTTCCTCTTCAAACTTTTATGTGGATCCTACAAATCAAAAATACATTCGATCTAATCACTTATTTACTTTAAATAATTAAATTTGCTGATAAATTGGAATTTAGGATAGCTATATTAAAAATAAAAGATAATTTAATTATTCATAATAATTGTATGGAGATTAATGGAACTAATTATATATAAGTTTCCTTTATTTTTAATATTTATCCTAAGCCTTACTACAATAGCGGCTCATGGCCCAAATTGCTTAATTAATATAAAACAAATACACCAACAATGTAATCTTAATTTTTATTTATATTTATATCATATTAATATAAATTATTTTTGGCAAAATTTTAAATTCAATACTTTGTAATTCACCGCGCCACAGTGTTGAATATCATATTCATAGCTAGCAAATAGCACACGCTAATGTTAATTACAACACATCGTTTATATTAATATAATACAAGCACATCGTATGAACTAAAAACAAGACATAGACATGGTAATGTTAGTGACAGTCATTTATATTTATATAATACAAATACAATACATAAATTAACAACACACTATATAGTTTCATACAACACATGCTAACATACACTTGTACAGCACACGTGCAATTATAAACAAATGACACACGTCATTATTACAAACAACACGTACTATTTTTAATAATAACTTGTGCAATTTTTGTATTTTATGGGTGTTGATTTAAAAAATCAGTACGGTATTGATTTTTCAAAATGAGCACGGTAACCTTCCTCCTTGTAATTTCTTAGGCTATGTATATTTGAAAGATTTTATGTTTGATTTTAGCTATTTCAATTTTATTTTTTCTCTAAAAATATCAAATCAAATATATACTATTTATTTATTTTAATACATTAAAATCTAATTTTACAATATCACATGTCAATATATATTTATATCACATCAAATCACTATTTTTTTAAATTTTAAAGCCAAAACCAAAAATTTGAATTTTTTTTCACTAAAACCAATTTTCATAAATTTCAATTAATACAATAATCATAATCGTATCAACGGGAAAGGAAATTTTTTTTCACTTGCTCTTTTGGGAAGCGCGCTACAGAAACCGCCACACAGCAAATCGTTACTTCTCCATCTCCATGTTTGAGTTGGGGATTTTTCGCGATCAACTTCGATTCTTCTCCGGTTCCCACTTTCTTTCCTGTAAGTTCTTTCGACATGATTTGGTTCCTCTGTTCGCGGCAGAAATAATTTTGTATTCGTTGTATGCATTTTTATTTTTTTCAGTCTGATTTATGGCGCTGTGCGATTGAATTTTATGGTGGTTTTGCTCGGTTTAGTTGTTTTGCTTCTGTGTTTGTTTCGGGTTACGTTTAAATCATGTAAGAAATAGGCACAGAAACTCTACGGTGTTCCCAAATTTTTGAAGCTCTGCGATTTTCAACGAAAAATTCATTTGAGTTCTTGTTTGTCCCAAAGAGTTGAAGGAAAAGGAATGATGATAGTTTGGTTGGTTCGAATGATTTTTCCGATTTGTTTCTTTCAAATGCTTGAGTGAAGGTAAAGAGACGATTTCCTTATTAGTGACTTTGAGGAATTCCTTTTAGTTTGTTTTTTTGGATTTTATTTCGAAATTTTCTCCTTCTTACATTGTGTACGCTGATGCTTCGATTTTGGTAGGGTGGAAGGAGTTTTATTGCAAATGTTAATGAGTGTGTGATGATCATTGATTGAGCCACTAGAATGGTGTTAAAATTGAAAACTCTGTAGTTGTGCACTTGTGCTTATGTAAATGAAAAATCACACAAGTTCTCAAAATGTGTGTCTGTGTTGCTTTCTTTCAAATAGGTCTCGGTATCTCTACTACGTGCCTTTGCACACATTTTCGTGCGGCTTAAGATGTCGTATCTAGCCATGGATTCAGGGAATATGAAGATTTATTGATGTAACTTAGCTCTACACTGATTTCTTTTCGACGATCTTTTTTTGTGTGTTTAGTTTTATGTCTTACATTTGTGTGGTTTTTATATGACGGGTTTTTAGTGATTGTTCCATGATTCATTTAGCGTCTCATAGAAACAAGATAAATCAATAAAAACAATGAAATGATATTGTTAAGAACGGGATTCCAACTTAGAATCAATTAGTTGTAATTGGAGTAGCCCTTCACCTGCTAGGGGAGTCCCAACATTAATTTCAATTTGAGATATTCAACAATCCCCTCGAGATGATAATCTAAAAACTTCATCCAGGATCAATTCCCAATACGGACATTATAGATCTAATAGCTCTAATACCATATTAAGAAGTGAATCCGGGATTTCAACTTAAAATCAATAATCAAACCGAGTCAACCGATTGTCCAAAAGTCTCAAAACTACTCTCGATTAAATACTACTACTAAACCTTACTTACTATAAGTTGAGTGTTTTTTTTTTTATTTTTTCCATTACAATGGCAGGTTCTGTCGAGAAATGGAACAAGCGCGAAGTATGGTGGTGTCGAAAAGAGTTTGGGAATCCGTAAAGATGTATACAGTTCAGTGCGCCAAATGTTCGAAATGGAGGCTCATACCAACAAAAGAAATGTACGAGGACATACGAGAAATGATTGCAGAACAGCCATTTATATGTGAAACAGCTCGCAAGTGGCGGCCTAATGTATCGTGTGAGCACGAATCTGATGTGAACCAAGATAGCAACATGTGTTGGGCTATGGACAGACCAAGCATTCCCCGAACACCTTCTGGCTGGCAACGAATTATCCGTGTCAGGGCTGAAGGAGGAACAAAGTTCGCTGATATGTAAGTACATCATAATAGTTGTTTATTAAGGTGTGTCTATTTGTGGGTTTGGATTTTTTAATAGTAAAAAGTTGAATTTGAATAATTGTTCGATGTGATGTAAATAGATATTAATGTGATGTTTTGAATGTAAAATTGATTTATAGAATAACATATAAAAGAAAAGTAATTGTTTGATTTGATATTTTTTTAGGAAAAAAAAGAATTTGAAAAAATTCATGGTAAAATCCACAAAAGAACACAAAATTTTCTTTGCTGATATGTTTAAATGTGACTGTACGTACGTTTTCCTTTCTTATTTACATTGGCTGTTGCTTCATCTTGGCAGCTATTATGTGACACCTGCTAACAAGAGGTTGCGTTCGAGGGTTGAACTCGACAGGTAGCAGTTTTTATGCGCACTTGTTCGAAATAAGATGGTGCTGGATGGTTTTCCATTCGATAGATTTCTTTTTTTTTTTTTTTTAAATTAATCGGCGAGAGGGATGTTTGGACTATATTATGTTTTAGGTACATTGCAGAGCATCCACACGAAGGTATCAGCGCATCTCAGTTTTCGTTTCAGCCTCCAATACCATTGAGCGGGAACTATGGTGCTAGGCGTCGCGCCCATTCACCGTCTTCAAATGAGAATGCCGCTCGACTGGAAGGTTATTCAATATCTTTACGCCGCGTTTTTCTTTTGGGGATTATGAAATATTGTAGATGATTATAGACGAAAAATGGTAAAACACGGGGACTATATAGAGGTTTAAGTTTGCGCGCCATTGATGTGTAGCTATGCTTAAGAAATGTAAAAAGTTTATTGTTCTCGTTGCAGTTCAGCCTATTTCAAACATTAATACTTCGAACAATCAGATGAACACACGATGCGGCAACCCTGCAGCCGGCAAGACCATGTAGAGCGATGCTTGAGGTGGAAGTCGAGGTACTTATAATACTTTGTTATTTTGTGTTTTCTTGGGTTTGGCAGTCGAATGGAGGTTGTTCTTGAGAGTGTTCTTGATCATACACTAGAATCTTGTTTTGAATGAACTATTTTGTTTGTTTGTGTATGTGTGTATATTTTATAACGTGGGAATTCGTAGAAAATCTCTTATGATAAGGTGTCGGCATAATTTGAATATATAATCTTGTGTCGTAAATTTGTCCACCACACCAACTCAACCACCCGTGTAGGCATAAGAAGGGTAGGAATCTATTTTATACTATACACTACGAGTGTGTTTGTTTGGAGGATTGGATTTAAATTCAACTATTTATCTAATTTTTTTTTCCCAAAAAACATCAAATCAAACACCTATTTTTTATTTTTTATATAATACTGAAAATTAATTTTACATTCAAAACATCACATCAATACCTATTTATATTGCATCATACAACTATTCAAATTCAAAATTTTTACTATTCAAATCTCAATTCAAAATCCAAACTCCCAAACAAACAAACATATTTTCAAATAGTTTTCTACTTATACTTTAGATTCATATTATTCGGACATACACTAAGTTAATGATAATATGTATTACATGGACAATTATTATGTACGTCCGCTTATGTATTATATTATTATATTATGTGTTGCCTGACGTTTCCTACTGTGCTGAATTTAATTAATGTTGGTTATATTATACAATAATAAAAATACCGTCAAAATAGGTTGAGCCCGTCGGGTTGGCCCGTCCCATATTACTTTTAAGAAGGATTGGATTGTAATTTTTTAAACTCGTTAAAATGCGGCTTAAATGGGCCAACTCGCATGGGCCGTGGGTTGAGAGTGGGCTAGCCCGCAGTGGGCGAGTTAGCTCGCAGGCCAAATAAATATAATAATTAGTACCACTCGTCTAACTAAATGTATTTTTTTACTATTTTTTACTATCGCATTAAAAAATTATAATAAAAGTAGTCAAATATCAATACGATAATGTATTTTAATTTTATATAAATTACAAATATAACATTATAAATACAATTAATTTATAAATAATGTACAAACAGTAAAAAATATCAAAATCATCTTATACACTTTATTTAATAAATAAAGTATTATTATTTTCAATCTACTGAAAAGTGATATTTTAAGTTAAGACGAATAAAATAAAATTTATATTATCATTAGCTTAAATAAATTATCAATATTGTCTGCACTGTTTTTCTTCTCCAACTATATTATCATGTCATTTTCGATTTTTCATCATTTGTTTTCTTTGTGTTCTATTTTATTATTTTATAATTTTACAAATTCATAAAATTAGTTATGATTTATTTTTAAAATAGAGTATTTCTTATTATTAATTTTTTTAAGTATACCAACTAATAATATTTAGAATTGAAAATTTTTATATTTTGTATTTATTGTAAAATATTTATTGTTTAAATTCTACAATAAAACTATTTTTAGCTATTTTTAAATACTAATTAAAAAAATATTTATAATATTAATATTTTTTTAATATTTAAAAAAATTTCATGGGCTAGCCCGCTTAACTTTCCACCCGCCGGTGGGTTGGATTGGGCTGATGAAATTTTGATCCGTAACGCCGCGGGTTGGCCCACAAATAACCCGTTTATTTGCGGGTTATTGTGGATTGTAGGCCAATCCACCCACTAACCCATTTTGACAGGTCTAAAAAATACTAATAAAAATGGAACTGTTTGTTTTTTTTATTATTATTTATGACGTGAGAATTCGCAGCAGCTAATTGTAAATTTCCGGCCAAATCTAGTATCCTGAAAACTGCGTCAAGACAATTTATTATGATAGATGCGATAAGAAGTACGTATGTAGCTTAGATGCAATTTATTTAATGCGTGTAAGCATAACTAGAAGTCCACTCACTTTGCGTACCATAATTTCCTCTTTATGCTTCCCAGGACTTTTTTGCTGAAAATATATAATAAAAGTCAGTTAAATTCAAGGTTCGATATAATACTACTATTAATTAATATAGTATATATTTTTTATAATAATAAATATCTATATTTATTTAAAACTCTTCCAAATTTCTATAATATTTTAAAAATATACTATTCTTCTGTCGATTTTAACAAAAAATAAATGTGACTATTATAGACAGTAGTCGACAGACCCAAAGAATATTTAAAAACAATATTAATTTATTGAAGAGATCAAATCATTCTATTAAATACTCTTTCCACCACTTGTTTACGGTTCAATTTAAAAGTTTATTTTTTTAAAAAAAAATTATGTTTGGTTTACGGTTCAATTTAAAAGTTTATATTTAAAAAAAAAAATTATGTTATATAATAATTATTCTTATTGATATATTTTTTAAATTATTTATTAATTATTTTATTTTTATATTTATATAATTGTTTTTTTTTTACAAATATATTTATATTAGTATTAAAAGAGACTAAATGAAAATATTTTTGTAATTTTTTAAAATTTATATTATATTTAATATAATAATTAATATTAAAAAATTAAATCCACAAAAATTAAATGAGAATCTTAAAACAGGATAAAAATAATATATTTTTCTTAAATTTTCGTCCCGACTAACATAAATACTTTTATTGAGGGCCAGAGTATAATTTTTTTTTTTTTTTTTGGAAAGAACAAAACATTAATACCCTGAGTTGATAGAGCCCAATTGCTGTCGGCGCCGACATGCCACGCAAAGTACCCACCCAACCCCTTCTGCTTAGCATAGGCAACCTTAGCACCAATGGCCTGAGTCTCATCGTACCCAATCCACGTCGTCCCAGAATAGCAATAATTCCCCACAACGGTCGAATTATAAACCACACGCGCATTATTCCGGCTTATAAAGCTCCTAATTTCACCGTATCCCATCGCGCCGCTCCCCGCACCCGCCGGCCCCGACGCCGGCGCCAACACGCCATTGTTTCCGGCGCTCTTCAGGCGCCAAGCATAGCCGTAAAACGGCACGCCGAGCACCAGCTTCTTCGGGCTCAGACCGGCCTGAACCCACCGGTCCACCCCGTAGCTGCCGCTCACGACCGGGTTCGGCCGGTCGAACAGCTTCGCGTGTAAATTGGTGAAGTCTCTGTACCAAGAAGGATCGTAGAAATCGTACGCCATGGCGTTGACGAAATCCAGGCTGGAATCGATCGCCGCCGTCGGATAATTCATTCCATTCAGATCCGACGAGTAGTAAACCGCCGCCGTCAGGAGGAGCGCCGCCTTTCCGGTGGCCGTGGCCTCGGCGGCCGCCGCCGCCCGCCATTCGGTCACGAGGGTTCCGAGGTTGTTCATGTCGGAATTCGTGTCGGGATACTCCCAATCCAGATCGAGGCCGGAGAATCCGTAACTCCTGGCGAGTTTGATGGAGGAGTCGATGAAGGATTTCCGGGCGGCGGGCCGGGCGGCCATGGCGGCGAAGACCGACCGGTTGGCGGATCCGCCGCCGATGGAAATTAGGGTTTTGACAGAGGGGTTTTTCCGGCGGACGGTGGCGGTGAATTGGGCGAAGGAGGCGTTGTTGGAAGGGGAAATATAGAGTTGGTTGGTTTGGGGGTTGAGGGCGACGAATGCGCAGAAGAGGTGGGTGAAGAGAGTGGAGTCTATGGATGAGGCTGGGAATTGACTCTCCGGGAACCAGTAGCCGCCATTGACGGCGGCGGAGAAAGGGAGCTGCAGTTGGAGAAGACAGAGGAGGAAGGCTGAGAGTGAGAGGAGATTAGTGTCTGAAGCCATGGTTATGGAAATGACAGTCCAACTTTACACTTTGCCTTCAACAGGTTGTGTGCGTATATATTAGGCGGCTAAATTCAACACTTTGCTCACAACATACCGCGCACACGGTGTGCTGTCAAACAGTACATGGTTTACTACCGGCAGCAGCACATCGTTCGTATTTATATAATATAAATACAGTACATAAACTAACAACACATGTTATAGTCTTTTACAATACAAATACTACCACATAATGTTATACAATACAGTATAATTACGAAGCTAACATCATCTATCATTAATATAACAACATGTGCTGTGTATAATAAGACTGTGTACTGTTTGTATATATTACAGGTGCTGCTGAATTGAAAAAATCAGCACAACACCCTAACCGTTCACATATATATATATTCACTCTGTTTATGAATTATCAATAGTATTTACTATGATGTTCTTAAAATAATATTAATATTCTTTTTTTCCTAATTTAAAGTATTTACTCTAGAGTATTTATTTTTTATTTTAATAAAGTAATTATATATTAATATTAAAATATTTTTATTTTTTATTTAAATTATAAATATATCATTATACATATAATTAATTTTTACATAAAATTGAATGACAAAAATATCAAATCTTCTTACGCAATTTTCCTGACTAATAAAATACTCTTGTTTCTTAATTTCCTATAAAACTCTATAAATTAAATAGTGTCAAAACCTTCAAGATTATTGTGTAAGGGTGTGTTCGTTTGTAGAATTTTGTTAAAATTCTACTATTCATCCAATTTTTTTCCCCTAAAAATATCAAATCAAACACCTATTTTTTATTTTTTATATTATACTAAAAATTAATTTTACATTCAAAACATCACATCAACACCTATTTATATCACATCATACAACTATTCAAATTCAAAATTTTTACTATTCAAATCCCAACTCAAAATCCAAACCCCCAAACAAACAAACAGGGTGTGTTTGTTTGAAGGATTTTGGAGGATTTCCACTATTCATCCAATTTTTTCCCCCCAAAAACATCAAATCAAACACCTATTTTTCATTTTTTATATTATACTAAAAATCAATTTTACATTCAAAACATCACATCAAACCCTATTTATATCACATCATACAACTATTCAAATTCAAAATTTTTACTATTCAAATCCCAATCCAAAATCCAAACCCCCAAACAAACACACCCTAAGTAGAACTTTAATATTTTACATGTATATTATAAGTGTTGGAAAATCAAATATATGAACGTCAAATCAGTACAAAGTGAGATCATCTATGTTATATATTGTGCATATTATATTTTCTTAATTACGGGAAATCATACCACCTAAAAGCACCGAATAAATAAACTCTATATTAAATAAATTTAATTTATTTTCAAAATATCATTAAGCTTTAAAATGTTTTAAAAATTAAAAAATTACAAAAATAAAAAATATCCCCGTATATTTAACTAGTATTATTTTAATTTATAATTAAAAGATAATATTTCATAATAATGATCTAATTCATGGTCAAGAATTAGGACCTTCGTATTAGATAAGTCTCACTACTATTGGTAGTAATAGGTCGATACTTTTCTTCCACTCACTTAGTGTAATTTATGATGGCGTTTCTTTCAACAATTTTTTTTTATTTAATTATTTAAATTCTATAATTTTTTTAATATATATATATATATTGTGAAATATTACAAAATATTTCAGTCAATATTACTTTAATATCAAATTTAAACTAATTTCTTCCAAATTTATCCAAATAAATACATTCTTGGAAATATGGGCTGGTTTTCAATTCTAATTTTATTATTTACTATTTTTTTAAATGCTTAAATATATTTATTTTTTATATTATAAAAAAATTAATTTTATATTTTATCAAAATATATATTAATATTACATCAAATATTTATTCAAATTTAAAATTTTATTATTTAAAATCGTAAACTCAACCCTAAAACTTACAAACAAACACACCTTTTAGTTTGAGGTAAAGGTGTTTGGCGAGCCTATTGCAAGGAAATAGGTACTATAAATTTAAATTTGATTTTTTCTTTATTTTATTTATTAGAGCTGTGTGTGTGTGTGTGTTTTTTGTTTTTTTATATATATATATATATATATATTTAAAAAAAAAAATTATGTGTAATCACTCACTTTTAATAAAAAAAAAAAAGTAAAAATAAAAGTACTGCTACCGTTGAAATTATTATTTTCAACCGGTTTTTTGAATTTGAGCCGGTTGAATATTCAATGATCTTAGTTTATATTAAAAAAAAGGTACCCAGATTTGATATGGTAAATTTTGAATTGAATGCGTAAAAAGAAAGAAAAATAAAATAAAATAAAATAAACCAACGTACATGAACTGGAAAATAAAATAAAGTTGGAAATGCTAAACATAAATTGACTAATTGGATAAAACAGTAGGAATTTAATGCTGGAAATTAAACAAATTCAAGTTTTTGAAAATTTATAAAGATAGAGTCAGATTGGTTCTTTCTACAATTTTTTTCACACGTTGTTTTTTAAAAAATAGTAATATACTACACATATTTATTATTTTTATATTCCCTCAAAAAAATTCATTTCTAACAATCTTACTAACAAACACATCCGAGGAAACTACATAGAATGGAAGAAAATAAATACAGAAAAACAAAAAAAAAAAAAAAAAGAGGGTAAAACACACACGGAAGTATGTCCTTATGGATCCGATGCTAAAATATAAATTTTACCTGCTGAATAACTATGATTAATTATATATATATTAATTAATGATATAAAATAAAATTAATTAAAATCTTAAGTATTCAACATTGTGTTGAATGAAAAAAATTTCAGCACATAATTTTTGTTGGAAGTATGTGAAGTACGAAGTTTATTTGGTTTTAGTTTTAATTTAAATTTAAATTTGAATTTAATATTAATGTTAATTTATAAAATTGAGCTCATTGAAATAGTTAAATTTATATCAACTTCATAACAATTTACTTTCATTTTTCAGCCTACCGGTTGAAATTTTCGTGCAGTTTCCACGAACAACCTGTAATAGGCCGAAATCCTTGCGATTGCAGTTTATTCACTAACCTCGATTTTCTTAATTTCTTGTGAAATTATTTGAGAATCACAACTTCAAAATTCTTGAACTTTAACTTTTTGTATATTATAAAGTATAATAACTTAGGGATTTTGTTAAAATTTTGAGGTTATAAAAATTGGAATCGGAATTTTGGCTTGAATTTTACTTTGTATTGTTAATTTTAACATTAACAATTTGACGACTACAGTGCGAAAAAATATCATTATTGTCGGATGTATAGAATATCCGTCTCACCTAAAAGTTACAATCATTAATTTATTTATAAAAATTGGTTTGGGTTTGGTATGAAAATAATATTTGATGAAACGTTTTGTGAGAGAGAAAAAAACGTATTTTTTTCAAAAAACGCAGAGTCCAAATAGTAAAATTTGAGGAAACTCGGCTAAATAAACATACTCTTAGTCTTTTATTAGGAAGTCCAACAATTGTTTAAAATATACTTCATCAAATGTACTATTCTAAAGGATTTAAATATATTGGTGTTATGAATACTTTTAGCTTTTAAAATGTAGGGTTCCATTTAAATAGAGGTTATTGGAGTTTGAAATTTTGAGTATTATTAGTAATAATACAAATATGATATTTTATAAGTAAAAATAAATATTAAATTTAATTTTTAAAAATTATTATTAATAACTAATACCAAAAAATTTAAAAATATGTATTCTCTGTAATTTTTAATTCAAATTTCTGAATACGTCATTTTTTATGTTTGATTCTTAGTATATATATATTTGGAAATTTTATTTATTTAATATGTCGGGTCTTGGTTGATGTCTTCATTCAAAGTTTTAAATGATTTTCTGGAAAATTTGAATCCATTATATGCAGTCAGTCAATATTGGATGAGATTTGGATATAATTAATGAATGTAACCTCCATTTATATACTCCTACATATTTTAAAATATTTTGATATTATTTATTATTTTTTAAATATTATATTATTAAATATCTATTTTTTCATAAAATAGTATATTAAATATATAATTCTTTTATTATTTTTTAAAATTTTAAAAATTAAGAAAACCCCTGTATAAAGCCTAAATACTTTTATTCCAACATTGAATCATATCTAGCCAGCTTCCGTTCAGATTTCATGTTGTGCTTACCACACAAGAATTTAGGATATGTATGAATTATTAAATAATTAAAAATAATTATAATACAGTACAAATAATTATAAGTTAAGATTAAAATATAATTTATTAGTCTAATTAAAATTTTAAAAATTTAAAATATGATTAAATTGTATAATTTTTTTGTTTTTTTTTTTATAAAAAAAAGACATGAAATTTGATAATTAAATATGATTTTGTGATAATTAAATGTGATCGGAATCAAATGTTCGGATGAAAACTGAGGCGGAAGAAATTCAAACTGAAAATTTAAATATCACATAAATCGATTCACAGAGGTTCGAACCTCGCATTGTATATTAAAACGAGTAAAAAAAGATATGTACACATATTAGGAAAAAGTATTCGTAGTCTAGTTATGATTTGAAAAGTTTGCACCATATATTTTCTCTTATAATTTAAAAATTGTATGAGATCTTTTTGTATTTTTTAAACACAGTACAAAATTCATTTTTTAGATTCTATGCTATATTTTAAAAAATACAAACTAGTATTTTTGAAACACCGTACAAAATTTATTTTTTAGATTCCATGCAATATTTTAAAAAATAAAAAAGAATTTTACGCAATTTTTCAAAACAAATTTGTCTAAATTTTATGCAAGGTTTATTGCATGTGTACGTATCCCAAGCTAGACCGATCAAATCTATATCCCGAATAATCTCTTTTGTATTATCGGGATCCAACCTCTATTGAATAAGAATGAGTTAGATTTGTGTTTCTTATGTAGAACAAACCCTTCAACTTCTTCTTCTTTCATTCTTCGCACACCCAACATCCAATAGTAGTTAAAAACAAGTAAATTATAATTATCCCAACGTAGGGCGTGTTTGGCAATTAGCTGTTAGCTGATTCAATTAGCTGATAGCTATTAGCTGATTCAATTAGCTGGTTTGACTAGCTGATTCGATTAGCTGTTTGTATTAAAATGTTTGGTAAAACAACTGTTTGATATTAGTTGTTTATACGTAAAATGACAATTGAGGACATTTCTATTTTATTTTTGTTTCTAATATATTCAATTATGTTCTTTTGAGTTTAGAATGTTTAAAATTTTTTGTTATTAGTTATTGAAAATTGTAAAAGTGTTATAAAAGTATTTATTTTTATTACAGTTAGATTTAAAAAATAAATATATTTTTATTAAAATATATAAATAGTTTTTTCTATTGAAAATGCTGTAAAATATAAAATAGTAAATTTTTCGTGTATATATTTATTATGTTAGTTATCGATTAGTTCATTATATTTATAATTTTTAATAAAGTTAATTTATTTTTAGTAAAAAATTTATATAATGTAATTTTAATATAAAAAGAAATTATTAATATTTATATTTTCTATTTTATGTTGATTTTAATAAATTTATATATTTTACAATTAAAATAATTTTTATATAAAAATTAATTATTTTAAATTTATAAAAGTAAAACTATAATATAATAAAATATACTAATATAATTAATAAATAATTAAAATATATTTATTTGTGTAAAATGCATAATAAATTTTTAAGGGCATATAAGGAATAAAATTTTTTTTACAGAACAAACTATTTCAAAACGTTGGGTAAGTTAGCTTTTCAGAAATTAGCTTTTTTGGTCCAAAAAGCTATTTCAAAAAGTTAATTTACCAAACACCTAAATTAACCTTTTGACTGGTCAAACAGCTAAAAGTTGTTCAATAAGCTAAAAGCTTTTCAAAAAGCTATTTGCCAAACACCTTCTTAGTTACAAAGTCCGTTGTAAATATTGCAAACCCGTAAATTGACTAAGGCTGCCATGGGGAGTTTTGGGATTTTGAAAAATTTTACATTTAAAATTATTTGAATTGAATATATATATATAAGTAATAATTATCAAAATAATTGTATGATGTGACGAGGGGAGTATTGTATTGATGATGTAATAAAAAAAATATTTTGTATATTATAGGGATATGATGTTATGAGAGGAATGTGTTGTAATAAAATGAATTATATTTAATTAAAAATAATAATTTGTAAAATAGAGTGAGTTTATATTATTTTTTATTAACTTATGATACAATCTATATGTTAATAGTAACTTTTCAAAAACACATCAAGAATGTAATTATTTTTCTCGAACAAGACGACATAAAATGGTTGTAGTTCCCGTGCTGAATTACAATATATAATTCGACACAGTACTAACAACATGTCGTATTAGAGTAATCACCATATTATATTATAAGAGACAATAAACAGCTTATATTAATTTAATACAAATATATCATATATTTAAGAACAATAGTTATACACTATATACTACCATATACATTTAAAGACATGTATTGTTTGAAAAAATCAAATAAACTTCGTACTTAAAATCTTAGCTATAAACATGGGCATAAAACACATCGTGTATTATTTAAAGACATGTATTGTTTGAAAATTCAACATGGTATGATAACCAATCCCACATAAAATACCCTCTAGTTAAATTCCATTTATAGAATTTTTCCAAAATTCCATTCTTAAAATCTCCGATCTAAACATATTTCTTTCTGCGTAAGAAGTCTCCTACTAATTAACATATGCAATGAAATTGAATGCGAATTCATTACAATATATACAAATAATGTTTGTGGTATATATAAGTGATAGGGGTTAGAGTGCGGATTCGATACTATGCAATTCGTGATGATATAATCAACACGTACAAGTAAACTTATTATGAAAATACTCTCTCGGAATGGAACAATTACACAGACTAAGAAATGATACTATAATATAGAAATTGAGTAGGTACAAAATAAAGTGATGTATTACGAGAATTTATTAAAGATTTGATGGAAAAAAAAAAAAGTTTAGATAAATAGAAAAGATAATGACAAAATGATTATTATTTGCTAAGAATGGGTGATAAAGTTGAGAATGTATATGCTTTTGTATTATATATAAATTATACATAAATTTGGGAGATAATTAGAAAATAAAAACTGACATAATTTTGACGGATATTATTTTACACACGAAGGTGAAGATGATACACATTTTTCTTGATAGTTGGATAAAAAATATTTGTGTACAACAATGGAGTTCGTAGGTATTATGAATCACACCTTAGATATATAATCTGGCACAGCTTTTGCCAAAATCTTGTGTCTTTTGGACCCAAACTGAGACGGCTTTCTTCATCTGAATTAGTTAATTAATTAAATGGTGTCGATGCATGCAAAGAAATACAGTTAGTACTTTTGTGTTCAAGAAAAAGAATTACAAGTTTTTATTATAGTTATGTTATTTTGGACTTTGGTTTTCATTTTAATTTTTTTTACTATGCGATGGTCGCAATATTTCTATGAAAATATTAAATACGAAAAAATAGAGTTAAGTTTGCTAGATGAAAGGAATATAAAACAAAATTTCAAAAGATCATGCAATGCAACCGGTATGTATAGTTAATTTGCATTTCAAACTAATCACCACTGGTCAGCCTGTACCATTTAAACAAAAATTAAAATCAAATTTTCATTTTTTATTTCAAATTCAAATCAAAACACTTAAATCATATTTTGTATGTTATTATTATTATTATTTCCTATAGAATATTATTTGCCTAAGTTATAATGTAAACGAATAATAATTAATTTTTCTTTTGTTTTATAGTAAAAAAATATATATATATTTTTTAGCAAAAAAAAAATAAAAATATGAACACTGTTGGATGTCAATTAAAAAAAATGAAAATAATATTTAAAAATTTTTAAGAAATAGTAAGAAAATTAAATTTTGAATCTCCATAAAAAGAACCTTAATTATTGTAACAATGCAAAAATGCTTACTAAGTTTGGGAGTTTGATCAGAGGGTTGTTCTTTAACCGGGATTATGGTATCGATTTCTTGACATTTATCCCCAAGGGTCCTTTCCCAATTCTCAAGCTCGAACAAATAAGTATACACATCCTTTCTGCATAGAACAAAACACTCTCAATTGAGTTACGACGTAGAATATATGTACACACGTGTGTGTGTATATATATATATATATATTTATCGATCATGAAACACTAATTCATATTTTTTGGACCTTAAACTCATGCAGGGCATGTAAGTTCAGGGAATTTCTAATAAGGCTCCTTTGATATAGAAATTATTTAAGTTTGGAGTTAATTGAAAATTTTTAAAAATAGTAAAAAAATTGAACATATAATATGATATTTTATGAAAATAAATAATTGAATAATATAATATTTATTTTTAAAAAATGACCATTAAATAAATAATATCAAAACTTCTAAAACTATCTATATAAACATAGCAATGATATTGAATTAAGGTCTAATGAATTCATGAAAAGTAGCATTTAAATGATCTTCAAGGAAAATAAAACAAATTAGAAAAAAAAAAAAACCTATACATAAATTAGAAAATAACCGAGCCAACCTGCTCTGGCTCAGTTTCAAACCGGGCTGCGCTTGGGCCTAAGTTTTCGGCCCTGCAAGCCGGTTTCAGAATCAGGCCGGCTCGAAATTGCTAGCTCAATTTATGAACAAGCTAACAATATATGAGATCAAATCAAGAATATGAAAGGCATTGAATTAATAAATTATTACCTATTATTCTTGATCAACATTTGAACCACTTGTGCCCAACAAATAAGCATGATTCGGATGATTCTATACACAGCCGTGGATAGAACGAGATTGTATTGTTCCCTGTTGTTGTTGAGCTCATTCTCCTTCAAATCCATAACTTTGTAAGCCAGTTTCAGTGTAAGGTTGGTGACTTTACTGATATAATTCAGCCAATTCGCATCGCTCGTGTCTTGTTTATACGGCTGTTTCTGGAGAATCACGATGTTCTTGGCGAGCTCATCGCGCTCGTTGGCCACGATGACCAACCGCAGCTTTCCAAACATAACAGCAAAAGAAATTAGGGTTAGTATGCCCTTAGTTTTCAAGGGCATTTCTGAACTTGATTCAAGAATCTCCCATGTCTTCGCATCGTAATTAGTTTTCCCATCTTGAAGGGATATCATCTGTTCCATGAATTGAAACATTTAATAAGCTTATTCGTTGTAGAAGTTAACAATTATTAGAATCATAAATTTAGCCGGTAATGATACATCGATATTCTTCTCATGACTTTACATGTACTTAAGTTGCAAAAGTATCGGTTTTATTAAGGAAAGATGAAAATTTTAGTCTTATATGTTGGTTGACAACTCCATAGTGTATAAACAAATAAATTATGTATACCATCATTTAAAATAGTACTTCTTCCGTCCCAAACAAGGTGCAACATTTACTTTTGGTACGGATTTTTAGGTGGGTAATATTAAGTAGGATAATTTAGAAATTAAGTGATGTTATGGAGAAAAAAATGTATATTTTATTTTTTATTTGGATGATGAAAGAGGATAAAGTGTGGGATAGAGATTAAATATGATTAATTATTTCCCATTTTGAAAATATTGTAGGGTGTTTGGGACATACCAAAAAAAAAATGTTGCAGAGTGTTTGGGACGAAGGAAGTATCATATAGGATGTTATTAATACTAATTATCTTTCTTGTCATGTACATTTTATTAATTTGCCCTTTAGTCCTATATTTCACAAAAATTAAATAATTGTTCATGTTTCTCCGTCCACCACCAATCTATTCATTTGCATTTGGCGTCATTGTTTTTAACATTAAAAATATCCTTATATTTGTATAATTTTTTGTACAAATTTTATTTCATTAGTATTATAAGACACCAATAAAAGTATTTTTGTCATTTTTCCTTAATTTGTACTATATTTTGATATAATAAATTAATATTTAAATATTAACATATAAAAAGTAAATTAATAGATCGACAGTGTGGACGAAAGTAGTATATATATATAGTCTAATGAACATGCAAAAAAAAAATGTATAATTAAATCAAAATCAAGAAGATATATATATAATAAGAGTAATAATTGACAATAAAATTAGACTTACAATTATCTTAAATTTCTTGTCACAACTATAATTATAAAATGAAATTCCACAACACTCTTCCTTCAAGATGATATCATGTCAAAATCTCTTAATTAAGATTAATACTCAATACGGGTACATACATGTTATGAAAAAAAATCGGACTCTATCTTAAAATCAATCGGTGATAAAACACTAAAACATAAGAGATAATGGTTAAATTTACATTATTTCTCTGAAATAAAGAGGATAAGATGATCTTGTAGTTAGGGTTTATTGTATATCTACCTTTCGATATATGCTGGAAGCATGGCCTTGTATTACAGGATTTGATTCAAAATCACTTCTCTTGGAAATTCTTTCCTGCCCATTCTCACGTAATAATAACTGCAATAAACATGAGGGATTCAAAATAAAAAATAAAAAAGGGATAAATTATCATATAGAAACATCCCTAGCTAATTTGTGGGATTCAATTGTTGTTCGAGAATTAATTTATGTGTGATGATGTCTACCTTAGTTGTCTGACTATCCATGATGATCTTAGACAAGTCGAGAAACTTCTTCAAAATGGCTTCATCCTCTCGACGGAGAGGCAACTGATTCGATGCAAAGCTAATAAATTTCTCTTTGTTGAGATACAATTGATCGTCTAGAAGCACTCGAGACATGTTTATTTATTTATTTTTTTCGAGTATTCCAATCTAGCTAATTGGCAATGTTGTATTTTAATTTGTGATGATGTCTTCATGAGACTTTGGTTTTATTTCGTTACACATCCCAAGTATGGAATAAAGGGAAGTGGAAAATTCAGAATTAGTTTGAGTGTACTGATGCACATTTGTAGATCCTTTTCTTCTTCTTCTTATGTTAAAATATGCAAAATGCCAAAATCTTTTTGTATCTATTTTTGGCATATGAAGGTGTATTGTTGCAACGGTTGATCGACACTATTTTAGGAAACATGCACACAAATAGTAGGTTGACCGACTCCCGACTTTGAATGTATTAAAAAGTGTCTCATCCACGTTGAAATGAGACAAACAAATATGTCCCGTAAAGAGAACGTGCACGAGAAGTCAATGAAGTGTCTCTTTCATTATGCATGGCATTTATGACCTTGTACACACTGTACAAAACTATACAGACAACTTTGTCTTGTGTGTGCAGGATGTGTATTTTGTTTGTATGTTAGTGTTTGAATCATCAGAGATTCGTACACTTCTTGGACGTTTTTTTCTCCACCTTACAAAGTGTTGGGAGGTGTATTCATGGAGATTTGAAGCCGACGAAATGAAGGAGTTCATAGAGTTAAAACCTAATGAGATAACCATTTTGGTATGTTAGTTTACTCTTAGTTTGACTGTTGGTCTGCTGGAGTTGTTATCGAGTTGTAACTACTAGTCCATTTGAATTTGTAAAACAATATGGAGTTTGGTTAGAGGATGGGTTATGTAGATTTGTTTAGTATCTTGGATGGTGTAAACCAAGTGTTTGGTTTAGTTAAGACTTTTGGATTGAAATTCCATTTAGGTTTGAATACCAAACTGAGTAAACAAATCGTGTGTGTTGTTTTCTTTATTTGCAGTCACTCAGTCATCGATTTGTTTACAAACACACACTGTTGTATTAGCCACGAGACAACAGTGCAGTATAAGTTATATTTACGTCGACATGTTCTACAACTCCGTTGTGCATGTAACTCCGAGGCGTTGGACCTCTTATTCGATCGGTGCCCCGGTTTCCAACATCTTCGCTATCGGTATTTTATTTTTCTTAGTTATTTGACATAATTTGGTCGGAATAAATTCAATGTCACATTAAATAAATAGATAAGTTGGGGAGTGCTCATTTGAGCCGACATGTCAATTTTTGCACTATTGTAATCTACGATGTTGTGTTGTGCAGCTCGAGTTGTAGGAGTACTGTACATCTGATCCTTCGACTGATGGATAAAAAAATTTGTTCGGTCCGTAAATTTTTGGGCCACGTGCCATAGGATTTATCCAAAGTTTCACATTTGACATGTATAAATATTTCATGTATTTTTTCTGAAATATATATGGTAAGTGAAAGTACCTAGCTTAGCCGATACACTATGTAGATTATTCATATCAAACTAGTAAAAATTATTTTCTTGTTGTGTGTGTTTCTTTTTTTTTCTTGATTTTCCCTACTTTTGCAGTATAGCATATACTCCTTCTGTACCATAACAAAGTATTCATTTTTTCATTTTAATCCGTCCCATAACAAAGTATCTATTTCTTGAAACTGTACTATCTATCTAACATTACAAATACTCTTACACATTATAATATATTATATAAATGTAATACATACACTAATAAAATTATTTTAGTCATTTCTACTTTATTCCTATTACATCTTAATATAATACTAATAATTCTAAAACTACATGAAAAAAACAAATGAATATCTAGTTACGGAACAGAGGGAGTATATTTTTCTTATAAAAAAAAATGAAGACTGCATTTAAGTGTATATACTTTTGAAACTTCTGATGTTATTAATTAATGTGACAAAGATACCGCATTAAATATTTATATTTTCATGAAATATTGTATCAGATATCTAATATTTTTTAAAAAAAAACAACTATTTTATAAATCTCTTACATAATGCATTTATCTTTTTAAAATCATAACTTGACTCTGTATCGGATTAGTCCACAATTAAAAAGAAAAATTGTAGAAATGGCCCCCAGGGGCCAAAGTTGCTGTCGTGGTACGCCAGAGATCTTGTGGGTGACACATGGACAATATTTGAGGATTATTTCTACCAAAATTTTTTAGTTATAAAACTAATTCAATACATGGAACAATTTTTCCAATTTTTATTATTGTCAAAAATTTTTAAACAAAAAAACTTTCACCTACCCGGAGTAAAAAATTTACATTCAATGGGTAAACTATTTTTTTTATTATCATATCTGACTCCTTTGTCATTTGATGACTTTTAAATGGACTCCATCTAAAAACAGTCCCACAAGAAAAAAAAAAAAAAAAAAAAATCGCTAAAATTGTCCTCCGGTGTCGGACGTACTCGCTACGTCATTGACACGTTGGAGTACTATTTTAGCGAAAATTATTTACTCTGCGTGACTATTTTCAAACATGATCCAAGGTCAAACATGAGACTAAAAAAACAGTTTAGACATTTTGTAAAATAAAAAAAATATATATAAAAATTTTCACGTGTCGCTGGTATGGCATTGATGTGGCGATGACATGTCAGCGCCGCCACATCAGTAACAGTGGGTCAGGCATGGCGAGTCCGACACCAAAGGACCATTTTAATGAAACATTTGTACTTACGATACTATTTTCATACACGGTACATTTAAAATTATAAAATGACAAAAGGGTTATATACCGGACTAAAAAAAAATAGTTTATTTTTTTTTTAATTTGAGACATTACATTTGAAATCTATTTTTCATTAATAAAATTCAATCAGAAAGTCATTGGCTCAAGACAAAATTCTTGCTTTGGAGTTCAGAAGAACTCTACTTTGCTTAACTATCACTCCCAGAAATTGTATCTATTATGATAAAGCATGATCCTAATTCTTGGAATTTTTCCTTTATACTTTTCTGTCACGGAAATCTCAACCTCTTCAATAAATTAAATAATAATACAAATACTAACACGACCCCGACTAAGCTCATTAATATATTAACTTTGGAAAAAGTACTTACAATAATCTCTCTCAAAAAGAATATATAAATATATGTGAAAAATTTGATGAACAATATTTTGGTGTAGTTCTTCATAGTATTTTTTTCTTGTTTATATATATATATATATATATATATTTGTTTTAAATATGATGGAGCAAAAGGAGAAATCCGCACGAATTGACCCCTCGATCGAGCTGCTTAAATTCATCGAAGAAAAGATCGAAATTCTTGAGCTGCCGTTAGAACAGCCCTTCATACGCAAAGTTCCTAAAGAATTTCTCAATGGCCATGCAAAAATCTACGAGCCAATATCGATATCCATAGGCCCTTTATACTACAAGATGGAGGAAGAACCGGCGAAGGAGTTCAAGAAATGGTGCTTGAAAGACTTCATAGATCGACTCAAAAAGAAAGGATCTTCGAAGAAGGAGCTCGTGGGGGTCATCCTCGGCATGCAACAACAAATTAGGGAATGCTATGGAGATTTGGACCATGATATGAGTGATTTTATGCTTGGGCAGATAATGCTACTGGACGGCTGCTTCATTATGGAGCTGTTTCGCCATCGAGATCTTGGTAAGGATATGGTTCATGGGAGTAAGGAAAAAGTACCTTTAGTTACCTTGCAACAAGACCTCCTCAAGATTGAGAACCAGCTGCCTTTCTCAGTTCTCAAAACTCTCGCAAATCTGCTCGAGAAAAGTAACTCGGTAATCAAATTTTAGCGATAATTTGCTTGAGATTGTGATATTTGAGTATTGTGTGTTCTTTTTGTGTTTTTCTTTTTAAAATTTCTAAATTTAAAAAAAATGAGGTGATAATAATAGATTGATGTGATATTTCTAAATTTTGTTTAGATAAGAGTTTTCAGAGGTTCTTAAAAAAATTTGAAAATAATAAAATATTAGATATTTGATTCGATATTTTGTTAAATGAAACCGTTAATATATTGATTAGATATTTTTCTAAAAAAAAAATACGGCAAAATTTTTTATAGCTCCCTTGCAGTTTCGAAATTAGGCGTAAATCTCACATGTACTTTTAAAAGTTGCTAAGTTTCGAAATACAATGGTTATGAGCAATTTTGTCAAAAGATACTAATAAAGAGTGTTAAAGCTACAAAAATTGTTTATCTAAACAATTTGTGTTTTCTAAAGGGTAACAACACGACAGAGGGGCTAATAAAATTAGCCCTGGGATTTTTCAACATTCCAAAGCCAAAAGATCTTCGAACCAAACCCCGGCACCTCCTCGAACTTGTCCTAGATGCCCTGTTCTTCACCAAAATCCCTACTACTCATCACAACATTCCCGTCGCGCCTGCTTCGAGCAACGTCGGCCATGGCGTCGAGAAACGCAGCAGCAGCATCATGGAGGCGAATAGCGCGTCGATTCTCAAAATGCACGGCATAACCCTGGAGGCATCGGATTGCGGCAACGGCCTGGCGATGGTGGAATTCAAGAACAGTACCGGGAAGCTCCGAATCCCACAGCTGGTTGTCCAGGAATCCACCCAGACAATGTTCTGGAACCTTCTGGTCTTCGAGATGTACTCGTGCCCGAATTCCAGGATCTTCACGTCCTACGTGGTGCTCATGGACACCCTGATCGACAATGTCGAGGATGTCCGGGTGCTGCTGGAGGCGAAGATCCTGGTATCGAGGAACAACGATGTTAGCAGCCTGGTTTCTTTGTTCAATGAGATGTCGGCTTATGTGAGCGCGACGGACTTCTACTTCGAGCAGCAGGTGCGGGAGATGAGCCGTTATTGCAGGTCGACAGGGCCGGCCTTGCGCGCGTGCAGCTTGAAGACTTACAATGAGTTCAGGTGGGATCCTCTCAACAGCGCCCTCATATTTATCCTTACTATAACTCAAACGTTGTTTTCGATCCTCGCCTACAAGCCGAAAGGGAATTGATCGACTCATTTGTTAAATGACTATCTCATTTAAAAGTTTAAACTTGAATAACAGACATCATTTATTTATTTATTACGACATCATTATTGAATAAGTCGCTATCTGCTATGTTGTATAATATGTTTATTGTATTAAAATCACAATATATTGTATTATACTACATTGTATTAATATATGTTGAGTGGTTTATACATTGTGCTTTGTTATATAATTTGTTTATTATGCTGAAATCGGAATATATTGTGCTACATGTAATTATATAATATGATATTAAAATATGTGCTATATATTATATTAAGATGTGTTATTGAATATGCGCAACTTTCTTCATAAATATGTTGATTTGACCTAATCAGCGTAGTAACTAAAGTGGTGGTGATAGATATATTGTTTGCACACATATATTTAGGGTGTGTTTGTTTGGGGGTTTGGATTTTGAGTTGGAATTTGAATAGTAAAAATTTTGAATTTGAATAGTTGTATGATGTGATATAAATAGGGTTTGATGTGATGTTTTGAATGTAAAATTGATTTTTAGTATAATATAAAAAATGAAAAATAGGTGTTTGATTTGATGTTTTTGGGGGGAAAAAATTGGATGAATAGTGGAAATCCACCAAAATCCTTCAAACAAACACACCCTAAGTCTATCTAATTATCTTGTTTACATAGGCATGGTGAACTGAATAAACCTCTAAAGTCTAAACTTCTATTTATATACATATTTTTTAAAACTTTTGATACTATTAACCTAACACTGATTTTTTCACTATTTTTGAAATTCTAAATCTCTTATCTAAACGATAAATTTTGCATTTTCTTTCCATGAGTGTAGGATTACATTTTCTCATCAATAGACCCTAAAATAAATAGAATAAATGTTAAAACCTACAATCGAAGCAAAGGCTACATTCACTACTACTTTATTTACTTTACTCCATTAAAATCTTATTCCTTGTTCCTTAAAGAACACAAATGTTGTAACCAACAATGCCAAATGATATAAATAGCGACAAGAAACAACATATAATAATAGATTCATCGGAGCGAGTAATATTTTCTAATTTGTGTGCGTGCTCACATGCTATATCATGATGACAAGCCAAGACGGCCAATTCATTTCTGCCGATGAAAGTGCACTCACTTCACAAATTCTTGCTCGTCATGCCTTCGATGGGAAAGAAACTTTCAACGTGAAGCTGATTATTTCTGTGGTCAAGCATATCATCAGCATCACAAGAAAATCTAATTCGGTACTTATTATGTATCTTATTACAATCCTCTTTAATTAGCCTTTTTTTCTTCGACATGTGAATGATTATATCTTCGTGCCGTGAATTACAATATAAAGATTATATTATAAGTAAACATTAATGGAATGAATCCAGGAACCTCAGAGAAGTAATATTGAAGGAGATAAAATCAGGAACGATTCTTTGGAAGAAGATGCACAGATCTTAGGAGCTATAGTGAATCGGATTAATGAGATTTACTTAGAGGTATCATGTTCACATTTTTTTTTTCTTTTTATAATTTACTTTTTGGTTACTTTGTTTACTTTTGAGATTTTTTGTTAAAAAGAAATTTTTTAATATGAAATCCTCAAACTTTTTTATAAATATTTATTATTTACTTTTACAAAATATTATATTCAACTTGTTAAAAAAATTCCAAGTAAACAAGCCTGTGTACACTTATGGAATTTTCTATTTTTATTTTTATTTTTTGGAAGTTTGATCAAAAATAAAATAAAATAAATTGTACGTGTTTGATTATCAATTTCATCATGTCATTTTGAATTAATGTATTTTGATCTTATAAGACAAAAATTCACAATTTTGATCTTGTCATCAAGGTACAAACTAATCTTTTGATTCATATACTTACTTATTTTTTAGTCAAAATTATATCATTTTTTATTATTTACTAAACTTATTCATAATTTATTTATAATAATAAATAAATAAAAATTCTTCATTTACAATTTTACTATATCTACTTCAACGAATAATAATTATTTTGGCTACAGTTAAATCATACTTTCACTTTTCACTAAAAATATTTCATGAATATTTCATAATATTTTAATAATATTATTATTATTTAATATCCGTATATATGTAAAACTGCATAATTTTGACGGATAGAAAGATATTAAAAATATATATCTATATATATGTCAACATTTTATAAATAGTTCAATAGATCATTGTAGTGATCAATGAATTGAAAACCAATGTATAGTGTCTGTTTTCAATTTTTTACGATCTTAGACACTATTTCTAATAAAAATATATTTCTCGTATCTTATAAAAGCAAGGGATTTCCTAGACATCTTCGCATAGATGTCCGGAGATTTTTCTTTCAGGTCTTATCGGTCACATATAATTCGTTTAGTATAACTTGTTTTGTCAAATCTAATTTATAATAAGCTATGTTCGATCGGAATTTACTCAGAGCACGCTCAAAAAACAGCAGCTGCAGGTTCCACATCATTAAAAAAAAAAAAAAAAAAAAAAAAAAAAAGAAGAAGAAGAAGAAGAAGAAGAAATTAAAGTTAAAGTTGAATCTTAAGACCATTAAATATATATGTATACATATATTAAAATCAATTGGTCAAAATTATTATTTTTTTACTATTCAATTTTTATTTTCTTACAAAATATATTATATTAAATGTCCAATATTATACAATATATCAAATCAAATAATTATTTTCATCTCGAAAATTTTGAAGCACCAAAATAAAAATAGAAGAACACAAAAGAACACACCCCTAATCCGTCACACCCGAATGTGATAGATAATTAGCAAATGTGTCGATGGAGGAGGGCATTTTGTGACAATGAGCCTCCTTGAGTCACTCTCGAAGTACTCATGGAGTGCTAAGGTTGTCATAGCTTTGGCCGCTTTCACTATCAACTATGGTGAGATTTGTCTAGTCGAGCACCTTAACACCGAGTATCAGCTCGCCAAAGGCCTCACCGATCTCATGGATTTTTCTCAAGTGACCACCGAAGGCAACAAACTATATAACAAGTTACTCATGATCACCGAGCTTTTGAGCGAGCTAGTGATCGCGGCAGATTGTATTATTGAGGTGGAAGAACTATCGACAAAATATCACGCACAAAAGGTCACGAGGTTAAAGGATACTGCTCCTCAAGCCGCATATTGGATCATATCAAGCCTCCTCACCTGTGCTTCGGCGCTCCTTGACCCCTTTGGCAGCATGTATGTTCTTTCTTTTTTTTTTTTTTAATAAATTATATAACACTTGATTGTATTTTAGTAAAAATATATAAAATATTTTATATTTTATTTATTGCATAAAATCCTCGTGTTAAATTAAAGATCGTACATCTTCATCCAGAACTGGTGTTTTATTATAAATGAAAAATTCTAAATTTTATAAAAATAAAAAAGGTAAATATATTAAATAGTCTATTTTTAATATAAATAAATAAACTTTTATATAAAATAGTCTATTTTGGAGACAAACTGTCAGAGTTTTACAAAAATTTAGAAAAATAAAGGAGTTATTAGTTGTTTATTTTATATAAAAAGACTATTTTAAATATTTTGATTCTTTTATTTGTATATAACTTGCATTTAGATATGTATTTACAATTAACTTAAAAAGTATTTTGTACAAACTTTAATTCAACATAATGGGGTTTCAACGGAATCAATAAAATCCTTATTTTATGTATTGTTACTAAAAACACCAGAGTTATATAATTTAACTTTCTCTTTTTACTAAATGTTTCGACTTAATTTCATTTCATAATCGCGCCTTTTCTTTGCCTCTTTCTAACAGGCCTAGCTCAGACAAGGAGATTCTTACAGCCGTGGCTCCTAACATGGAATCATTAGGACAGTTCAAGAACGAGCTTTCAATTTGTAGGGAATTAATTGGTAAGCCACGGGCTGATTAATTCGACAAATTCATATATAGTAATCAGAAATAATGAAGTAGTTTATAAGTATGATTATGGTGTAGAGAGGGACGAAGCAAGGGAAGCGTATCGCAAAGTGCAGGAAAGAATGCTGTCGCCTTGTGTCGTCAATTTGGACATACTCCAAGTATTGATTCGGTCCAAAGAAGATCGACCGTCACTCTATGATGGTTCGAAAAAAACAAATGTATGTTCTTTGCCATTCTCAATTAGTTCATTCACATGCTCATTATTAGAATTGTTGTGCAAATCTAATTCTTCAAAAACTTGGCTCATTAATCATAAATAATAGATCGAACTCAAAAGATTATTGCGTCGAATAGGCTTAGCTGAAGAAGGTAGATAAGGCTCAATAATGTGACAAGATTGTGTTTTTAATACTCTTATCAATTTTAAATTTTTTGCTATTATAAAATGAATAAAGCATAAACTCGATCAATCCAAGAAGATTTCAATCGAATTCAAGCTCATTATGTATTTTAAAGAACTTGAGTTCAGTTCGATCACTTCTCTATAAAAAAAAAAAAAAAAAAAAAAAAATTGGTGCTAATTTTTGTATAGGCGTTTGCACCATGCTGACATCACATCGTATACTAATAAACAATACACAATATTACTACAAGCAAAATATCATTTACATTAACATAATACAAATACAATGCATGAACTAACAACACATGATACAATCTCACACATCACATCCAACAATTAATTTTAACATGAAATACTTTTATACATCACACGTTGTTAAGTATAAACAAATAGTGCATGCTTTTATATCACTCGGCATATGTTGGGTGACATAAAAATACGTGCTATTTGTGTATTTTATTTGTTCTGATTTGAAAATTCATCACAGTAACTATTCTCTTTTAGTATATTAGGACAGCTTTTGGTACCAATTAAAATTGTAATGAGAAAGGAGCGTCAATATACTAAAACTGGGACAAGTCTTTCACGCTAAAATGACTTTTATAAAATAGTAGTAGTAGATAAAAATTCAACTCCAGTTTGAAAATAAGATATTCCACTTGAATAACAGATATAATCGCAAGAATCCAACAAGATATATCTAAATATATATATATACACACACATAATGTGTTATGTATAATAATCGCAGGCACATCTTAATGAGTTGAAGTTCAAAAATGTGATGCTGCTGATTTCGGAACTGGAGCTTCCACCAGAACAGCTAAATTTTCTTCGAAAAATTTTTGACCAAACAAACCGCATGGCGATCGAGTTCAAGATAGTCTGGCTACCAATAGTGCAAAAAAATATGTCACTAGCCGACGAGCAAGGTTTTAAGGAGTTACGCGACCAAATGCCTTGGTATTCAGTAGATCACCCTTCGTTGATCGATCAGGCTGTCATAAGTTACATTAGAGAGTTATGGAACTTCGAAAACACGGCTAAAGTGGTTGTTCTGAACCCTCAAGGCAAGATATTGAATTTAAATGCTTTACCTATGTTATGGATTTGGGGTACTAAAGCCTTCCCATTGACTATCGACCGAGAAAAAGTGCTTTGGGCCGAAAGCAACCAATGGAGTCTTGAACTATTGGTGGATTCCCTCCATCCGCGCATTCCCGAATGGGTATTTATATTCGACTCTCTTAATTTGCACGTATTTTTAATCGATCGATATTTTAGAATATGAACTATGAGTTTTTAGGCAATTACTTCAAGACTAACAACCCTTTGTTGTTGAGATTGAACATAATAAAAGATTGTGTTGAAGAGTATCAAATTCTTGAGTCCGATAAATAGAATAAGTGTTTCGGAAAGTTAAAGGCTCCGTCTAGATATATTTTAGAGGATGTTCGGAGTTTGGGGTTTGGATTTTTTTTATTATTTTTAGAATAGTCTAAAGTTATTGATGTCGATAAGAGAAAATAATTATTTGATTTAAACTATTTTTTTTAAAGTTATTGTATATATAAAATGTAAAAATAATAATATATAGACCAAACAAGTAAGAAGGAAATTGTGAATAAAAGTATGGTTTTAATAGTATGTAAAGTAGTTAAGAGTGTTTATTTAAGATTTTTTAATTTAGATTCGGAGTTTGAGAATAATAAGTATTTAAATTAAAATAGTATTTGATGTAATATAAATAGACAAATATTATGAATGAAATTTTAATTTTTGTATTAATATTAAATAAAAACAAAATAAGAGTTTGATTTAATGGTTTTGACATAATAAATAACAATGGACCAAAATTAGAACTCAAAAGTTTAATCCTAAAAGGTTGTTTTTCATAAAGAATTTCTTTTTCTTATTTAATAGCTTAAGAGGCATGTTGATAATCTAACTTATTTTTAAAATAGTAGAAGATGAAAAAGTGAATACATGTTTGATGTGATAATTTAACTGTTAGATATGCCTTGAATCTAATTTGTCACTTCGCTGAGTTTTTATGGGAGTCTCGCTGCCCAATCAGCAAGTCGGGGATCAAAGGGGCGAAGCCCCCCTTGCTTGGGTCCGGTGGAACGGAGTGGCCCCGGCCCAATTGTATATAGTGTTGGGCATTTGAGTTCATATTGGGTTGAGCACGTCTTATATATTCTTTTAATTTATTTGAATAGACTTAGAGATACGTAACATTGTCATCATTAATAATAGGTTCTTCGTTTTTGTCTGTAGACGTAGCCAACACGTTGTTAGTGAACCACATAAATTTGTGTCTTCTTTACGTCTTTTGTTTGTTATTCCATCATTAACCCTAATCCGTCACAACAATAACGATTTCGATGGCTTTCATAGATCAAAGACAACAAGGTCGTATGCATATACGGCGGAGAAGACATTGACCAAATCCGCGAGTTCACGGCAGCAACAAAAACCACGGCGCAGGAGCTACAAGTTCCCATCGAAATGCTCTTCGTGGGAAAATTAAACGAAGGTAGGCGAGGCAATGTCCGGTACCTCTACCACCTCGTGTCGAGGGAGATGCTCAGCCACATCTTCCCGCCGGAGGAATGCTACGACTACATTTGGTACTTTTGGGAGAGGCTACGGAGCATGTGGCAATACCGAAAGAAAATCAGCGTTGAAGGCGACGAAATCTTGCAGCATCTTAACGACATGCTGTCCTTTAAGGACAGCGAGACCGGATGGGCAGTTTTTAGCCGGGGAAACAACGAGACGGCAAAGGGGAATGTAATGAAGCTTTTGTCCATATTCGATAAGCGCGAGGAGCTAAAGCGCAAAGTGGATCGACAACCGGAGAATTTTGTACGGGTGCTCGACGAGATGGTGCGCGCCACCGAGGCCGAGCACTGCAATCGCCTTATAATGCTAGTGAACGACAACATGCCTGACCGCTTCGTCTGCGCCGACTGCGGTAAGGATATGGAGACATATTACATGTTCCGTTGTTGTAACGATTGAGCTCGCCGAGGTTTCGATCGCTCTTGGTATTTACCATGTTTTGTTGCGTGGTCTTATTTGTCGGAAAAATGAAGCGTTACAGTGATTTGTTCACACTAGGCGAATCATGTGTAGCAGATGGACCTAGAGGCGTCGGAGTTTAAACCCATGACCTCACGGTTACAAGTTCACCCCTTACGCTACAAGTCCATTCCTTACGGGACTTGTATTGATATAATTCTTGTGTTGTTGTATCATGTGTTGTATGTTTTTATTGTGTGAGACTATGTGTTGTATTTGTATTATATTAATATAAAAATATCATATTTGCTACCTGTATTTTATTCATATATTATGTGATATTAATCCATGTGTTGATGGCAACTAAATACGAGGGTTGCGCTTGTTGTGGCACTTAACCCAACAACTTACGGTACGAGCTTAACTTAACCTAAGTAAGAAAGGCATCTATGTCAAGCAAAGAACCGCAAAGTACCAAGGTTCTGTATGTGAAAGTAAGAATAAATAGTTGAATATATTATATTCTCATCTTCTCACTTAATTTGTCTTATATTTCTATTTTTGTTAGTCCTATACAATTTGTTATTTTTTTAAAAAAAATATAACTATACACTTAAACCACATTTTAAAATTCATCATTTATAATTTTTTATTTTAATTAAAATATTTAATCATATTAATCATAATATATAATTATTTTTACTAAATCATACTTCTTAGTTATTTATTAATTACATAATACTTAAAACTCAGTGCTTAAGCTAAATAAGATAATTTAACTGGGACGAAGGGAGTATTAACATAATTTATATATTACTCCCTACGTCCGCATCTAAGAATCACATTTTGCGTCATTGTACTTAACATTAAAAATATCCTTATATTTGTATAATTTTTTGTACAAATGTCATTTTATTAGTATTATAAGACACTAAGTGAAGTATTTTTATATGTTTTTTCTTAACTTATACTACGTTTTGATATAATAATTAATATTCAAATATCAATTCACAAAAAATAAATGGAACATTTAGAGCCGGACGAAAATAGTATGTTAAGTTAATCTCAAACTTAAACATCTATTTTTGGCATAGTGACAAAACCACTTTTTGCTGTTGTGGTCATTGGTTTACGAAAACAGCAACTCTGGACTTCCTGGTGGAGTCCAATCAAGCAGCCCCTTTGTCCCTTCAAGTTTGGTGGCTGTTCAAAGACAAAATGGACATCTCGCATTTGTCCTTTTGTGATCAGAACTGATTTGATACAACATCATTCCTTGGTTGGATCGAAGGGAATTTATTGCATGTCATTTCATGGTTGTTGTGTGTGTTTTTAACATTGTTTGAGATTTGTGGGAAGGTGTAGTAGTGTGATTTGTGAGAGTGTAGTAAGAGAATTATTGTGTTTATCCTCTCAACCACTTCCTTTCCCACCTCCATGCATTAAGTGAGTGATTTACTTCATTATCCTGCCGGAGAAGTTTGGTGATCGAAGGAAGGTCGGAGTTCCGATCAGGGGAACATTCGAACTCCGTGCAGCCCAGCTATGTGTTAGTTGTTAATACGCGTTTGTAACAACTTATACCTGTGGGGGGAAATTTCCTAGGTAATTAATTTGTAGTTTGGTTTGGTGGAGGTTTGGGTGTTTTTGTTATTAATTAGCACTGATTAATGAACATCTCCTGGATTGGTATCCCCGGATGTAGGATGGTTTATATCCGAACCGGCTAAACAAATAACTTGTCATTTATTGCTTGAAATCCTTTCATTTATTTCATTGACAAGTCGGTGTTATAACTGTGATATAACTACGCTTCGGAAGTTGATCCATTTGAATAAGTGTACGAGAATTTATTGAAGTAGCACTTATTTCCATCCCAAAATAGTATTTATCATCTTATAATATTTTCTTTAAAAAGAATATTATTATTGATAAATAGTTCTAAAAATTTCAAAAATATATTATTGATAAATAGTTCTAAAAATTTCAAAAATATATATGGACAACATATAAGGATTATATAATTAATATTCAAAGCAGGGACATAAACATTGGTAATGGCAGTGAAATTAAAACCTTAAACGCCGGATTCATAGGGATATGCATGCCCCCTGTCACGTGCCATCAAGTCAACTAAACCACCAATTTTTACTATTTTCACCATACCACAATTTTTATTTTATTTTTTTATATTTTCTAAAATAATCTATTACAATACCAAATAAATCACCACTGATGCTTTGTTTATATATTTTTAAAATTATAATTTAATCTCTTAATTAAATATATACATATTCAACCTTCGTTTACTTTATAATATATCATATTTAATAATTATTTATCTAAAAATACATATTCATTCTTTTTGATATATTATTTTATTCGTCCCATAGTGCAATATTTGATTTGCTGTACAAAATTTAGGTGGATAATAATATTAAATACATTAGATTGGGAATAAGGTAATCTGACGAGAGAGAAATATATATTTATTATTATTTGAGTTATGTAATGAGAAAGAGAAGTATAGTTAATTATTTTCGATTTTAAAAAAATTGTAAAGTGTATGGAACAAATCAAAATAAAATATATTGCAAAGTATGTGAAGCAAAAGGAGTATTTTTTTTAAGATATAAGGTTTACAATTCAACAATATTTTAATATTTATATACTTGCACATTCTATTTAACAAATATTACATCGGTCTCATTTATAAGTAAATATTTATTTTTTATGCAAAATTTTAAAAAATAATACTCTATGTCTCAAATATAGTGCAATATTTATTTTCAGCACGTAAATTTAGATAAATAGTATTTCCTCCGTCCCAAACAGCCTGCAATATTTTATTTTATTTTGGTATGTCTTAAACACTTGCCACATTTCCAAAATATGAAATAATTAAACTATATTTAATCTCTACCCCACACTTTATCCCATCACATTACCTCAATAAATATATATATTTATCTCTCCATCATATCACCTAATTTCTAAATTATCTTACTTAATATTATCCACCTAAAAGCTAGTGTCCAAAGCAAATATTGTACGTTGCTTGGGACGGGAGAGTATTAAATATAATAATTTGAAAATTAAGTTGACATGCTGAGAGATAAAAGTGTATATGTATTTTAGTTATGTGGGGTAGATATTAAATATATTCAATTATTTTTTATTTTATAAATGTTGCAGAATGTCTGAGACATATGAAGTGAGTAGTATTTTAATTATAAATTAATAGTTAAAAAGTAGTATAAGGATAACTTTGTCTTTGTTTTTTTGTATAAAAGTAATTATGTGATGTTAAAGTAAATGTATTTGTAAAAAAAATATGAGATCTTCAAAATAATTATTTTGTAATTGAACAATTCAAAATAAAAATATGTATATTTTGTAAGTTTACGTAGAGAATATAAAATATATTTAAAATGCACACACTACAAGAAATTATCAATTTTATAACGAGATTTTTTCGTTCCTAAATTTACTTTTTCTATTACTAATGATATTAGAGACGAAATTAGAGATGAAATTACGTTAGCAACGTGAATTTTAGGAACGGAATTCTATTACAAATATTCTATTTTTTTGTAGTGACATTGTAATTGTATTTATGAATTAAGGACCAAAGTAGTATATAATTTTAATAATAGTTAATTATTGAAGATTTATTTAGTTAGTCATTAAGCATTTTTTTTTGCATGTATTAATAAAAAGAATAATAACAATATAAATCGGGCCGGGCTAGGTGAGGTACAAGCCGACATGGATCGGCCCAGACACGGCCCGGTTAATGCTAGTGCTGAGTTATTTCGGGCTTATTTTTTATGTCCAAAAATTATTATTTTTTGTGGAATTATAACCGTATTTTATTTCATTTAGGGTGTGTTTGTTTGATATTTGAATAGTAAACTTTTTGAATTAGAATAATTGTATTGTTTGATATAAATATGTGTTGATATAATATTTTGAATGTAAAATTAATATTTTGTATAATATAGAAACAAAAATATGCATTTAATTTAATATTTTTCGAAAAGAAAAATTGATAAATAGTAAAAATCTCGATAAGTTTGCCAAAGAAACACACTTTTAGGGTGTGTTTGTTTGGGGGTTTGGATTTTGAGTTGGGATTTGAATAGTAAAAATTTTGAATTTGAATAGTTGTATGATGTGATATAAATAGGTGTTGATGTGATGTTTTGAATGTAAAATTTATTTTTAGTATAATATAAAAAAATGAAAAATAGGTGTTTGATTTGATGTTTTTGGGGGGAAAAAATGAAATGAATAGTAAGATTTTGTAACCGAACACACCCTTAATGAATGTCTATCTTATATTTCATTTTTATAAATTTGATTACTGTATTTCTTGTGTAATCATTGCTATTTTAAATAAAAATATATTTTCTCACAAAATACCAAACTTAAAATACTAAACAAAAAAAAGTTAAAATAAGACTGAAAAAAATAAAAAAGGAATTATATAACTATTATATAGAAAATATGCATTAACATTGCCAATATTAATACACCATTCCAAACAAACTTGGGTTGAATTTTATTTTAACCAAAAACAAAATGATAACATTTCAATCAATATTTTTAATATTTAAAGAAAATCTCTATTATTTTTCCAAATGCAGATGAAAATTTATTTTTTGGAGAATTTAGGAAGTATTTATTGTGTATTTTGGGCACGTGATATATTTCATTAAATTTACTTCACACTATTTTTCTCATACTTATTAAATTGTGTAAATATTTATATATACATACATTGCAATTTTAAAAAATGGTTGCACTTACAAAATTCAATAAAAATTTATCAGATAGTGTTTTCATACTAAACAATAATTATTTGTGGAATTCATTATATTCAATTAAATCTCTCGTAAGATAATGCAAGAAAAGTACATAGATGTGGATTTTTTTTTTCCTAAAGACAATTGTCAAAATGAATTAATCTAAAAAAAAATTATTTAAAAAAATATATATTCAACTTTTAGTCATTTTAAATCATCTTTAGTCATTTTATTATTATTATTATTATTATTATGGGACAACATAACTTGGTGTGTTACGGTTTGTTACTTGTTACGGAAATTTCAATAAATCAAGATGAGACGATCAATGACACAATAATTTGGTAACTCAGTTCGATCACAATGATCTATGTTTAGAGCGTTGTCAAGCCAGTAATTTTACTATAAAATATGCAAGCACGTGTTAAAGTGAGAATACATGGATATTCATAGGCTAATGCTAATAATATCCAAATCATATCAGTATAATATCTAAATCATAACCCCAGATTTTATGATATAATCAGACTTCATATCTCAACATGTTTAAGTATAATTTTAACATCGTATTTTCATTATTTTTTATTCTATTTTATTATTCTAATTGATTAGGTTGGAAATACTACAAATGTGTAGGTTTAGACATAAAGAACCAACGAAAAAGAAAAAACAAAAATACTACTAAACAATAATTTTTATCTTAAAAACCTCAAAAAATACAAGCAAACAAACTCATTAGTTTTTTTTTTTTAAGGTTTAAATTTGGGTTTAGGTTTAGGGTTTATAAATAGTATGAAAATTTATACTAGTATTTAATTTAATATTATAACAATAGGTTTTTGATGTGATATTTTGAATTAAAATTTAAATTTTTTTTATAATATATTAAATAAAATAATAAATATTTAATTTGATATTTTAAAAAAAATAATAATAAATAGTAGGCAATTGAATTGGTATATTTTGTTTAGATAGGTACAAATATAGAATAATATATATGTTATTATGTTATCCTACAAAGTATTTACACATATACCTAAATTTTCCACATACCATTTCAAGAACAGCACAAGTTTATGAATACTTTTAAAGTTTCGATTTTCATGATCTCCTATTTAATGAATTACCTAAAAATAACTACAATCTTAAATTACAACAAATGCATCCAAATCCTATTAATTATTACATCTAAATCTGCAATCAAAATATCTTAATTACAATTTAAGGATAGAAAACTTTCTTTTTAAATTATTTTTTATTCAATTTGCCTTAAAATAAATCCAATGTTATGGTATTGAATATTATCATTCAGCGTATATATGCAAAATAATATAAATACAACATATAAAGTGATAACTCTCATAATATTTCATACAACATATAGTACTATTGATCTTAGCACAAAAATGACGTAAACACAACATCGCGTGTAAAATATAAATTAATAATATATGATAACACTTTATACAAAACACAATCAATTTGTTCACCAATTTCCCATAAATATTATTACAAAAATACTAATATACACACATTAATATAATATATACATTATTCATTCATAATATAAATTATTTTTTTATATTAACAACACAGTTTTCTATACTATACAGAAAAAATCAATTTATCTAAAAATATTAAATGAACCGACTGAATACATTAATTCAAGTCATATATTAACAAATTAGATTGTATATATTATTAGTACATTAACCATTCCAAAAAAATGATCCTTGAAACAAAATCATAATCCAAAAAGTTCTTACATCCAAAAGGCAAAACATTAAAAAGAATTCAATCTCAAGAAAACCCCACAAACAAAATTAGCAAAGTAATGAACATAATTTAGCAAAATAAGAAGAGACAAGACTAACCCTAAAATCCCATTTCCATAATTCTTTATAACCATTTTTTTTTAATGTTTATAGAGTGAGAGATGGTAATAAGGTCATTAGATTTGTGCCCTAAAAGACAACCCTTTTTACATAAACCTTAAAATGAGACTCTTGTCATAGTCAAATAGGGTAAATTAAAATTCTATAATTGAATCCCACAAAAGGGAAAATTGGGAGTATCATTAGCATTCAAGTACTAAATTATTACCAAGCTTCTGATGAGTACAGATTGTTCTTTATAGTGATTTGTCACACCAACCCCATGTAATGACCAAACTGCCCTCCAAGAAAATAGCCTATTCTATCCCACTCATGGAGGGGCAATCCTGGAATTCCAAACCAACATTATTGATGAAGACAACCTTAACATTTCCAAAACAGCATTTTCAAATTTTCATTACCCACCCAATAAAAAAAAAAAAAATTAATTATGTAAAAGAATTGGCTCAGGCTACCCGATGAACTGTTTTTGTAAAAAAATAATTTTTTTATTAAATAAAGAATTGAGAGTATTTGTTTTTGTAAGCTTGAAGTTAAAGGTAAAGAAAGGTTTAGGGGTAGAGTGAGAAAATGGTGGGGGGGGGGGGGGGGGGGGGGGGGGGGGGGGGGGTGTAAGGGTGGGGTGCGAAGCAGGAGATAAATACTCAGAAAAAGTCTTCCACTTCCGAAATTGCATGCTTCTCTCTGGTCCCATTTGATTAAGAGAGAGGTAATAAAAATTACTATTAAAATGCCCTCCATTATTCGAATCCATAAAGCTCCATTATTCTATCCCACTGTACACATGCATATATACATACACATATACATACACACATATATACATACACATATACATACACACATATATACATACATACGCCAATCTGTACCTATACCCTTATTTCCAATTTACAATTTTTATACACATCTTTTGTCAGCAATCACTAGTTTTTAAAGAGAGAGGAAGAAAAAAAATAAAAAGGAAAAAGACAAAAATTAATCTTGGCTTTTAGATATTAAGGTGAGAAGAAAAAGAACTGATTCGATTTGGTGTTATTGTTGGGTTGAAGAGGCAGTAGTCACTTTGTATGTGTGTCTGTGTTTTTATTGGCCATCGCCATCATCATTGTCCATTTTTTTGCTCGAGATTCAAATCAGTGTGTCTGCACGCAGACACGGCGCACTGTAGCAGCCCCCCCCCCCTCCCCCCCCCGTTCGATCGATCGATTGATTTCCCGATCTCTTCTTTTGAAGGTTTGTCTGAATTTTTGTTGGGGTTTTGGGGAAAGTCACTTTTTGGGGGAAGTTCAGAGTTGAAAAGACTCGACCTTTAGAAGAAAGGGGTTTGTGTTTGTTGTTTGTGGGTTTTCTTGAATTTGGGGGAAAAAAATTTTTGAACCACCATGACTGTCGAGAAAATTAGGGCTGACGAGAATTGTGGCAATTTCCCTGTCGGGATGCGTGTTCTCGCCGTCGATGATGACCCAATTTGTCTGAAATTGCTCGAAACCCTTCTCAGGAAATGCCAATATCACGGTATGTTCTTGCTTTTTTTCTTGTTGTTGTTCTTGATTTGCTCTCTAATGGTAAATTTAATTGAAAAATTAATTGTTTGTGGGGTTTGACTTGAGAAAATTTCCCCCAACTTTCTTGGTTACCACTGCTGATCTTTAGTTTTTTTGTTCTGTAATTTTGACTTGTAATCTTAGTATCTATCCTACAGTGAATCTTCGATGTGTTTGACTTTCGAAATGTTGTAATTGATCCCATGGATCTTGGATTTCTCAAACACTGCAGCCATTAACGTTGTAAGGAAGTTCTGTAATTTGATTGTCTGAAATGAAACTTGGAATTGGATAATTTGTTGCATCAAGAGATAGGTTTTATGTTCTTGAAGAGTTTAGGTTAAGAATTAAGATCCCATTTCGAAAGATTGATGAATTTGTATGTAATGGCAAGTATGTATGTCCAAAGGGTGAATATAGTTTGATCGAATTTCCGACGAAAATTTGTTGGCAGTAACAACGACGCAGCAGGCGAGAATGGCGCTGAAAATGCTCCGGGAGAATAAGGATCGATTCGATTTGGTTATCAGCGATGTCCATATGCCGGACATGGATGGATTCAAGCTGTTGGAACTCGTCGGCCTCGAAATGGATTTACCTGTCATTAGTACGTTATTATGTTTTCATTTCGTCGTTTTTTAGGACAATGCTGAAGAATTCGGATCGAATTGAACGATTCTTTTGTCTTGTTTAGTGTTGTCTGCAAATAGCGATCCGAAACTTGTCCTGAAAGGAGTCGATCACGGCGCCTGCGACTATTTGGTGAAACCTGTTCGGATCGAAGAGCTGAGGAACATTTTCCAGCATGTGATCCGCAGGAGGAAATTCGACTCGAAGAATCAAACGAAATCCAACGAACAAGTTAAGGGAAATGATTCGAGCGGAGAGGGTCACGGATCGCCTGTGGGATGTAATTCCGATCAGAACGGGAAATTTAATCGGAAGAGGAAAGAAGAGGAAGACGAGAACGACGAGAACGGGAACGATGGTGAAGATCCCGCCACGCAGAAGAAGCCTCGCGTCGTCTGGTCGATCGAGCTTCACAGGAAGTTCGTCGCTGCGGTTAATCAATTGGGAATCGAAAGTAATTTTCTACACTTCCATCTTTTTAACATTGTTCGGCTGTTAATTTTGATAATTTTCTTGCTTTTGTTGCAGAGGCTGTTCCGAAAAGGATTCTCGACCTGATGAACGTCGAAGGACTTACGCGCGAAAACGTCGCGAGCCATCTCCAGGTACTGGTTGCGATTTCGATTTCGTTACGTCGATCGAATTCTTTAGTGTACGTCGTAATACTCGATTCGTTATACGTTTGCAGAAGTATCGACTTTATTTGAAAAGAATCAGCTCCGTTGCGACCCAGCAAGCGAACATGGCGGCTGCGCTTGGGGTGAAGGACCCGTTTATGCGTATCGGCCCGTACGAGGGGCTCGCAGATTTTCGATCGTTGGCCGGGTCGGGGAGACTTTCAAATGCCGCATTGTCGCCTTACGGCCCGGGGGGAATGCTCGGGAGGCTAAATTCTCCGGCTAACGTCAACCTCCGTAATCTCGCTCCTCCGCCGCTCGGCCAGCCGGGTCACGCTCAAAGCATCTCAGCGCTCGGGAAAATGCATCCCGTCATTCCCGCCGCGGGTCAGAATCCGGGTTTATTTCAAGGGATCCCGTCGTCGCTGGAGCTCGATCAGCTACACCAGAAGAAGTACTCGACGAGCGCGATGAGTTTCAACGCTTTAGACGAGTCGAGGATGTATGGAGCGTCTTCGAACGCGTTTACGGACCCGGGAGTGGCGCTTGGCAGCACGAGCAATATACTCAGCGCCATCCCCGGGAGCAATCCGATGATGCTGCAGGGGAACTCGCCGCAAACGCTGAGCGACGGCGGGTTCGGGAGCCAATCGTCGCACAACACGGCTTCTTTCAACTTGGATTCCTTCAACGCTGGCGTCAATAGCTCGTCGAATTTGCTCGATCCAGGCGCGATTGAATCTTCAAAACTTCAGCAGAATCCGATACTCTCAAGCGGGGATCCTTTCCAGAATCAGCTTCCGGTGAGCTCCGGGAGGGACGACGGTTTCTCGATTACACCTTATTATTTATCGAGCAACTCCATTGACATTTCTTTGGACTTGCAGTTCCAAGAAGGCTTAGTCGTCGGCGACGTGCAGAATATCCCGAACCAGAGGTGGGGCGGCGGCGGCGAGCAAGGCCCGAATTACGGTCATGGGTCGAAGAGTAATTTTGCTTCCATGAACGCTTGTGTTGCGGACAGCGGCGCGTCGTCGATGACCCGGAACATCGAACAAGAGAGCAGCGGGATGTTCAACCAGAAAATCGGGATGTTTGTGAACGGAAGATTAGGTGGAAGCAACGGGTTGAATCTCGTCCAACCGAACGAGAATGAGAAAATGGCGAATGAAACAATCGCGAGATCGAGCGACGCCTTATTCAATCATCGTGGCGGCTACGGTTCGTTGGATGATATGATGAACGCGATGATCAAACGGGTACGGTAAAAATTTTTCGAAGTTTACATTATTCAATATGTCGAATTTCTCTCGATCTGTAATTCGTCGTTTGTTGGTGTGTAGGAGCGAGAAGAGCCGGTGCCGAATTGCGACTACGGGTTCGACGATTACGGCTTCGGCGCCGGGCTGTGAGGTTTCGAAGAAGGGAGACGAAGAGAGACAAGTTCCTCGTAAAACTTAGGCTGTGAAAACGAACCATTCGAATTCGTCGTGTTGTGTCTATATATGTGATGTGTTTTTATTTCATCTGAGAATCTTTGGATCTTCGTAGGTTTGTCTTAATTTGTTGCTGTTCTCTTTTTTTTTTCTATGTTTTTATTTGCAACTGGAATTGGCACTGTAGGATTCTAAGAACAGTAATGTGAAGTTCTGAACTGTTAGTTAATGGAATTGACCTATGAAATAAGCATTCAAATGTGACTGTTGTTGATGCCTGTTTGAGCCAATCTATTATTATCACACTGTAATAAAACAGTGTCATAAACTATCCAAGAAAACTTTCTTTTTTTTTTTTCACAAGAACAGAAAGGTCTCACCACTTACGAAAGCACTTCGGTAAATTTTCACATCATGGAAATTTACATAAATATAAATTGTTGACATAACAGCACAACTTTCTGGAAAAAAAGACAGTTAAAAATTGCAGAAAACTATTGCCATTTCTTGCAGGAATTTATAGAGATCCTTCCACAAGGCTAAGACATGTTCAGACATCCGGAACAAAAGATCGATCGTGTAAGCTCGCGATTGTGCGAAAACATAGGTTATCTAGAGTGCAATAAGATTTAAATACAAGTAGCTAGAAAAGAATGCGAAACAAGAAACTATAAGAGCCATTACCGTAAACTTGCTTGCTTTGGATAGGTGTCCGGATTTCGTCCTGTATGGGTTGATCACCGTGTAGAATGCTGGATAAAAGGTAAGTGTATTTTTCCGGTGTGTAACTATTCCCCTTCCCAGCCGAGTTTTCGGGCTCTTTGTTCCCACAAAGAAGTTATTTTCCTCTCCTTTGCAAGAAGAACCTCCGATCGCTCTCTGGCTGCTTCACAGGTTTCGGTAGCAGCATTGCACTTTTCGGCTTCCCTTTGGTATTGAGAAGCCAATCTTTTTGCTTCCCATAAGGTAACATTCATGTGTTTAGAGTGCTCTTCCCCGACTGTTTCTTGCAGCTTCAGTTCTTCGGATAGTAAGTCCACAAATTGCTTCTCCATCTCTTCCTTGAGATCAGGATCATCTTTTCCACAATCTGCTTCAACGAAATGTTTTGAGAGGTTAGTCGGGATTTCACAAAATATGTCGAGAAGCATTATAAAGACATAAAACCCGGAGTTATAAAACATGTATGTGTATACAACAGTAAGATTTGAACAGGAAATACATATCCATTGTCATGTGAGGAAATTACAGCTAAGCTTGGTTTTATTTTGCATCTTGAAGATATCCATGACTATAAGATCACTACCTTAGCTCGAATCTCTAAGAATGGATTTATTAATCGTCGTTGAAGTATTTTTCTTATGTTATATCACACATTGAAAAAAGTTAATATAAATGAGTAGCAAAAAGGGACACAATTCAACATTGATTCGAGGAAAAAATAAATAAAACACTAGTTTTCAAGTATAAAAAGATGCATCGATCAAATGCTTTAAGCTTGTTTCTACCATCAAACAACTTGAATAAATATCAACCATCTTTACAAGAAAAATGAAAATCAGCTTCTCTTTTATCATTGTGTAACGAGTACCTTGAAACGAATAACAATGCTGTTTCAGTGTTTTCAAACTTCTAATATAGGCAAATGAAATTGCAACTCATAGAAATTAAGATTCAAAGTACTATTAAGCAAAAAGGAACTTTGGCACAATCGTCTTATATATTTCAGAGGGAAAAAAGGGGATGGTTTCCAATGACATTAATTTTTTTCAAGGAGAAAATGAGTGCCGAACATAGATGAAATTATATTATAGTAATCTCCATCCTTACCTGAAACAGAGAGATTAGCCAACCCTGCAAGGAAACAAATATAAAGTGCAAAGTGTCAGTAAAGCGAAATGTTCTTATTCACAAAAGGACTGAAACAAAACAATGGTGAAATAAGATTATATAAGTGCATAAATAGTAAACAAAAGATCGTTGAAAATCAATAAGAAAGAAAAATGAGCTAGATATTAGTAAGAATTCTAAAATAGTGAATTGTAAACAAAAGATCGTTGAAAAATGAGCTAGATATGAGTGCTTTCGAATTCTAAACTGCAAACTTAACCTGACATCCTCACTTATCCCGTTCAACTTTCTTTTGTATAGATTTTCAACGATCTTTGTTTACAATTCATGCACTTATATCCCTTTCCCTTGCAAGCTGTTATCTAATTTGCTCCTGGCTTTAAAGTTCGTAAAGGTCGGGGACAGCAAAATTGCACAAAATACTTCTTGGAAGCAAAGAACTGGATTTCGGTATTCCTATTTTCTCTCCAAATCATCAACATTGCAGTAGTTTCCCAATCCATTCCTATACCTTAAAAACCACCTTGCGTTTCTCACTACAATTGCCCTTAAAATGCAGTGGCATCGAACACAAACACACAAAGAGATGGAACAATTATAACTTTGCAGATGATCCAGCGGAAAAAGGTAAGCAGAATTATTAGCCTTCACATATTTGTCAGTTAGTTATATGCCGACGAACAGTTACTACTTTCTTCAGTTCCAACAGAACAGTACAAACACGAACAATAAATTTTCAACGAAATGGCGAGGAATTAAACTAAGTATCAAATAATCCACAATCGAAATTCAGCTAAAGTACACTACAAGAACAACAGAAATACCATCAGAACCAAAAACACACCAACAATGATCTCAAATAACAAAAACAAAAAATTAGGGCACAGAATTCCAGCACAAGCACAAACAAATTAGAACAATCGGATCGGGAAGTAGCAGGCGGAATCGTACCGGGAACAATCTGGAAAAGCGATTGGGGAGGCGCGCAATTGCAGACGCAGGGAGGGCAAGAAGAGGAGGCCGCAGCAGTAGCAGCTCCCTTGAATTTCAAGCCTTTCTGGAATTTAAAATAGAGCGCCGGCCCACATACACAGAGGGCGGAAACGACTGCAAAAATCACCAAGCAGCAGCGCAAGCAAGCCCCCGATCTTCTGCTCATCTCTGTCCTCCCCACTTGTATCGCTCTGCTCTCCTCTGCAATTGCAATGGCGAGTCGAAGAATATTGGATCTCACAGTGGGGTGGGCTCATCAAATTGAATGCGCATGTGGGATCTGTCGATCTGTAACCACGCGGAGGAGACGATTTGTCATTTTTTATTTTTTTTTATAATAATTGGGAATTTAGATTGAGAAGTTTTTGGGGAAGCAGTCGGTGAGGGTTTTTTTTTTTTTTTTCTTTTTTTTTTTTTTTAAAAAAAAAAAAGAAGATTTCTAAGTTGGATGATATGACTTCTTGTTCAAATGTCGCTTTTATATTCTTTTTCTTGTTTTTTATTTATTTATTTTTATAAATAATAAAATACTAATATATGTATATAATATAACTATTATATAATATTTATAAAAAAGAATTGAAGCTTAAAATTTTAACAAATATTTTGTAAATATTAATTCATAAATAATTTTAAATCCATGCAGATCAAATCCATAAGTACGAAGTGTATTTTTTTTATGAGTCTGAAAAAAAATTAATTTTGATTTAGTATTAAAATAAATATTTTGTGAGAAAAAAAAAATATATTTAAAATATATATATATATATACAAAGTTCAAATAATAGAAAATTTAGGTTTTATGGCTATTTGATGGCTAAAGAAACATACCTTTAAATTACTCTAATTTATACTATTCTTTAGTAAGACTTTAATACTTTCTCCGAATTTTATTCTAAAATAATAACTCGAAAACATATTTATAACTTTTATATTATACTTAAAAAATTAATTTTATATTCAAAATACTACATTAATATTTATTTATATTACATAATATTGCTACTATTCAAATTTAAATTTTTTAGTATTCAAAATTTGCATTACAAGAGTGCAAAAGTGATATCTCCTCTAGCTGGAGCTAATGCATTTAAAAAATAATTATTATATAATAAATATAATTATAAATTAAAATTAAAATAAATTATCAATTTAATTAAAATTATAAAATTAAAATTTTTATTAAATATATAATTATATTTTTAAATAAATATATATATATATATATAAGACTGATAAATAAAATAAATATTTTATAAGAGATGTATTTTTATTTTCCCTTTGGGACAATAGCAATAACAATACAATCTTCAATTGTATTGCCCTCAGTAATTCATCATAGGATTCTTGCAATGATTCTTCTTCCTCCTCGTATATTTCTGTAATATACTTTTCTCCATTTCTTCACAATAAGCTTTTCTTGCCATGCACAACTTCGGCAGCTCTCTACGCTCCCTCCAAGTCTTTGTAATAATCTGAAATCCACTTTTCGATGATCTGAACTTCTTGCCTCCTCTGATCGACCAGCCAGTCGGGATCGTCCGCCGTCGCCGATCGAAGGTCCGTGTGGTGAGCTCCTGCAATGGCGATGGAGGAACAAACAGCAGACATTGGAGGCAATGGACAATACAAAACAACGTAAGATCGAAATGCTGTCGAAAATAAGACAAGAACGCACCTTTCTCGGCGACGAGAGCCACAATGGTGTCGGATATGTTCTTCAGCACGCTGATCGTCATATTCGGTAATGCAAAAATAATAATAATTAAGCATTCGTCGATATTACCAAAAGCAAGAAGAAATGATCGAGAATTCGAACTAACCTTCCTCGGCTCCATGGATCTTGCAACCCGTTCGAGAATATAATGTTGCTTCCGAACCTCTTCAACACCAATTTGATGTCCTGTCATGACAACTCAATAATTCAGCACTGTACTGACAACATATGATATAACAACATATAGCACAATTAATATTAATATTTCCTCAGTTATTCAATTATGTGCTCAGCACACCTGTTTGGTGTCTTCTCATGACAACTATCTATAATTCAGCATAGTATCAACAGATAACACACAATTTATATTAATATAATACAAATACAACATATATAACCGACAATACATAACAATTGGCCAGACAACACGTACTACTATTAATCTCAGCACACGTCATATGTACTATGTCATTGAAAATATGTTTTGATTTGGTCCAATCAGCACTATAACTTCTACCCTAATTTAGACCTAATTTCTTCGAAAAAAAAAACTAATGACGACGACAATTAAGCTTACCGTGCCGCCGTACTCGGTCGTGACCCAATGTGGACGAGGCCTCACTCCGTAGTTCTTCTCGCAATCATCCGAAAACTCTTTGTAGCTAAACGACGACGGAGGGAACATACTCTCGTTCGAGACGACCATCGGCATAACCATCTCCGTGCACGCCTAAAAAAGATCGATCCATCGATCGATTATCATCCCTATTTTCATCGCGCATATAATAAAAAAATACCTAACTCAAAAAAAATAAAAAGATCGACGATTTCACCTGCCAATTCCAACCGCTGAGGCCATGATCGTCGCTCGGATTTTCGAGGGCGAAGCATTTCTGGCTCGACGAGTAATTGTAGTACAAGCTTGCGGCTGCAAAGGCTCGGCTCAGCTTCGTAGCTCCCGGCGGGAATCCATCGATAATCTTGCACATCTTCAAAAAAAAAAAAAAATTAAAAAATTAAAAAAATCGAAATCGAATATTAGATCGAGAGTCTGTTGAGGAAGAAAATCGTAGTTCGACACACCTCTGTTACGGGGTAAGCGGGAAGCGGCTTCAGAAAGTTTGCGGCTGTCGGGTAATTCACCATCGCCGTGTAAACGAAGGCTTCCCATAGCCAGTCTCGCGCGGAGTATATGGATCGAACTTGTCTGAATTCAGACAAGATCAGCAATGTAAGTTAGTACTACAGACAACTCCCCTGTTTTATTTAAGAAACTCGAGTAGTTCTACACGTACTTGCAAGCCCGGAATGTTCGACTCAGCTCGGCTAATCCTTGTTTGTAGGTGGATAGGGCTTGGAGCTCAGGCCAGCTCCCCTTGATCACTTGAAAACAGTTCGAACTTGCTTCCTGACCAATCGATTCATTAAACTTGTTGGTAATAAGATCGACAACTTTTACGATTCTCTGTAAAAATCGACAAGTTTTATTACATAAAGAAAAGACCTTGAAATCCTGGGAAACAGCATCGTAGAAACTTGTCCATGGAGTGATCTTATCGAACTGTAGAATTGGAGCTGAAGAAGCCAATGCTCCAATGGCTACGTGAGGGTATTTCAGTCTAAACCAAGCAGCAAGCACTGCACATGAAAATAACCTTTATTATGTACATAATATTTTTTTAAAAAAATTAACAATATTAGTTGAACTTAAAAAATTAAAAACAAAACTCAAAAAATATTCTCTCTTTTTTATTATTATATAAATATCACTATTTTTCACGTTAGTAAGTAAAACAATTTTATTATATTAGTAAAACTCAATTCCACAAAGGTAAAATTTTAACCAACAATTTATATCAATTGCTAATATAATACTATGAATATATTTGTAAATCTTATAGTACTACAAAACACTGTCCCAATTGATCTAGAGGAATATAATATAAAAAAATAAAAAATAAATAAAAAAATTATTAATTTGATAGTTTATATTAGTATTTCCCTCCATTTCACTAATTTTTTGTTGTTCAAAATAAAAATATCTATTTTATTTTAATTAGTACTCCCTCTTTTTCAATACGGTCTTGTTTATCATTTTTGTTCGTCTCAAAATAATAGTCTTATTTTCATAAATAATCATATCACCATAAAACTACTGTTACTTTTTCATTATTATTACAGCCACTACCTTTTACACTGATACACTCACAATGATAAAAAAAAAAAAGTCTTTTACTCGTACTTTTTACCCACTACCAATATAATATCAATATTCCTTAAATCTCGTGTCAAACATAACCCAAACTATAGTTTTGAGACGGAGGAAGTATGATATAACTATATAGTACTCCCTCCGTCCATTTTCTAATATCCTAAGTAATATCTACACGTTTTTTTAGGTAATTAGTTTTTTTGTTGTAAATTGACAAAATAGTCATTTTTTTGTGTATATATATAAAAAGATTTTAAATAAGGGTAAAAAGATAAATTCTATGTATAAAAATAGAAAGAGGACAATTTTTGGACGTTCCAAATAGAAAAGTAGACATTAGTTCGTGGACGGATACAGTATTATAAATACTCTCATATTTATATTTATATTTATATTTATATTTATGCATAAAACTATAATCAACTATAATTATAATACAATACTTATAAAATTTATACAAATTTGGGTGTGTTTGTTTGAAGGATTTTGGAAGATTTTTACTATTCATCCAATTTTTTCCCCCCAAAAACATCACATCAAACACCTATTTTTCATTTTTTATATTATACTAAAAATCAATTTTACATTCAAAACATCACATCAAACCCTATTTATATCACATCATACAACTATTCAAATTCAAAAATTTTACTATTCAAATCCCAATCCAAAATCCAAACCCCCAAACAAACACACCCAAAAAGTAAATGTATATACTTGTAAAATAGAGTGAGTAATAACTACTACATAACCTTGATGAGATTTGTTTGGTAGTATATCATTATCTATTAAATGCCACAGATTAAAGAGACAGGTTAGATGCAGATTTCTAAAAACTTCCAAACACGGCCTTAGCTGGAAAGAAAATTTCCACGAAAACAACGTCCACATGGTGGAAGGAAGTGTAATAAGTAATAATTTCTTCACGTAACGTCAGTTTCATTATTAAGGGCGTGTTTGGATTGAAAAACTTACTTCCACCGTAGGATCCTCCGAAGGCCACAACTGGAGACGCTTCAGAAGACAGATTCTTCTTCAAGCTTCTTATCAGAACTGCAAAGTCAGCCATCGCTTGCTGCGAGTTCAAAAACCCTAGTTTCTTCGCCGTCGACGTCGATTTATTCCCAAACGGCTTCGATTCTCCGTAGAATCTATGCTGCAATAATTCAAACAAACCAATAACATTGGAATCGACGAATGGATAGGATAATCATGATCTGAGAATTCATAATATATATATGTATGTATGTATGTATATATACCTCGATGAAGAGAAGAAGGGCGTTGAATTTGGGGGCAATGTCGGGCAAGAAACCTGTGTTGGCTGCAAACCAATCGATGTCTCCTTCGTTGCCTGTGTAGACGAAAATGGGGCCATTTTTGTGCCAGAATTGGGTGTTGATGAGATACTTTTGGGGGAAAAGTTTGTAGCTTTGGGGATGGAATGTGAAGTGGTCTAAAGTTTGGGGGAAATAATGGGTTTTGTAGGTTATTGTTGTTCTTGGCTTCGGGTTTTTTAAGGAAGATGAACTGTAGATTAATCCTGGGAAGAACAAAGATGGAGGACCTGAATCTGCAGAAGCTATGGTAAGAAGAAGAAGAAGGAGGGAAAGGAAGGAAGAAAGCAAAGCCATGGTTATAATTTCGATTTCTTTGGGGGGTTTTAGCTTTGAAGGGTGGGTGCACTAGAAGCCATATTTCTGCAACAAACGCCAGCACATTGCTGGGGATGGCAGATCCTGACCTGTTTTTTTTTTTTTTTTTTTTTTTTTTTGGGAAAATCATGGAAGCTCCATTTTTGGTTTTTTGTCACCTACAGTGGTTCTGTCAGAAGCTGTTTTCTTTCAATGGTGTAATAATTGGTGGGGGTTTTGGAGAGGTCCATGGACTTCAGGACCGGATGGATCTGGTTCGTTGATGTGTGGTGTGGATTTGTCGGGTGTTGGAGGCCCAGGGTGCTGTTGAGAATGGAATTATGACAATTGTCAATTTAGTCATTTGTCCTCACTAGTGTGGGATTTGACGAGTCAAAGGATTTTTGATATTTATCGACTTTATTATTTAGATATTTGCTCATTTTACGTATACTTCCTACGTTGTCGACGATTAATTAATTTTTGATAAAATTTGTTTTTTTACGTAAATTTTTTAATATTAGTATTATATTAGATTAGATTAGATTGTAATGAAAAAGATAAAAACACTCTTATTAGTACGGTGTAATATAAAAGTAATGACATTTGTGTAATATATTGTAAGTTGAAATGGTATTTATTATGTTAAGTAGGTAGTCAATTACTAAATTAGAAAAGTAACCTTTCAATGTGACGGAGGAAATATTTTTTTTTTAATTCATTTAAATTGATTTATCAATTTTTTTATAATAATTGTACTTTATACATGATTTTAAAAAATTATACAACAAACTGTGATTAAAAAAATATATTTTGGTTTCAATTTAATTAAAATATGTTAATTTTAATTCCAATATAAAAAATACATCAATTTTAATCACTAAATAATTTCAAATCAATTTTTTTAAAAAATAATTAATATATTACGAAAGACACATAAAAGTATATATATATTTTTTCTATAATATTTTTATAATTCTTTATATCTAATAATAAAACATTTAAAATTATAAATACTAAGCAAAACTTATTTGATAGTTTTTCACCCCACCATCAAAATTTTTTGAAATGTGTCAAAAGATTTTACAATTTTATTGTTGTTTGTTTATACAAAGTTTTTCCTCATCATTTCAAATGTATAAAGATAAAATAATTAAAAATCATCAAAATTATACAACTAAACAATGGCACATAAAAATAAATCTAGTAAAAATAACAACTGAGGAAGTCATAAAATAAAAAAAAATATAAATAATAAAACTATATATATATAATAACACAAAATTGCTTATAATTCACACATGGTTTAAAAATTCGACATTATATTCTCCGAATTAAAATTTGAAAGTTCAATCGTATTTTAAAAAAAATTGCATAAAATTCTGTTGATGTATTTTTTCAACAAACAAAAAATAAAATCCGAAAATAAGAAATTATCTTCGAATTTGATATATTTAGTGTCTGAGATTATGAATCTCTAAACACTGTACAGTACAGAAAATAAACTGGAAAATAAAAACTACAGATTGGAAAATGAAGTGGTGATCCCCAAAAGCAATTCTCTTGAATTTGATGTCGATTGAAAATCACTGAAGATAAAAAATCTGCATCCTTAAATATTCCCTAAAAAGACGTTTCAGAACCGTCGCCTGGTCGGTTACAGCAACCCGCCCACTAATTTCTCCTTTATTGACACGTGCCTTCACCCGTTTGGCCAACTGCATACCCAGCCGACCAATCCAGAGACTAACTGACCGCTAGACCAAACGACTCTTTGGTTGCCCCATCAACCGACTGAACTACTGTTCACTCAATTAGGCGACTAATTAACAGACCTTCGCTTGGTCCAAACTCCGTATTGACCAACTCAACCGATGGCGGACCAACCGACTGCGAACCAACCGACTGCAAACCATCCGACTTATTGATCCGACCTGTTGACTATCCGACCGCGGACCTTCCGACCTGCGGACCGTCTGACCTGTAGACCGTCCGACTCGCTGACTATCCGACTCGCTGACTATCTGACCTGCGGACCTTCCGACCTGCGGACCGTCCGACCTGTAGACCGTCCGACTCGAAGACTATCCGACCTGCGGACCTTCCGACCTACGAACCAACCGACCGGACCAACCGACCGAGGACCAACCGACCTACCTATCTAACCGCAGACCTTTCGACCTGCCGATCCGACCGAGGACCAACTGACCAGACCAACCGACCGAGGACCAACCGACCTGAGCACAAATTTTTCTCCTTTTCCACTCGACTTCGTGTCTAACTTCCTTTAAAATCCTGCAATCCTTATTTTACTTTTTTTTTTTTTTTTGTGCGTAACAAATTCCTTTGTAATTTTGAAAATATCGCATATAATTCACAAAAATGAGAACCTGTGCAATATTTTAAAAGCACAAAGAATCTCATACAATTTTTAAATTGTAAAGGATAATAGTGCAATTTTTTTATACCACAAGTATGTTATAAATAATTGTCATATAATAAAATAATATACATAAATAATCATTTATTATTAAAATTAATAACGTATTTTAAGCATAACAACAGATGTCGTTGTAGTATAGTGGTAAGTATTTCCGCCTGTCACGCGGACGACCCGGGTTCGATCCCCGGCAACGGCGATTTTTTGATATTTTTTTACGTACCCAAAAAGTAGATAGATTTATGTAATGGGCCGAAAGGCCCAAATTATTCACATGGCTTCTATTAATATTAAGCCCGTAATAAATATGAATATTTTGGACTGCATTAGTTTATCTAATAAAAATACAGAAATTATGAAATTATATTATTGCTGCTAACATATTCATAATCATCACGTCATTTGCATATATTGTTGTTGTTTTTTAATATGATTTTGTTTATTATAAATTCAAAAGAAAATAGAATTCAAATATCTATATTCTGTGTGTTTAAAAGACATTTTTTAATTTGCATGTATCTTAAACTTTGTTTGTTTGGAAATTTTTAAAAACTTTTTACTATTCAACTTTTTTTTTAAAAAAAAATATATATTAAATTAAACATTTTTTTTCTTCTTTTCTTATGCATAAAAATCATCTTTTATTTTGAGTTATTGTACATAATATATTTTATTATAATCTCATGATGTAAATATCGCATAGTAATTTTATTACGATTTTATCTTCTTCAACCCTCCATCTCCATTGACAGAATAAGAAAGCGAAGAGATTGTCCTGTAAGAGATGACCTAATAGAATTAGGGTGGACTCGTGCGCGTGACGTCATGAGTTCAAACTCCATATGCTTTCGGGTTTTACCTGTCACACCTGATTTTCCTAATGTGACTTGTTTTATCGGACATAAATCACTGACTATTCGATTCAATCGGAAGTTTACTCAGAGCACATTCGAAAAGTAGCCGTTGTAGATTCTCACGTCGTAAAAAAATAAATAAATAAAAAAAAACACATGGTTCGTTTAATGTAATTAGTTTTGTCAAGCGTAAATTGCATACTATTAGATTCAGTTGAGAGTTACCCGCACAACCCATTTGAAAAGTAGCGGTCGCAAATTTCTACATCATAAAAAATAATAAAAAAAAATGAAAAAAACAATGAAGAATTCATTCACTTAGCCATTTGGTTTGCAAAATCCATTGTTTATGAACTTGTTGTGGATTACAGCTCTTGTAAGTTCCGATCGAGTCGTGGTCACCTATTGTTGTCTCTTCCGGTATCGCGGCATGGATCAGACGCGTAGACAATCTACATGGAACTTGTTGACTATTACATGGAACTTAAAATCTACATGTCCGATGCTGACAACGAAGACAATTTTTGTGTTGGGGACTTTCGTTTGCGGATAAATAAATAATGGTTGTGTTTCCCTTGAGACGGTCATTCCGCATCCGATATAGTATCAGAGTTTGGCTAGGTCTCGAGTTCGAGTCCTACCGTCCTCATTTATGGCATATGCATATGCAAGTTTCACATACCCACTAGGGATGTCTTACCCGTATTTGTACAAATATATGGCTTGAAATTTTAAATGATCATTATTTTTTCTATATGACTATTTTTTTTATAATTATTTTGTAATGGTAAAAAAAAATGAAAAAAAAAAAAAAATTGATTGAGATAATATTCATTTTTGGCTCTAATGAAATAACATAAATAAATTATCATTTATTCATGTAAAATAACTAACTCTAATAAACAAATGTCGTTGTAGTATAGTGGTAAGTATTTCCGCCTGTCACGCGGACGACCCGGGTTCGATCCCCGGCAACGGCGATTTTTGTTTTGTTTTTTTTCATTTTTTACTTATTTTGGGCCAAAAATTAAATAGATTTTATGTAATGGGCCAAAGATGCCCAATACGATTTAACAACCGCCAACCAATGTAGATTAGAAAACAATTAAATAGTGTTACAATATGAGTTTGTTTGATCGGTCAAAAGAATAAAATATATTTTTATATGTATTATTTTTATACTATCTATATAATTTTTTACTCTATATTTTAGATAACAATATCCTGATAATCAATCCTGTAGAGATTTTTAATAATATGATATCATAAATAATAGCAGAAAAGGAATAGTAGTTGATTTTATGGAGTGGAAAATAAAACCACGCCAAATATAAAAAGGTCACATTATTGCGCTGGTCCTCCTCACTTTAATTATTTCCACAAAAACCCCTCCAAACCTAAATAATTTCCCACTCATTCATACCCCAACTCTCTACTTCTTTCCACACCCTCTCCAGACCTCACCATGTCGGCCGCCACCGCCACCGCCGCCGCCGTCCATGTCCTTGTCTTCCCATACCCTGCCCAGGGCCACATGATTCCCCTCCTCGATTTCACCCACCACCTCGCCGCCCGCTGCGGCGTGGCCGTCACCGTCGTCGTCACCCCCCAGAACCTCCGGCAACTCAACCCCCTCCTCGCCGCCCATCCCCGTTCCGTCACCGCCCTCGTCCTCCCCTTCCCGGCGCACCCCGCCATTCCCGCCGGCGTCGAGAACACCGTCGACCTCCCCGCCGGCGGATTCCGCCATATGATGGTCGCCCTCGAGGGCCTCCGCCACCCCATCGCCGACTGGTTCCGTACCCACCCCTCGCCGCCGGCGGCCATCATCTCCGACATGTTCCTCGGCTGGACCAACCACCTCGCCGCCGAGCTCGGCGTCCCCGGCTACGCTTTCTTCCCCTCCGGCTTCTTCGCTATCTCCTTCATCCGCTCGCTGTGGTGTCAGTCGCCGGAGCTCAAAAACGGCGACGACAGAAACACGGCGGTCGGATTCCCAGAAATTCCCAATTCCCCGATTTACCCCTGGTGGCAGTTATCCCCAATTTTCCGTAGCTACGTAAGAGGAGACCCAAAATCGGAATTTATCAAAGATTCTTTCCTGGCCAATTTCGTAAAAAGCCATGGGTTGGTAGGCAACACGTTCTACGCATTGGAAGGTGTGTATTCACAGTACCTCAAAAAAGTGCTGGGTCACAACCGGGTCTGGGCAATCGGACCCGTATTGCCCCGGTCCGACCCGATCCATCGGGGCGGACCCAGCTCCATTTCGCCCGACGAGATCCTCTCCTGGCTCGACACGTGTCAAGATCGCAGCGTGGTGTACATCTGCTTCGGGAGCCAGGCCGTGTTGACGAACAAGCAGATGGCGGAGCTGGCGGCGGGGCTGGAGAAGTCCACCGTGAAATTTATTTTATCTGTGAAGGCGGCGACGCAGGGGCACGCCGCCGGGATGTACGGCGCCCTGCCGCCGGGGTTCGATGGTCGGGTCGCCGGGAGGGGTTTGGTGATTCGGGGGTGGGCGCCGCAGGTGCTGATACTGCGGAACACGGCCGTGTCGGCGTTTCTGACGCACTGTGGGTGGAATTCAGTGCTGGAGAGTATCGCCGCCGGCGTTCCGATGCTGGCGTGGCCGATGGAGGCCGACCAGTTTCTGAATGCGACGCTGCTGGTGGATCAGTTGGGAGTGGCGGTTAGGGTTTGCGAGGGGCGGGAGACGGTGCTTCCGGCGGAGGATCTGGTGAGGTTTCTGGAAGGAACTGTCGGGGATGAGTGGTCGGAGAAGACGGCCCGTGCGGCGGCGCTGAGGAAGGCGGCGGCGGACGCCGTTAGCGACGGCGGAAGTTCGGTCAATGATTTGGAGGATTTTGCGACTGAACTTTGCGGAGCTGTATCGTTACAATAAATTTCAAGATAATTGAATTATTTGTCCACGAAAGAAGATTCAATTTTATATTTTTAGATTTTTTTTTTTTTTTATTCAACTATTACGTAATTTTAAAAATTCGATTATATGTATATTTTTTGTTACACGATGTTTGAATGTTATATTCTTTTGTCCGTTAATTTTATTTTTTTTCCCATTACCGACAAATTTAAAATTAAATTCATTCAACAATTTTTTTCGACATAGTATTATTAAAAACATTCTATATAAATATATTATTACACAATATATATTTTATTCATTAATTATATTTTACACAAATATATTTATTATTTTTATTATATTATAATTCATTCTCTTTTATTACTATTTTAAAAATATATATATATTTATTACAAACCCAAATTCGTTGATTTTGTTTGCTATTTTTTTTATATATAATTCTCACTATATTTATTTTATTTTTTTATAAAAATTAATATTCAATATAAAATATTATTTTTATATTTATCGATATGAATTCCTGTAATTTACATAAAATTATTTCAAATCAAAACACTAAATAAATAAATTTGTTATTTGTACGAGACAAAGAGAGTACATCCGTTTCATTCAATGTATTCTTTTTAAATATTTATAATAGATTAATAAATAATCCTATAATATTTTATTGATTAATAGAAATATAAAATAAATTTTATATATTTGTTTTTTATATTTTCTATATAATTTATATAAATTAATTGTATGTTTAATAATATATTTATAATATTTACGTGTAAAAAAATAGTTAACACGTTCTATATATAATAATTATTTTACCTCATAATACCAAACATGATATTAAAATAAAACACACACGCAACTAACCAAACCTTTTTAAAAAACGATAAAATTTTAAACTAAAAAGATAAGGTAACATAAAAATATTAAGCAACATTTTAAATAAGACATTAATAAAATTTAGACTCTATGCATATAAATATTTTGTAAAATATTTGGCACCATTTATTATTAACAATAACTTTTTTTAAAAATATATATATTACATCAATTTTTGTTCATATAAAATATCATATTAAATACTCAAATTTTACCATTTAAGTTTTTATTTTTTTTTTTCAAAATTTTAAAATTTTCAAAATTTTTATCTAAATAAAACGAAAATAAGATTGACTAATTATTATGTCATAGAGTTTAACAAACAGTTGTGATTTAATATTAATTTGAAATAAAATATTTATTTTTGAAAACATATATATATGTATTAGTATAATATTTGTAAATATATATATTTTATATAAAATAAATATTAATTGTTCTAAATTGAAATCACAATCAAATAAACTAATATCATTTGTCTCTCGGATATTATGCTTATTTATTATTTAAGTATATCCATCAAATGATGCTTACCTAATGAATATAATATTTTATGACAAAGAAATAATATTTTATATAATAATTATTTTATCTCAAATACATATTAAAAAAAATTAAAACTAAAACAAAGAAACAAGTTTTTGTGTGTTCCACATGCTATATATTTGTTAAATAATGTTAATTGACTTTTATATATAAATAAATAAATAATGATGTACATCTCCATGCGCAAATTTCGCATATATATCCCGTCCAATTTTTAGGTAGATCATCTAACAAATAGACACCCCTTTTGTTAATTTTCATTTTATCTTATTTAGTCTTCCGTCATGTCTTGAACAACCCTGAAAAACATTAGCAATTATATTTTGCCTTAAAAAATCATAATATTATTCAAAATTATACTTCCTCCGTTCCGGAATTAAATATTCATTTGTTTTTTGCACGTAGTTTTAAAAATACCAGTATTATATTGAGATATAGTAGGAATAAAGTAGAAATGATTAAAATAACCTTATTAGTATGTGTGATATGAAGGTAATGACATTTGTGTAATATATTGTAAGTTGTAAGGGTATTTGTAATGTTAGGTAGATAGTACAGTTACTAAAAAAGGAAATGGATACTTTGTTATAGGACGAACTAAAATGGAAAAATGGATATTTTGTTATGGGACGAAGGGAGTATTTTATTTCTAAATATTGTGATAATTTTCAAAACTATATTTTGTTATAAATATATCATTTTTTTTTTTTTTTTTTTATCAATCTCTTGTGAGTAATATACAATTCAACATATTTACAATAGTATCATTCAGTAACTTAGGGTGTGTTTGTTTGGGGGTTTGGATTTTGGATTGGGATTTGAATAGTAAAAATTTTGAATTTGAATAGTTGTATGATGTGATATAAATAGGATTTGATGTGATGTTTTGAATATAAAATTGATTTTTAGTATAATATAAAAAATGAAAAATAGGTGTTTGATGTGATATTTTTGGGGAGAAAAAATTGAATGAATAGTAGAAATCCTTCAAAATCCTTCAAACAAACACACCCTTAATATATATGTATATATATATATATAAAAGAATTTATTTTATTTTTTTTGTTTTTCATCTAACATAATTATTTTTATGATTTTAATATTCTTATTTTTGAATCTCTATATAAAAGGTAAATGATTAATTTTGCTTGATGGACCAATTATCTCATTTTGTTGATTGAACATCATATATTATTAATTTAGTTGTACAAATTAATGCTTTATGAAGTAAAGTAAACATTTTGTCAAAGAAATGACAGTTATGTTTAACTAAATTATAAATATTACGTTTGAGATTCCTATTAGCGGATGAATAATTAATAGTTGCGTTGTCTTAACAGTAACTTAAAGATTGAGTTGAAAATAATCTATTTAATTACTATTTTATTTATGTTGTACTATGTAAGATTTAAAAAAATTTAAGTGTGTATTTAATTATTTTAATAACTGGATTATAATAAAATATATATAATATGAATATCATTTTCTACCAAATAAATTATATATAGAGGGACTATAGTCAAAATTCAAATTAAATTTCCTACATATAAGGATCTATTAATTCAAGTTTTTTTTCATAATTATATATAGAGACTATAGTCAAAATTCAAATTAAATTTCCTATATATATATAAACTACTTTAAACCATGCATAAGATCCACATAAATTAACAAATAAAACAAAAATATCCATCAAGGCCAACTTCTAAATCCAACAAATCAATGTAGAAATCAAATAAGAAACAAAATATATGTAAGTTTAATAACCTAGACAATTAAAACCTAATTTAATGAATGAGTCCCTAAACAAGTGTTTATTCGTGGAATTTTGGTTTTGAATAATAAAATTTTGAATTGAAATAATTATTTGATGTGATATAAATATGTATTAATGTGATATTTTGAATGTAAAGTAAATTTTAATGTAATATAATAAATAAAAAATTAGTGTTTAATTTGATATTTTTGGGGAAAAAAAATAGTAAAATTATGATGAAAATCTCACAATTATATACTCCCTCTGTCCCTTAACAATTTATCCATTTTTCCATTTTGGTCTGTCCCATAACAAATTATCTATTTTCTTTTTTTTAGTAATTGTACTATCTACCTAACATTACAAATATCCTTCCAATTTACAATATATTACACAAATGTCATTATCTTTATATTATACAATACTAATAGGTTAATTTAGTCTTTTTTAACATTTATTTCTACATTATCTTAATATAATACTAATATTTTTAAAACTCAGTGAAAAAAACAAATAGATATATAAATATGAGACGGAGAGAGTATGTTTTTGAAGTGTTTTGAATTTTTGAGATATTTTAATAATAGTAAAAGGTTGAATATAAACTAGTCATATTACATTTATAAATATTGAATATTATGTTTTAATACTATTCATTAATTTTAATTTTTGAAAGAATATATATATATATATGCATATCACATTATTTATTTATTAATTTTTATAAAACATAAAACTAAATACTTAATTTTTATTATTTTAAAACTTTCAAACCTTCAAAAGTTTTGAATTTGAATTTTGATTTACACAACATTTTACAAAAGAAAAAATATTTTTATTAGAAATAAGACATTGAATAAATTTAATATAGACATGACACCTAAACCAACCAGACCTTTAATTTTGAAGACTTAATTAAAGGACAACACCCTGGCCATGTGACATTGGATTGATAATGGGATTAAAATTAACTAGAATAGTATTGATTAATTATTGGATTAGTTTCTCAGCTCACAATATTTATTCAGTATACATTGATAAAATAATTTAAAATATTTATATGCAAATATATCCAAATAATACATTGCTAATTGGAAATATTCTATTGATGGTAGCTGCTCAGCTCTATAAGGATACAAGTGATTGACAACAACTGAGCAGCACTCCCAGGAACCCTGACTTTGTTGTTACAACGCCCTCCCAACCTGCTATATGTTGCACCGGCGCAAGATGAGAAGCTCACCTACTTGTCCGATTTGCAATACCAGTCCTGAAATTAACTATCATTGTCTTTTTCAATGCACTTGGAATAAGACTGTTTGGACGCATTTTGGGTTCTGTGCGCAAGCAACCGCGGGAAGACCTATCTAATCCTTCTAAACTAAGGGATTTTGGATCAAGACCGATAAAATTACTAGTCCAACAGTGATGTGGTTTATTTGGAGAGTCGGAAATGATTATGTTTTCCGTAAAATTCCTCCTCGACCAATGGAGACGTTTACTAAAAGCTACCTTCATGTGAACTTGTTCAAGAAGCTTTTTTCAAAAGTCTCCGGAAAAGCCCTATGTACCAAGATCTGCTTTATGGCACCCCGAAAGATGCGAAATATTTGTCGCACATGCTGACGGTAGCTTGCGAGGATCGGAGTGTAGAGCAGGCTTCGGCGCAATTCTGAGAACCCATACAGGTGTTTGGATAGCAGGAGTTTCTGATTTCGCAGGTAGATCACAAATTCTGAAAATGGAGTTGATGGCTATATACCATGCTATTCATCTTGCTGTCAACCATCATGCTCTGCCTCTGCTTTGCTACTCGGACTCGGCCACGGCCATTAGGCTACTCCAAAATGATATCGTGGATACTCACCCATAGCGTCTATCCTTATTTCAATTCAAAGTTTGTTGCGGCAATACCATATGATTCGAATGCGGCATATTCATCGTGAAGGAAACCAAATAGCTGACCTTCTAGTCCGTCTTGGATCAATGGGCGATGAAATATTTACTGCTTGGGCATACTCCCGGATGATGCCTTAGCGCTTCTTCAAGCCGATTGAACCATTTAGATGACGGCTCTATCTTGATTTTCACGGTTGTTTAGATCTTGTGTTTTTCTTTATCATTTGTTTTGTTTTTTCATTGTTTCTCTTTTTCCTCAAAAAAAACATTCAATCAGCACTCATTCTCATTGGTAAATAACTTAGAATATTTAGATAATACTATACAAAAACATCAATAATATTTATATGTAACACAATTAACATTCATTAAGCACATATAAGTAAAATAAAGTAGATTATACATATAGATACAAAAGCACATGGAAAATATTTAGTCAATAATATATAAAGATAAATATTATGTAGCAACATTTATTCGACTCATGTTGTTAAAATTGCTAAAAATATTTAGACAATAATAAAATTTTCTTGGTAACAAATATATTACTAGTATTTCATATTCCTTTGAATCTTTCTTAATGCACTTTTTTTATGGATGACATATTTATGTTGTTAACAAAATTATTGGGACTCTAAATATTTTTCTAATATATTTCATTTATTAAATTTTTATTAATAATAGATATTTATTGTATAAAAATTAATATATATAATTAACTATCATATCTTATTTTTAATTTGAAATGTTTCTTTTTTTTTTTTGGTAAATATTGTTATTTTAATATGCTTTTTCTTTTCTTTTTTCTTTCTTTATCATTTTATATATTAAATAATTTAAAAAAAAATTTTACAAAAAATAAAATTTGAAAGTTTTATCAAAATTATATACTACAAATATTAATTTTTATTAAGTTATATATTTTTTAATTGGTAACATAGAAATAGCTGTGGAAGAACGGTGTTTTGAAAGGATCAACATATACCGTATATAGTTATGATACACTGTATGCTCTAATATATAATATTTAATAACACAGCACTATGTAAATATATATATTGTATATATTTATATCACATATTAATCTGATCAAATAACATCATAGGAATTTGGTTGGATCAGCACTTATGTGACACCTAAAAAACACTGATATTTGATTTAATGACATTTACATATTACTTGGCGAATTCAATAAATCGACTGAGAAATTATTTTATGACAAATAAATTCCAATTTATATAACTTACTTACTAATGAATTTTCTTTTCATTACAAACGACTTACTCCCTCCGTCTCATATCTATATATTCATTTGCTTTTTGTATGGAGTTTTAAAAATATTAATATTATATTGGAATAAAGTATAAATAAAAATAAAAAAACTAAATTAACTCTATTAGTATTATATGATATAAAAATAATAACATTTGTGTAATATATTATAAATTGAAAGAATATTTGTAAGGTTAGGTTTTACTAAAAATAAATAAATATTTTATTATGGAACGAACCAAAATAAAAAAATAAATATATTGTTAAGGAAGAGGCCAGTATTTTATTTTGCAAATGGGCTTGAACTATAAAATCATAGAATGAACAAATTATTTGCCTGTGGAATTGATGAATATATACATGTCGAGCCCAACTCAAATCATTTCATGCCCAATTAACAATTTTTCATTTTATTTTTATATCATAATCCCAACCCAGCTGGAAATAAATTAAATCAGTCAAATTCAACTAAATTATTGCCTAAGGTAATTGTTAACTGTTAAATTATAATATAAATTGTCTATTAATGTTTCTCTTTTGTACATTTAAATGCATTCAATTTATTCAATTTTAATAGTACCCATTTTTGTTATTTTATACTAATACTAAAACTTATTTAATTTTAAATAAATTAAAAATATATTATTATATATATAATTATTTAATTTATATATAATAATTAAATTTTTTAGAAAAAAAAAACATTGAACATTATGTAACCTTGTTTGTTGTTTGTCCATACTCAATGTAATAATTTATATATATTAATATATATTTTACTCTATCTTATTATATCACTTAAATAAAAAAATAAATAATTATTTATCTCTTTAATTACATTATTTAATATTCAAATTATTATATTTAATCCTCCCACCTAAATTCTAGATATATCTCTTGAAACGGAAGAGAGTAATACATTTATAAGATAGGACTCTTGGCTTTCAGATTGCTTTATTATGCTGAAACTATTTGAAGAGACTAACAAGGTTAAAATTGATCAAGTTGGTACAACGATTAAATGACACATTCATTGAACTTCCACACCAAAAATTTCCAGTCTTTTTCACTCTTGGAGGACTTGGGCCAAAAAAATGTTAAGTTAGGTAGCCAGGTTGACACAGCTTTTAATTAATTGTTTCCAAATTTGGTACACTATGTTCTTAATTAATTGTGTCTACCCCATAAAGAACCTGTTCTCATACCAATATCTTAAAACTAAAAGCAATCTGTGCAAATAGACAGATAGATATGGTCTTATGTAATGAAAGTGAACACCAACAACATCCAATAAACACACAAACTTGACCTTATTTCATCCACCAATAACTCCCAATTCAAGCTGATCAAATCATGTAAAAATGGCAAAAGAAAGCTCAACTCCATTTCAATTTGGAAGCAAAACACTGTACAGATCATTGAAGAACACGTGTATATATATTTGTATAACAAGTAAGAACAGCATCAACCCACAATCCATAAGTGTAAAAACTTTGATACCATCAACAAGAACTCCATAAAACAACCAAATACCAAACAGAAGATCCACATTCAAGAGCATAAATTAAGTTCATATAACTAACTATGTACTGACTGATTCATATCACAACAAAGTTGCTACCTATTTTCCGAATATGGATTTGATCCACCAGATTCCCTTGGTGTCCGCCGGCGCACTGTCGCCGTCCGGCGGCGTCTCCGACTGCGGCGTCTTGCGCAATTTGCTCACGTCATACCCATTTTCTTCAGCCTTACCCACAAGCTGGTTGTAAATCTCATCCTCTATATGAGACTTCCTCGACAGAATCTGGAAGCCAACAACACAATTTCAATTTTCAAACACCATAACAATGTCTAGAAAAGGAATTAGGGTTCAGAGATTGAAGAACACCAACCCATAGATACTTCCTCGAGGGCTGCCCAATGACTGCGTATTGATAATCGTCGTCGATGTAGAGAACCCAGTAGTCTCCGACGATTGGAATTATGGGCAAAAATGGGGGAAGATAGAATTTCACTTTGAGCTTGGCTTCATCGCTGCTAGGGTTAGCCTTGTAAGCTGTCCCCTCGATGTAACTCCTCTTTCCGCCGCTCCACGTCTCGTTCAGGACAGTGACGGTGGCGCCGTCGGGTTGGAGGGTGTAGGTCGCCCTCGTGTCCTTTCCATCACTCGGCTGGAAACGCGACGGGAACGACGCTATTTCGTACCATCTCCCCATGTACCTATTGATGTCCAAACCCTTCACCGTTTCCATTTCCTTCGACATTTTTGGGAATTAAGAATTTGAAACTTAGGGTTTTTGATTGGAAGGTTTGGAGTGATTTTATAGAAAGGTGTGGCGTTTATAATCGGTGGGGGAATTTGATTGGCAAACCTTGGGCGCTACTCCATGACTCGAAATTCGACTAGATAGATGTGCGACATTGCAGTCGTCGGCCATGGAGATGGAAGGGATACGTGGACGATTAACAGCCATAGTTCTGCCCATATGGTTTTGAGCAGATTAGGGCTTATTTTAGGGAGTCCAGGGATTTGAAACCCGCTGGACGATGATGATGAAAAGCAGCGGTGTCGATTCGTCAGGCGTAGGAAGTCCAGGACCTGCATCAGAGTAACTCAATTATAGCATGTATGATTTCCGAAGGTTCTCGAATGCGTCGGATGCTTGTGGAGTCTTGGGGAAGGTAAATGGATAAATGACGGAAATTTTAAATATTAAGAAATGTAACAAAAATATATTTGGCCCATGCAGGTCTCGAACCTGCGACCTTCGCGTTATTAGCACGACGCTCTAACCAACTGAGCTAATAGGCCAATTTATTAATTTTAACATTTTTATTTGATTTATTATAAGATCTTTATTTTAGTTTTAGAAAAGTTCTTATTCAATTTTGATTTGAAATATGATATTAAATTGAGTTTCTGTTAAAATTTATTTTAATATAATATCTTGTAAAAAAAAAATAGTATATTTTTATTAAATTTGTGAAATCAATAATACTGAGATTTTGAATTTAAAATTATAAAAAAATAAAGCCATTCTTTTAAAAAAAAATTACCATTGTTGGCGATATTTGTAACCTTATTTTGTTTTATTAATTAATAAGTTATTTTAATTAATTATGTTTACATTAATTAGAAAATTTTGGTGTCGAATGTGATCCTATGAATAAATAGTATTTGTATTGTTATAATTTAAATGATAAATTGATTTTGAATGTAATACTTTTGTTAGATATTGATAAGCTTTGGCTTTGTTTCTTTTTCAAAATATAAAATTAATATAGTTTTTTAGAAATTAGTATATTATATATTCATTATGTTTATATTATCTATATAATTTTATATAATTCACATAATAACAATAATAATAATAATAAAACAAAAACAAACACATCCTAAGTCTCTTTTTACTTCTACATATTAAACAACATAAGCTGAATATATGTGACTATTTATATAATCAAATTGGAAACAACGGTCCGTTATTTTTAGGTTAAATTGTATAAAATTTACATGTAGTTTGATAGAATTGTACGAAATTTCTCGTACTTTTAAAATTGCATAAAATTCTCTTGTAATTTTATAAACTCTATATTTAATCCCTAGGGCGTCTTTATTTAACGTTGTTTGACTTACGCGTCGAAAATGCAAAAAAGTTTCAGAATCTTCATTTCTAAACATTTGAAATTGCAAATATATTCATTATTTTTATTATTTAACTAAGAATTTTTTTTACCGTTCATTAAGACTCAATATAAGATAAATAAATATATTTATAATTTTAGAATTTTAAAATGAGTATTTTGAAATTCATTTGTTGTTTTAGCGTTTGTAAATCAAACGCTGTTAAATAAAAACGATCGAAGGAGTTAGACGCAGATTTTATTAAATCACGAGGAAGTTTGACGCGATTTTAAAAGTACGGGGATTTTGCGCAATTTTGTGCAATCACATATAAATTTTGTGCAATTTAACCTTATTTTTATATTTTATTTTTCGTTATGCAACTTTTTACCAATTTTAATAAAATATTATTATGATATATACAATAATCGTTGACATTTTTTAATTTGTTTTATAACAATTTGTGAATGTCCTTTTTATTTTTGGCAATGGACAAAATTGCTTTCCATGTCCCTTGCAACAACCTTTTCATTTTTAGTATTTGTAGGCTGCAGGAAGACTGTCACAGCAATTGTGTTGCAGACTGAAATTGTGGACTTGGCTTTATCTTTTTATCAAATCCATTAAATGCCCACAAGAGACAAACTTGATATTTGGAGGATGGTCAAACTCGTGCAGGAACATTGGAAAACATTCCATCAATTTCTATGCTAAGGGAAATTAACGAGAAGGGTGCTCTTACCAAGGATGAATTGTATATAAAATCAAAGAAGACAAAATGTGGTGTGAGTGAGTTGGTGTGCAAATTTTAGACAAAAGATTATTGAGAGAAGCTCTCACCACTCATCCAGTTCAAACTTTTCAACATTCTAAATGTGTGTTCTACACTTATATCAATTGGAGAGGTCTAAGGTGTTCGGAATTAATGGAGTTCCAACCGGAGGGAATGATCAAGCTCTGGATTTCTATGTTATGCTGTCGTTGTTAGTACGAGGTTGTAGCAAAGTATTTTATTGGATTAGCCATGACTAGCATTAGAGTTAAATGAATCGTGGTTGTTTGTGTCCATAATCAGTACTGGTCAGTGGAATTCCTCCTGGATTGGTATCTCGGATATAAATTTGTTGATAATCGAACCGGGTCAACAAACACCTTGTGTCATTGTTGTTTTATGTTCTACATGTTTTTCGTTGTTATTATAACTGTGAACCGTCCACGTTTAGGAAGTTGGCCTTTAAAGTGTTCGAATGTGTTTGTTCGGTAAACCACTTTCCCAACACAATTGATATATTTTATTTTTAAAAATAAATTTATCAAGCTTAATATACATAATAAATATAAATTAATTAAATTAAATTACGATAAATACATTTTTTATCTAAGTTTAAAATTTATTATTTTTTTATAAAATTAATTTATGTTAATTATAAATAAATACATTATATATCTTTTTTTCTTTACAAAATAATATACTCATTATATATACGTACTTTACTTCTTTTTTTTTTTTCATTATCAATATATTAAATTTTATTAATTATTTTCATAGTTTCTGTCTCTCCCCATAATTAGTGATAAAAATAAATAAAAAGAGAGAAAGGCACGTGTCTGAATACAAACATGGAGAACCTGTTTATCCGCCATGGATCTGTGGGTGCTATTCTCGCCATGGCTTTCTCCTTCGATTTCCTTCTTTTCTTCTTCTCTCCTCCCTTCCTCCTTCCTTCACCAGATTCCCCTCTGGTCTCCAATTTCCAATTACAAACGACACAGAATTCGTGCCAATTTCCATCTATTTCCTTATCTGAAAAGACATGATTGAATATATACTCTTCTCCATCCTTCTCCTTCATTTCATTCACGCCGCCACAGTCGCCGCCGCCGCCGGCCAGCTGCCGCCTCCGCCGAAAAAATGGATGACTCTTACAGGTATTCTCATTTTGAAATTTTGTTTTCATGAATTTGGACAAATCGACAAATTCAAAGCTCATCGAACAATTTTGAGATCCTTTTTTCTGCAGGTAATCCGCCGGAGGTTGTGGCGAAAGGCGGCTACTCCGGATTTTTCCCCGACTCGAGCCGGTCGGCTTATCAGTTCGCCATTGACAGCGGCATTCCGGGGACAGTATTGTATTGCAACCTCCATTTCACTAAGGATAACGATGGCTTTTGCATTGCCGATATAAATCTCGGCAATGCGACGAATATCGAAGAATTAGATCCTCGTGGACGGAAGACATACGATGTATATGGACAAATTATTGATGGATGGTTCGGACTCGACTACCCTGCTCAATTTATTTTCGACAATGTCACATGTAAGTAAGTCGCAAAAACTCAAAAAAATATCGTAACAAAAAATATTAAATATGTTAATATTTTAATTAAATTATTTAATTATTTTAATCTACAGTTACGTTTACTATATAATAATTATTTTTACTAATACATTTTTTAATTACTTACTAATTAAACTTTATCTAAATTATCGAATCGTCCAAAATCCTTTCCCGACTCTTAACCTTAGTTTCCGATTTTAACAGTATTGAGAGTCTTACTCATCGTCTTAATTTGCTATCTATAACAACGAAACGTTGTTGTTTCCGAAACAGTGCGACAAAACATCTTCACGAGAATGGCTGTGTTCGACGGCGAGCCGATCACGGGACCATTCGATATAAAGGAAGACGTCAACAAGCAACCGACGAGGCTATGGTTGAACGTCGAGGTACATTGTCTTAATTCGCCGTATTCGAACATGTTACAACATTGTCCTAATAAAAATTCGACGGCAGATCGACATGTTTTACAATCAACACAATGTTGTACCGGAGAGGTATCTCCTAGAGCAACTCAACGGACTTCCCGAGTTCATTTCATCTCCGGAGATCGGCTTCCTCAAGGCGATCCGGCCAAAATTGGGCAATGCGCAAACAAAGATCATTTTCGTGTTCCTTGACGAGATGAGAATCGAGCCAACGACGAAAACGCCGTATGGTACGATCCTCAAGGATCTTGCAACGATCAAATTGTTCGCATCCGGGATTGTTGTCCCCAAAGAGTACATTTGGCCGATTAGTAAGGATCGGGTTTTGATGCCGTCGACGAACGTCGTGCAAGAAGCTCACCGGTTAGGGTTGACCGTTTACGCTTCCGGCTTCGCGAACGATAACTTGTTGAGTTATAATTACAGCTACGATCCCGCCAGGGAGTACCTACAGTTCGTCGATAATCCTCTGTTTTCGGTCGACGGGGTGTTGTCTGCATTCCCGTCGACCGCTTCGGAGGCGATCGGTTGTCTGAATCCGGACAAGAATGCTCCTCGGGAGATCGAAGGTATCGCCGGCGAAACTATACCGTATATTGTAAGAATGAGATGTACTTATTACATTGAACTTGACGGTTCGTTATCATTGTGCCGTAGCTTTGATTATATCGCACAACGGGGCTAGCGGCGATTATCCGGGATCGACCGATCTCGCCTATCAGAAAGCTGTCGATGACGGCGCTGACGTGATCGATTGCGCTGTTCAAATGTCGAAAGACGGGACTCCCTTCTGCTCGGATAGACCTGACCTTATGAAAACCTCGACCGCCGCCATTCTTTACATGGATCTCATGACGAACTATCCGGAAATTCAAGCTGCCGACGGCGTTTTCTCGTTCGATCTGGCGTGGAGCGAGATTCAAGCTTTGAAACGTAAAAGAAACCGCGATCGTACTTGCTTATTTACACAAAACTCACGAAAAACTCACTCATATCGTCGTATTGTTCATCAGCACAACTCGAGAATGCCTTCGATGGCGAACTCGCGAGAAATCCCGCAAACAAGAACGCCGGAAAGCTCGTGACTCTCGCCGAGTTCTTGGAGATTGCCAAAACACGTGTGGTCTCTGGCGTACTAATCGACATTGAGGTACATCGATCTTTCCTACAATGATTCTATTTCAGCTGTTAAATGACAATCTCACTTAAAAGCTTTCTGACACCCCATTTTCCTCAGAGCGCGCCGTTCCTCGCAAAAAGGGGTCTCGACGTGGTTGGTGCAGTCGAAACCGCACTTCGAAACGCAGCGCTCGGGAATCAAAGAGTCCTAATCGAATCCGACGACACATCGGTGCTCTCAAGGTTCAAAGACAAGCCAAACTACCAAAGAGTTCTTTACATCAACGCGACGATGGGCGGCGTCCCAGAACAAGTCGCGAGCGAGGTCAAAAAACACGCCGACGCCGTCTTTGTACACCGAGACGCTATCATCATAGCCTCCGACAACTTCGCCTACAACTTCACCAACACGGTCGAAGCGCTCCACGCCGCCCACATCTCCGTCTACGTCGGAATCCTAAAGAACGAGTTCCAAAACTTGATCTTCGATTACCTATCCGACCCTAACATCGAGCTCGCCACGCTCCATTCACTACACGTCGATGGCGTCGTCACGGACTTCCCTGCCACCGCATCAATGTTCTCGAGTAAGTATAACTGCTAAGATATTTTAAATTTTCGAGTTTAGATTTAATATATATTTTTTTTTTTTTTCAAGGATCTTCTTGTACGAAAAATGGATCAGCATTCGTTACGAAACCTGTTTCGCCGGGCCTACTATACGCAGCAGCTCCGGTGGCGGCTCCACCCCTCCTCAGCACGGAGGAGGTGGTCGATCCACCGTTGCCAGCGGTAGCGGCGAATACGACACCGCCATTGGGTGGTCCCGGAGCTTCGACGGCGGCGGCGCCGCCGCGGCCTAAGCAAAATTCTTCTACTACACTAAGGATTAACCCTGCGGGCTTCTTGTTGGCATACCTTTTGGCAATTGTTACATTATTTACGTGAAATTGAAATTAAAAGATTCATGTTTTTCATACATTGTTGAGAAATGTTTGTACATTCTTTGACCTGTTAATTTGTGTTGGTTTGGTTTCTTATAATAAGTTTAAAATTTAAAGAAAAAGAAAATTAGGAGTGAGCAAAATATTGAAAAATTCGATCCCAACAAAATCGAAATTTAAAATTTAATTTGAATTTTTTAGATTTTCTGATTTGTTCAAATTGAATATTTTGTAAATTTCAAATTTTCAAATGGGTAGACAAATTTAAAATCGGAAATATAATATTTTAATACATTTTATTATTATATATTTTTAATATTTTAATTAAAATAAGAACTAAAATTATATATTTAATATACTTATTTTATTTATTATATATATTTAATAGTATAAAATAATCATAAAAATATGAAATAAAATATAAAATTTTTAAAAATAACAAAAAAGTAGAAAATTTTGGATTTTTGGATTCATTTTGAAATTTTTAGTTCGGGAATTTTCGGATTTCAGTTATTTTCTAATCCGTTTGAATTTGGCAAAATTCGAGCAAAAAAATCGGAATGCTCACCCCTAAGAATACTAAAAAAATTAGGTTTAAAAAATTACAGGGCAAAAGGAGGCTCAGATCTGTTGTCCGTAGAAGGCAGAATAGAGACGGCGGCGACGCCATGGCTGCACGCCGCCGGTTGCCGGAGATCGGCCGTCCGGGCGGACATGCCAAGCCAAGATACGTTCCGCGTTTTCTCTATACCAAATTCGTCGGCTCAGAAAAATACGAATCAAGACAACATATATATCATCACAGCCTCTTTATAATCCAAACCCTCCCAAACATCACCACCACTACAACACAACCACATCCACAGCCGCCGCAGCGCAGCCCAGCAACAGTTTCGATTTTTTTTTTTTTTTTAATTATTGGTTTCTTTCAAGAAATAGCACAGACAGGACGGATAAGGTACCATTACGAGGATCACTTGTCTGTGGAAAGGGCTGTTAGAACGATAAGATTGAGAAATCATAGGGTGTTCTGGGAGGGGTAACCGCCCTGAAGAATTCCCAGATCTACCCTGAAACCCTCATTCTGGATCTTCCGAGCCGACGCAAGGTTCACTGCAGCTTGTTTGTTCGTGTATATGTATGCAGGGTAGTGCGTAATTACTTAACTACCCTCGCAGTAGCCTGTGCATTTACGTAAATAACCTCGCGGTAAATTCTTTTATTTTTATTTACAAAATATTTTATTAAAAATAGCTTTGTTTACTCCAAACATTTTCACATATATGATACTATTAATTTTTTAAAAAATATCATATAAAATATATTTTTTTTCTCATAAAATATCAAATCAAATATTAAGTTTTTATTTTTTGATTTTAATCTTATCAAATTTTTAAAATTTAAAAAATCTCCAAAAACTCCAGTAAACAAAGCTTTTTCCACCATCCCATTTTATGATATATATTATATGTTTTACTTTGATTGACATTTTTGTATTTAAAGTAAAATTTACTAAGACCATTCGCAATGGAGATATCCGCTTTTGGGTATTTTCACTACTTTTTATTATTTACGCCACTTTCTCTGCTACGTTAATGGAGATACTCTCTTCTATTTTATATTCGGAACAAAGATACTAATCCTAATTTTTTAATAAATTTTTATTTTCAAATTATATATATATATATATATTATTTTTTAATTATAGTTTTAATTTTTAGTATTAATTATTTATTTCATTATTATATTATATTATTATTTGTTAGATTTAACAAAAATTTTGAATTTGAATAATTATATGATGTGATATAAATAGGTGTTGATATGATGTGGGAATGTAAAATTGATTTTTAATATAATATAAAAAATAAAAAATAGGTGTTTAATTTAATGTTTTTGAGAAAAAAAGAAAAAAAAAGATAGAATAGTGTATTTAAAATCCAATCTCCAAACAAACACACCCTAAGGATGAATAGTTTATGAAATTTTCTTAAAATTTTATTATTTATCTATTTTTTTCTTAAAATATTAAATCAAATACATATTTTTTATTTTATTATATTATAATAAAATTAATTGTTGATTCAAAATATTGATTTATATTTCATCATACAACTATTACAACAATTCAAATTTTTTAGTATTTAAATCTCCATACAAACACATTTTAAATCAAAACATATTTAATAAATATAAATCAATTTAATTAACTATGTAACATATAACATCGGACATCATTTACCACCCAATCAAAAAAATTTATTTCTATCTCTATCTTCAAAACACAATTTATTACTATTACATTTAAAACTCCAAATATTTTATAAAATTAATTTATATTACTTATAAATAAATAAATAAATAAACAAATTTTTTATTTACATATATCATAGTATGAAATTTTATATTTTACCAGTGACATGCATATTAAATAATATATTTTTAAAAATTTAAATACATATTCCAATAATATATATTAAATTTATTTTAAATCGGTCAATATTATTAATTACTGTTTCATTAAAAATTAAATTAAATATAATATATTTTTGAAAAAAAATAAAATTTCAAAAAATAAATATATGATATTTAATTATGTATATATATTAATTTTTTATAATAAATATTAACAATTAATGAAAAAATCTTTTTAAAATAAAAAATATTGTACAAATATTATATTATGTGCATAAATAAAGTCATAATAAATATGATAGAAAAATAAATTAATTTTATCAATAAATAAAATATATAAATTAATATCTTTCCTAAAAATCAATGATATAAAAATCCAATCAACTTAGTAGAAAATTAAATATTATAAAATCTTCTATTGACAAAGAACACACCAAGTGACATCATTTAAAAAGAATGAAGAGGTCACTCATCACCTATAACCCATAACCCTTATACCTTTTTCCAATTGAGAAAGGAAGGCGGTGCTGGATCCGGCTGGTTAGCGGTTCAATGAATATTTAAACCGAAACGCCAAAGCGGTTCGGTTTATTAACGTTTTCGGTTTCGAACCGGTTGGGCATGTCAACTAATAATTGTTGAACTGAAAGTGCAGACTTCAGAGCGAGAGAAAGAGAAAGCGAGATGAGGGCGAGAGGCGATGATGAACCAGATTTGGGGCTTCCCAATCCATCCATACCTTCTCTCGCCTTATGATTTCTCCTCCACTCTCACTCTCATCCTCATCTTCTGCTCTTTTCGAGCTTCATATTCAGATCCATCAATCAACGTTTATTTATTTATTTATTTTCTGAGGAGGAGACACAGAGGCTGTGATGATACTTTTTCTCTAAGCTTTCTCTACGGGGAAGGAAGGGATGGCAACCCGGCCCGTATCTTGGCGGGGCGACCCGGATGGCCCCCATCTGCTGCAGCCGGTGGTTTCGCAGCCATGGCGGGCCGGATCTTCCCTTACCTGACCGACCGACTGACCGACGGTTACCAAATCTGAGCCTCACACAGTAATTTTATTTTATAGTGTCTTTAAAACCCTAATTTTACTGAGTCGGTGGAAATGAAACCGGCGGTCGGTCAGGTTCTTATTTACTTTTTTCACGGAAACAATTGAACCGGCGGTTCGGAACCGATTGGGCAAGTTTAAATAAACCGGTTGCGGCATATAAACCATAAGGATGGAATTCCCTCACCCAAGATCTCATTAGTTTAGGTCTGAGGCCGCCGTCGTCTGAGCGCGGAGAGGTTGGGAGTTTTTCAAGGGCGGTTGGCCCTCTCTGTGCCAACGCCGGCCGATGATCTCCAAACCCTTATTCAACAGCCCTTCTATGACGACAATGAAGATGATGAACTTGTTCTAAATTCTAAACCCTAAACCAATTGAGGCAGTGATGATCTATCGGGAAAAAACATCAGAGTATTGTGGGCGAAGCTGTATGTTGGCGAGGCAATATCAAGGGACCTTTATGACATGGTGATGGGGTTTTGATGATGGATTCATCCCCGTCGTCGTCTTGTTGGGTTTCCTGGTATTAGCAGCCATGGCAGCAAGCTTCGAACCTTTTCTATTTCTTCTGATGAAAGAAGGCGAATCTGAGCCTCAATTATTGTTTGTTTTTTTAAGAAAAAAAAAAAATTCTTGTTTTTGCACTAAAGATTCAGATTTTGTTTTTCTTTTTTACAATTTTTTCACTGTGTAGATCTTAGTGTTTTTATTTTAATTCCGATCTCTTTCCTTCCTTTCTGGTCTTGGTCTCGACGATCATTAAAATTTTCTTGAAACTTGTGAAGAATATGTTACAGAAAAAAAAAAAAAGATTGATTTGGTATCATAGAAGTGAACTAAGATATTAGGTGAGGCTCAGATCTGTTGTAGACAGAATCAGGGCATGGAGGAAGAACCGGCGGCGCCATGGCAGCACACTCCGGTTGCCAGATAAGGCCGTCCGGGTGGCACAGCCAAGATACGGGCCGGGCTTCCCGAGCCCAATTCGTCAGCTCAGAAAAAAAAAGGAATAGAATTATCATCACAGCCTCTGTTACCCTCAGACGGATAGAGGAAGAAGATGAAGATGAAAATGGTAATGAAGATGACAGTGTAGTAGTAATAGTAGCAGTAGTAGTTGAGTAAAGCAAAGGATAGCTATGGTGAAAGGGCTGTTGCTTTATTTAGCAGCAGAAATCATGGAGCTTGCAGAGAGAGGGATGCCGGCAACCACCCTTAGAGAACTCCGGCAACCTCGCCGCAGCCCTCATTCCACCTCCATTTCTGAGCTGACTTTGATTCGATGATCCTCTTTGGAGAGGGATTGAATCTTTTATGTGTTGTTTCCAACCCAGCCCATTATCAATTTGCTAATGATATTGGGCCCAGCCCAGAAACATAGGTACCCATTAATAGGCCCAAATGTGACTGGTCGTGCAAATTTGCTCTATTCGCCAAGCCCATTGACGTTTTGCTTGTTTGATTCTTAATTTATAAAATAAAAAATAATCCCTACGCCTTAAATGTAATATTTATTATATAATAAACACGAAAATTAAAAAATAAAAAATGTATACGGTTTTTTTACTTTTGATAAAAATAAAATCGTAGGAATAAATTTAAAAAAATGAACATAACGAATAAATGGTAATAAGATTATGCTAATTGATAAAATCATTTCCTACTTAATAGAAGATATAAGAATCTTATAATTTTGGTAGGTGGGGGATATTATAATTTGCAACTTTTTTTTATAGAAAATGAAATTACCTAAAAATAAATATGAATACAAAGTTCCAAAAACTACATAGTTTTCATTTATTTTTTTAAAAAAATAAATCCCGGAATAAAAAAAGCAATAAAAATAAAAAAAGAAAAAAGAAAAATGAGGCTCAGATCTGTATAACCGCGGGTCGGGCAAGGTAAGACCCACCGCGCCATGGCTGCGGAACCACCGGCGGCTTATCGGAAGCCATCCGGTCAGGCCGCCTAGCCAAGATACGGGTCGGGTTACTTCCCCTACCATCGAATTTCGTACGCGAGAAAGCTCGGAGCAAAACCAGATCCAAAATCATCACTGCCCCAGATATCCGACCAATTTTTGCCCATCCATCATTATCCATCTCTCTCTCTCTCTATTTATCTATCTATCTGTCCATCCAAATTGGCTGAACCAGAAAATTGAGTATATATATATATATTTATTTATTTATTTTTGCCTGTAGATCTTGTCGAGGACACGACCATACAGTTTGAGCGCGCAAGGATCAATGGAATCCTAGATCACGCAAAGTAAGGGCTGTTGGTTGCGAAGGAAATCACAGCGGCCAAGAGAAATGGGCAACCACCCTTGAAGAATTCCCAAATCGCCTCTCCAGCCTTCATTTTTGCTTCGAGCTTTCTCGCTCTTCTGAGAAAATTAGGGTTCTGTGCGTATTTATACGAGGGTTAGCTAACCCTAGATGCATACTCAGGCCCAATTTGATAATGAAAACACAGCCCAGGCCCAACACCCGGAAAAATTCATAATGCTTTTGTAACAAACAAAATTTGGAATTTGCTTATCCAATCTATTTTTTTTTGGCACGGTGTGTGTAGATAATTTTTTCCTGTGTTTTTTTTTCTTGGATCTTTTACTATTGAGTTAATATATTAATTAGAAAAAAAATTAAAATTAATAGATTGATTATATGAATAAGTGTAACATATATTTATAAAAAATTATAATATTAAAAGATTATGAAATTTTTTATATAAATTAAAAATATATATATTATATTAAAAAAATAAAACATAAATTTGGCACATTATTATAGTTTCTTTTATAAGAATATATAATTTTTAAATATAAATGGATATGGAATGTGTTTGATTTGTATTTTAAATATAAATTAATTCTAACTATATAACTATTATAATTTTTTATAAAAGTAATACATTTTTTCAACTCTAAGGGTTTTATTTACTTTTTGCGAATTGATTTTTAAATATTAATTATTATATCAAAACATATTACAAATTAAGAAAAAATTGCAATTTTTTTTTAATATCTTATAATACTAATAATAGTCATTTGTACAAAAATTTATATAAATATAAAAACATTTTTAATGTTAATTACAATACTACCAAACGCAAATGTGACAAGCTTAGGGAAGCCGTATTACTGTTATTTTATTACACAAAATAAAACATCAATTTAAAAAATCAACTTTAAATGGAATACAAATTTACCCAATATAACCTTACTCTACACCATGTTGGAACCGGTCTGTTAATATTATAACCGAAACCATAAAAAGTCGATTTCGGTTTAATGGCGGTTCCGGTTCCGAACCGGTGGTAAACCGGTTAGGCATGTCTATATAATAATACGTTGAAATGAAGAACGGACTCAGAGTGAGAAAGAGAGGGATGAGAAAGCGAGATGAGGGCGAGAGGCGATGATGTAGATTTAGGGTTTCCGAATCTATCAATCCATCCATCACTTCTCTCGCCCTATGATTTCTCCTCCACTCCCACTCTCGTCTTCTGCTCTTTTCGAGCTTTCGAATCACAGATTCAGATCCAGATTGAGCAAAGCTTATTTATTTATTTATTTATTTTTATTTTATTCGAGGACATGGACAGACTGACTGACCTCAAGCTCACTTGGTAAAGGTAATGGCGCCGAGGCGAGGCTGTGATGATAATTTTTCTCTAAGCTTTCTCCACGGTGAAGGAGAGGATGGTAACCCGGCCCGTATCTTGGCGGGGCGACCCGGATGGCTTGCATTTTCAGCAACCGGTGGTTTCGCAGCCATGGCGGGCCGGATCTTCCCTTTACCCGACCAATACCAAATCTGAGCCTCACATTTTTATTGTTTTTATATTTTTATTTTTGCAAAACCCTAATTTTACAGAGTCAGGAAATAATAATTTGATTTTCTTCTTTTCTTGTTCTGTTTTTCGTATGCAAAGAAGCATTACAAGGGTACAAACATATATGTATATATATTTTTCATAATTATATTGATTTCATTAGTGTAGATGGGTGAAATAGATCAAAGTCCAATAATTTGATGAAAAATTTTCGGATCCGAAGAAGAATTGGAGTAAGATATACATATATATATATATATTCATATAATTATATTGATTTTAGCTCAACCGTTGCAGTATATCCAAGAAGAATAAATTCCAATTAAACGAGTGATTTGATTTATTCCATGCTATGGTTTACAAATATAACTTTCTGGGCAATCCTTACATCATGAGACGAACCATTCCAAGAGTGTAGTTAAAACTCAAACTAGATCATAATGAGCAACAATGGATTTCAGTAATTAGCAATGAGTAACATCACCACCAATAACATAGAATGGATCATAGAAGAACAAGAAAATGATTTTATTTCAAACCAATCTTCCCTTATCAAACAATCTCAGAAACTTCCAATGATTTCATGATAAAGCATAGCAATCCCGAGTAGGTTCTCCCTGATGAACAGGGTCTCGAAATCAACCACGCCTCAACCATGTGGATATTTCATCATTGACTGAACCAATTCAAGATTCACATTCAGAGAAATGTAGATGAATAATAAAATATAAAAGCAAGTCTTAATTTAGATAAATATACAAGGGGCTCAGTGATATTTAACAGCTTATCTATCAAGAATTTTCTGAAGCAGAACTGGCATAAACAGCTGTAAAAACAATCATCACAGCCCAGGAATTTCACACCCAAGTAAAAATTCAACAAGTAAACTTATTAGATGTTTACACTAAAACAGTGGCTCATATCAAGAAATTCAACCATTATCCTGTTTCTTGCTTCGTCGACAAAAAATCTCAGAAGCGCGGATAAGTAATCATAGCCAAAATTGTAAACTAGCCAAGGAATTGTAGATTCCAAAAAAATCAAGATCATTCATATAACAAATTTCGGAGGCAAAACAAATTTGAGAACCAAAAGGATTGGAAGATCATTCAATAATGTCGCCGCCAATTTGACACAGATCAGCCGTGGAAAGAAAGGTACAGTTAGGCAAATCTGCAACACTAGACGACATCGTTTTAGCACGAGCATTGGGGCTTCATTCATCAGATATGAATTCCGAGGAGCCCGGGAGGCTACGTGCAAATCAGCATAAATTCAAAGATCGATCGATCGATACAAGAACAAAATTGGGGATTCTACACCGAAACCCTAAAAAGAAAATCAAACCCTAAATTAAAATTCAGATCTAATAAACCTGAAGTCAAATAAGACTCAGATCTGCGTTAAATCTACCAAATAACAAAATTGAAAGAAACAGAGACGAATGAGGCTCAGATCTGTGTTGAATCTGGCAGATGCCCAAAACCGCCATGGCTGCAAATCCGAGATACTCGGTTGCCACGCCAAGATACGGTCCGGTTACATCTTGCCAGAATCTCCCGCTCCCTTAGAAAATCATCATCACAGCCTTCTCCAAGAACGAGCAAAAGATGAATAATAATAATAATAATAATACTCCGTCCGTCCCATAACAAGAAAGAATGTAATTAGCTAGCAAGTATAAGCATAGCCAGAAGAAGCACATTAGGAAACATGATTCTTGTTAAGGTTGTGGAATCTCAGGGTTCCATAACCATGGAAAAGGCAAGCAAAGCAAGTCAGGGCTGTTAGGGCTTCGAGAGGAAAGTGAAATCACAGACGAACAGAGAGGGGCAACCACCCTTAGAAAATCCCTCTCCGCCGCCTCATTCTGGGAGCAGGAAAAAGAATGGATACCAAACCCAAATTGCTTTCCTGCCCTTTTATAGGTCCACGGACTACCTCGCCATATTTATATATATATATATATATATAATATTTATATTAGCTATAAAACAAATCATATATACTGTTCATCGTATATTTTTTTTTCAAAAATAAAAAATATAGTCAAGAGTCAAGACAGTCTTACACAAGGAAATGGCCAAATTTACAAATGAAGAAGCAGAGTTCCAAAATGCAGAAAGGTAACCAAAAAGCTACGAAAAAAAAAAAACAGTTACGGGAAAGGCTCAGATCTGGAAAACGACGGGCGAAGGGAGGGCAACGCCGCCATGGCTGCGGAATCCGGACTCAAATGATCCGAACCCGCCCCGCCAAGATACGGGTCGCATCATCCCCGCCCGACCCAACTCAGAGACTATCTTATCATCACAGCCATTTTCCCGACGGTAGTACTTAGGAGCGCAGCGTAACACTCAAGCGAACCGAAGAAGAAGAAGAAGAAGAAGAGGAAGACGAAGACGAGGACGGAATCTGCTGATCGATAATTAAGGATTAGATTTGGAACAATGGAATTCCGAAGAGTTGCGTATCTCAACCTATGACTATTTCACAGGTAACTCAAATCACAAATCAAAACACATACAAACACAGCGCGCGCGCAATGGTGCGGCGGCGTAGAGAGGGTTGTTGATGATCGATCGGAATAATTATCCGATGAGATGTCGGGGCATCATGGACAGGCGGAGAGGGGCAACAACCCTTGCAACAACTCCCGCAGAACTCTCCGCTGCGCTGCCTCTGAGACTGAGTTGGGATTTTGGGTGAAGAAGGAAGAACCCTAGCTAGACTTTATATAGACGACGCCGAAGGCCGTTTTGCTTATCGTATTGTACGGTCAAAAAATGTGTAACAAACGTTCTTCAACTTATTAAAAATAGAAAAATAATTAATAATATAATAATAATGATATTTTTTTTATTTAAATAATAACAACAATCTGAATGGAATGTTTCTGTATCCGGATTCCGGTAATGTATTCGAAATGTGTAACTTTATCTCTACATATAAAAATTATAAAAAAATTAATTAATTTTGAATTAATCAAAATGACAAAATTATGTGTTGATTGATTCATAGTGAAAAATAAAAGAGTAAAAATTATTTTTGCTCTTATTTAATATTATATTTTTTTCGTCCCATAAATATAGTCTTGTTGTGTTTGACACAAAATTTAAGGAATATTAATATTATATAGATAGTTGGTAAAAAGTAATAATAAATGATTTTTTTACCCTTGTAAATATATTAGTGTAAAAAGTAGTGAAAATTATGTAATAATAATAAAAAAATAGAGATAGTTTTATGGTGATATGATTATTTATGAAAATGAGACTATTGTTTTGGGATGAACAAAAATAGTAAACAAGACTATTGTATTGAGCGGAGGGAGTAATTATTAATTTTGGTTTTATTCAAAAAAATTTTGTCAATTGTGGTTCCATTCAAACAAAAGTTTATCAATTTTAATCTTAAGATGGTTGATTGGGACTGAACATGACCGTGCTGGATGACTCAGAAGGCGACTGAGCGTCCCAGGTAACCAACACAGCCGTGTTGATTACGTGCACTCGTATTTTGAACACAACCATGTCCTGCTCATGTTCATGTCCATGTTTTAAACACACTTTGTTCTTGCCCATGTTTCTGTCCATATTCTCAACACAGCCATATATTCTAAATCATATTCACGACCTTGTTCTCAACAGAGCCATATATTCTAGACCATGTTCACGACTTTGTTCTCAACATAGCCATGTTTAAGGTCATGTTCACGACCATGTTTTCAATATAATCATATTATAGGTCGTGTTTATTATTATTTTCACTTATTGGTTAAAATTATTTGATATATATATTTATAATTCGACAAAAATATTTTTTTTACAATTATTTCATAATATAAAAAATAATCAAATTTTTAACATTTTTACAAAATAATTGCAAAAGAAATAATAAAAATAATAATATATTAATATATATTTTATTTTGATATTTTTGATATCAAAATAATATTTTAATTTTTTTACTAAAATTTTTAAAATATATATAATGATAAATATTAAAAATATCAAAAAAAAATATATATTAATATACTTATTTTTATATTTTTTTGCAATTATTTTTTTAAAGTATTAAAAATTGATTATTTTTTATATTACGAAATAGTTGTAAAAAATATTTTTGTTGAATTATAAATATATATATTAAAAATAATTTTAACCAAGAAGTGAAAATAATAATAAACACGACCTACAATATGATTATATTGAAAACATAGTCATGAACATAGCCTTAAACATAGTTGTGTTGAGAACAGGTCATGAACATTGCAACATGACTGTGTTGTGAACATGAGCAGAAACATGGCTGTGTTGAGAACATGTGCAGGAAAATGGTTGTGTTCAGAAGTGCAGGGTAATCAACACGGCCGTGTTGGCTACCTGAGACACCCAGTCACCTTCGGAGTCATCCAACATAGCCGTGTTCAGTCCCAATCAACCATTTTGAGACTAAAATTGATAAATTTTCGTTTAAATGATACCAAAATTAATAAAAAAAAATTGAATGTAACCAAAATTGATAATTATGATATTGAATGAGACCGAAAATGATTTTTACTCAAATGTAAAACACAAAACCAACACATTCATAGTTTATTTTTTCATGGAAAATTTATTTTCTTTTATATTAAATATAATTTTTACTATTATTTAGAGCATCTCTAACTAATTGTCCTGTCCTGCATAGTGCACTACGGAGAAAATGGGAACTCAATCGGATAACGTCAATTTCGGGGTGGGTTATTTTGTAATTTCGCTTTTTTAAAGATTTATTTTGCAATTTTTAATATATATATCTCTAATTTGTGTTATTTAAAGTACTGCATTTAATATTTATGTATAAATTCTAATTAATTATTAAAAAAATATTTGTTTTATTTATTTAAAATTTGCATAAAAAAATAAATTGATTTAAATCAGACACAATATATGTTCAAATGCAAATAAAGATTAGAGGATAATAAGTTGATATGAAATTGATAAAAATAATAATACTATATTCTTTGGGTGATAATACAAAAAAGTTAAGTGTTATATTCCCTCCGTCCCAAGAAGAAGTATCAATTTGCTTTTCGCACGTAGTTTTAAAAATATTAGTATTATATTAGGATATAGTAGAAATTACTAAAATAACCTTGTTAGTATGTGTGATACAAAGGTAATGACATTTGTTGTAAGTGTATTTGTGATGTTTGGTAGATAGTACCGTTACTAAAAAAAAAAAAAAAGAAATAAACACTTTGTTATGGGACGGACTAAAATGAAAAAATAGATATATGAGACGGAAAGAGTATATAAATATAAGAATATAGTATACTTTGGAATAATTTTAGTAGTATAAGAATTTGGAATTTGGTAGCGCATGTTTGGTTTTGGACTTTTAAAATATATTTGTTTGTAGGATTTTAATTTGTAATATAATTATGTTGAAGATAATTGATTTGTTTCCAATGTAATGTAATGAGATGGTGTGGTGGTTTGAAAAGAATTTAAATTTGGTATAACTAGATCAAACTCGTAATACTCATTGTGAATTTTATATCAAACAAAGCCAACATTTCAATCTATAAAAATAAAAAGGAATTTTTGTGATTTTTCTACAAAATTTTACATCAATATATATTATATTAAACAATTATTCAAACTATTTAAACTAAAAAATCAAAATCCACAACGGCATTTTATATTTTGTCCAACAGCAACAAATGAATAACCATCAGACCTAGCCAAAAAAACAATCAGCAAAAACAACTAACACCAAAGTCATAATTTACTCCCCTTACTTGAACTTCTATCCCCCGTGCACGGAGCATATGCCAAAATATTATACATCATAATCATGAGGACTTCAGCTCCTCCTCACCAGTATCGACGACGGTCAAATCACGAGGAATGAAGTTTGAAGGAGAGTATACAACGATGTTCATCTAACGTTGTTTTGATTGCAAGTTGCTCATGCACCACTTCACGCAAGAGTTCACGGGTTTAGAAAAGCTGACTCGTCAAGTCCATCGTCAACTCCATCATGGTCAATTCCTGAAAGTCATTATACAAACCTTCCAAGTTTGATTTCGGGGAGAAAATAGCGAAGTAAACAATTTCTTTTTCTGGTTTGGGATGGATTTTGTGATGTGATAACAGCATGGTATTGAACGTTGGGTACGGCGGTTTGCAGATGTCTTTCTTCAGGTTGTCATGAGCAAACTTGACCATCTTTGAAATCACCAAAAAGTCTTTGAAATCACCAGAAAGCCAAGATTCAAATGGTTAGCAAATCTATCGATGGCAAAAAAGAGATTACCCATCTCGGTGCCAATGGAAGAACCATTTGAAATGGGGACCACGTTGTAACCATAAAGGCGAAACAAACATTGAAACTTCATGGTGAGTTGCCTAACTTGCAGACCTCGTCTCTCAAAATTAGTGGCTTTGCGGCCAGACACCATGAGAGTTACATCCGAATTTGATTATATCACAATTTTATAGCGCAATTGCTCAGGATTATCAAAAGGTAGACGTAACAGCCTGTTGATCAACTCTTGGGTACAACTCGATCAATTGTCCAAGGATGTATGTCTTGTCACTATGAAACTTCCACCAAGACAGTTGTAGGAAAGTTAGCATAAAATTCTCTAACAAATTTGGGATAATACCTTGTCAAACTAACAACCCAATAAAAAAGTCCATTTTCCCGTAAGTACTATGTAAGTCCAACGTTAGTGTCTTGGAAACTTGAATACCATTTCGCTGATAAAGCTTTGCAGGTTCAGATCGTCGTATTTATATCGTTTTGCCTCATCATCAAAATGGGTTTCATCCATAGCACATTCTGGAGATATTATCCGAGGAACATCACCATGTATTCGAGACTTCTTCCGTTTAAGCTTTTCTCTCTACAGATTCTTCTTCCGTTCTTTTTTTTATTTTTTTGGAGATTGTGACGACTCAGGAATATCAACTTTAGCTTGTCGTTTGGCCAAGGGGACTGTTGGAACACTGTTATCATCAATATCAGCCGATGATTTATCATGTCGGGAGTATCATGAACCATAACATCTGTAGGTGTAGGGACCTCTGTTTCAGTCTCAACAGGTCCTTGATTTGCATTTGATATTCCAGAGTCGTCACAACCTCCGAAGAAAAAACGGAAAAAGAATCTACAGAAGCTGAGAGAAAAGCTTAAGTGGGAAAAGTTTCGAGAACATAATGATGTTCCTCGAATGATTTCTTCAGAATGTGCTAGGATGAAATCAACTTTGATGATGAGGCAGAACGATATAAATACAACGATTTGGACCTATGAAGTTTATCGGTGACATGATATTCAATAGTCCACAACACACTGACGTTGGATTCACGGAGTACCTACGGAAAAATGACTTTTCCATTGGGCTGTTAGCTTGATGAGGTATTATTCCAAACTTGTTAGAGAATTTTATGCTAATTTGCCTACCTGTCTTGGTAGAAGGTTCACAGTGGTTTCACAAGATATACATCCGTGGATAATTGATCGAGTTAAGCCCAGATTTGATCAACAGGTTGTTACGACTGCCTACTGACAATTCTGAGCAACTGCCATGTAAAATTGTGACAAAATCAAATCGGGATGTAACCCTCATGGTGTCTGGCCGCAAAGCTACTTAAGGAGACGAGGTCCGCAAGTCAGGGACTCACCATGAAGTTTCAGTGCCTGTTTTGGTTACAATGTGTTCCCCACTTCAAATGGTTCCTCAATTGGCACCGAGATAGATAATCTCTTTCCTGCCATTGATAGTTTTGCTAACCATTTGAATTATGGCTTTCTGGTGATTTCAAAAATTGTCGTTTGCTCATGGTAACCTGAAGAAGGACATCCAAAAAATTGCCGTATCCAGCTCTCATTACCTTGCTGGTGTCACATCACAACATCCATCCTCCCATACCAGATGAAGAAATTGTTTACTCCACCCATTTTTCCCCAAAATCAAACCTGGAGGGTCTGCATAATGATTTTCAAGAACCGACCCCGATGGACTTGGCAAGTCTATTTTTTTAAGCCCGCAAACTCCTGCGACAAATGGCGAGTGAGCAACTTGCAATCAAAACAATGTTAGATGAACATTGTCGTATGTTCACTCGTGCCATCAACCACATTCCTCGCGATCTGACCGCTGTCAATGCTGGTGAAAGGAGTTGGAGTCCTCGTAATTATGATGTGCAATGTTTTGGTATCTGCTCCACACAAGAGGAAAGGGATGTGTTAGTAGGGGAGTAGATTATGCCTTTCATTTCTATTTATCTTACAATTATATACATATTTATTAAAAAATAATACATTTAATATTTATTTTCCATTCAACATATTATATTAAATCACTTATTTTAATTGATTAATACACAAAATTCATCAATATATTTAAGCACTTTATTGCTTCAAGTAAAAATTCATGATGAATGATTCACCCAAGACAAACATTCCATTAGAACATCACAGGAAATGAAAAGAAAATACAAATCAAACAGCTAATAACCATCAAACCTTGGGATAAAAAAGTTATGATTTTTGGCAATTTATTTCTATTTAATTACAAATCAAAACACAAATTACAAATTTATTTCTATGTTATGGCCAAAGCCAAATGGAAATAATATCCAAATGCTCAATGATACCTGGAATTGCAAACTTCAAGCTTTCTTGGCATAACTAAAATGATCACATGATCCTGAATTGACCATCGAAGCTTTACGTGTAACTAGGAGATTCGCCGATCATTTCAAATTCTTACAAAATAAACCAGAAACCAATCGAAAACTCAATTAGTTTCGCGACAAATCACACATCCAACTAATCACCGCATACCAAAGAGACATGGCCGCGGACCAAACAAGATCCAAAAGTGTTGTCCCACTTAGTCTCAAATCCTTACAAAGAAAACAACCTAAAGAATGATTGAGAACTCAGTTAGTTTCACTACAGATCACACATCCGGACAATCACCACATAAAAAAGAGACATGGTTGCAAACGAAACAAAATCTGCAGTTAATTGACGATTTATATTATAGATCATCAATCAAATTAGAAAGGAATTCTTTTTCATCGATTATAAAGTTAATCTATATGTCATTCTATAAAACACTACCATTGGCTTCAAAACAAGTCAAATAAATTTTCCATCAAAGAAGATATCTATTCGGCATTTCATCGATTCATTGGCACACCACAACCAATACTTTTTGTGCAACTTTCTCAACAAGAAGCAACAATAACAAAAGACTCGACGAAATCATGTACAAGAACAAACACAATAACAAATATAATGAGCTCAAGAAATTATTATGCAAATCATCTGTTCAGCACAATCCAATAATACCTGCCAAGATCAATTTCAGCTCGAAATGGAAACAATAAACCCTAATTGATCTTAATTCGGCAACATGTGAAAAACAGGGTAAGTAAAATTATACCTGTTGCTGCAAATACTATATGTTCATATAAAAAACTAATTTTTCTTTCGAAATTGAATCTAAATCTTAAAAAGTAAAAATAAAAATGTAAGAATGAACACTAAGAAGATTATAATAAATACAGATGTAGATGACGAAGGTAGAGACTGTTTCTTCAAAAGTTGGGAGTTAAATTGACCTCTAAGTAATTAACCATTAAAACAGACTTCATTGTTCCTTAGAACTATGATAAAATTCTTCCTCGGATAACTGTAAATTCATCCCATAGAAGAACAGGCAGGTTGAAAAATCGGATAGAATTCCTAAAAATGGAGAAACAAAATCTTAATGGGGGAGGAAAAGACAGGAGGGAGGAGGCTCAGATCTTGCAAAAGAACACAGGCAATGGGACGGCGGCGCCGCCATGGCTGCAGAATCCGGTCACAGAGGATCCGGGCTTTCGCCTAGCCAAGATACGGGCCGCGAAATCCCAGCCCGACCCAACTCAAAGAAGAAACCATCATCACAGCCTCAGATTGATCGCACGCGCGTACCGAAACCGGCGGTTCGAACCGAAAGGTAATCATTGCAGAAAAAGGGTATGTTTGGTTTTGAATGAGTTCGTGTATGGATTGAATTGAAATGGATCTCGCAGAATATGTTCGATATCCTTCGAGCTCTTGCCGCCGACGCACAGCGACGCCGGTGAGATCCCGGCGACGGCGCGTCGCGGCGTAGAAGGGTTGTTGATTATTGGCGCAACGAAATTCATTGGCAGGCGGAGAGGGGCAACAACCCTTCGAAAAATTCCCGCAGAACTCTCCGCTGCGCTGCCTCTGAGTTGGGATTTGGGGAAAATTGAAGAACCCTAGCAAGCATTAAGTAGACGACGATCAAGGGCATTCTGGTCATAAAAAATGTACGGTCATAAAATTGAGAATTGTTGTAGATGAAGATGCGTTTGATTTTTTAAACTACAGAAAATTGATATTTTATTTAAATAAGAAATAAATCAAATTATAGAAATGTTTTGGACTGCGCTACTGAATAATGAATTATATTGGAGACTGTCTATTGGGCCTAAAAATTAAAATAGGCCCAAGTAATTCTGGCCCACCATGGCCCAACAATTCTGAGAACATCCCACTTTGCCAAATTGAAAAGCTCAGTAATTCCTCATCTAGGCGGACAATAAATGGTCCAAATATTTTTTTTATCCGTTCCTTGGATGTAAGTCAATTTCTAGGGTTCTTTTATGGCCTTTTTTTTTTTTTTTTTTTTTGAAATGATTGATTTCTGCGAAGTTCTAAGAGTTGGACAATTCCTTCTTCTATAACCGTGTTCAAATTTGTCAATTTCGAGGATTTTTAGATTTTATGTTTTGTTCATTCGTTACATTTGATTTTTGTCGATTGATATCCACGTCCTTTTGGGCATTTTTCTGTTCATCCCTGCCGTTGAAATTTAACTCAGAATTTATCAATTCCTGTGAAGTATTGGTGTGTTTGTCGAGGACTTTGGATTTTGAGTGTGGGATTTGAATAGCAAAAATTTTGAATTTGAATAGTTGTATAATATGATATAAATAGATGTTGATGTTATATTTTGAATGTAAAATTGATTTATAGTATAATATAAAAAATAAAAAATAAGTGTTCTGATTTGATATTTTTGGAGAAAAAAACTAGATGAATAGTATAAATCCAATCCAATCCCCAAAACAAACACACTTGATTCGCGATCTATGGTGTGTTTTTTCCATTAAAACCTTTGTCCTAACTCAAATCTTTACCCAAAACTTCTTTAATATTTGTGACCTATAATTCGTTGTCTTTCTTCGTTGACAAGAAACACAAAAATCAAATAAAAAGTAAGGCTCAGATATTTTAAACAGCGGTGAAGAGACGGCGGCGCCGCCATGGCTGCAGAACCCGGTCACAGAGGATCCGGGTTCGCCCGGCCAAGATACGGGTCGCATCATCCCCACCGACCCTACCCGGACCATATCATCATCACAGCCTTTGATTTGGGACGAATATATATATATATATATATATGCATACATGCAACAGGTTCTTCCTCTTATTCTTCTTCAGCTCGGCTCGGCTCGTGTAGGAACCGAAAAGAAAAAAAAAAAAAAAAAAATACAGACGCACACCGGACAAGTCCGGTGGCGTAGAAAGGGTTGTTGATAATCGATCGGAAGAATTTTCCGATGAGATGAGGGGCTGGGCATCATTTACAGGCGGAGAGGGGCAACAACCCTTAAAAAAATTCCCGCAGAGCTCTCCGCCGTGCTGCCTCAGAGACCGCCGAGTAGGGATTTGGGGAAGACGATTGAAGACCCTAGAAGGCACTAAATAACAAATACCAAGGGTAATTTGGTCAATTCCAGCGTAAGGGTTTTTTTACAGTATTTTTTTCGGAGACTGCATTAGGTTCGTTTGTTATTTCTGATAATCTAAAGACTAAAAATATAGAGCTCTTGTAGCTCAGTTGGTTAGAGCACCCGTTTAGTAAGCGGGAGGTCTTGAGTTCGACTCTCAACAAGAGCAGTTTCTTTTTTTTTTGCATCAAACAGTGGTTTTGGAGAGACAAAACTTCCAGATTTAGTTGAGTTTCCGCTCTTAAGAAGACCATTTTTCACTTTTTACCATTTTGCATCAATCTTAAACCTAATAGAGTTTTTAGAGACAAGGATTCTGAGGTCGAATTCACACGGGCTCAACGGATGATTTAACATTAGAGTTTTCAGAGACAAGAATCCGAGGTCGAATTCACACGGGCTCAACAGATGATTGAATCGTGTTCGACTCTCAACAAGGATCATTTTTTCTCTTTTACCATTTTGCATCAATGTGAAAGCTACAAAGAGTTTTCCGAGACACAAGAATTCGAAAATGAATTCATGGGGCCAAGAGATCATCAATAAACTCGAGAAACAATTAAGCAGCATGAGTTGCATCAATCTCAAGGCTACAAGAGTTTCAGAGAGACAAGAATTCGAGAAGGAATTCATGGGTTCAAGAGATCATCAAGAAACCCGAGAAAAAATTAAACAACATGGCGACAAGAAGCGCCTAATATTCAATCCCACCAATTTGTTTCTATTATAGACCAAAAATAAATCATATTCCCGCGCTTTAGTTCAAACATGCAAAGGGCATACAAGAACTAGTGTAGTGGCTTCAAAGTTCAAAGAGAGATGAACCCTTGTGGATCAGACGCCACAAAATTCAACCACTGTAATCAAATTCAATGTTTATACTAACAGTAATATCACACTCAAATTAACAAACTTCCGAGCAACCAACGATGCCAATCTACCTATAATAATCACCTCTAGACAAAACATAAATATCAATAGCAAGTAAAGATTCACAAATTTATTAACAACCAATGCAAAATAGTTCTATAGTTACGAGCAATATCAGTGTATCAAACATCAAAGCACATTATAGATAAGCATAACGACAATGAGTAGACTCAATACAAACAGTAGGAGAATCAAATCACCTCACAAGCACCATTTCATCAGTTTCGACCCAAAGGCAACGACCTACAAGCAAACGTTTCCTTGAAATCAGATTTCTTCGAGGATGTGAAAATCGACGCATAGATTTCCTTTGTTGCATTTGCCGGAGCTACAACAGCCGCCTTTAACTTCTTGCTCGATCCGTTGGCACTAGTTTTGACTCCATTCCCCTCAATCCCATGTTTTGTACCGGTTAGCCGTGCAACTTCTTCTCCATTGGCATCACCATTCTTAACCTTCTTCGACCTCTTGCCATTATCTTTAGCCTTCAATTTCTCCTCCTTCATCTTCTCCCACAGCTCCTTAACTTCATCCTCGCTCCCGTTAATCACCATTTTATCACTCTCGACAAATTCCTTGTGACAAACCAAGCAAGTGGACGACTTAATCTCCTTAAAGCCCTTAGCACTCAATACATGCCCGCAGGTTTTGATCATGAAGAACTTATTTTTTCCGTTGAACTCCAATCCGGTTATCGGGCACTGGAATCTCACATCAGCAACCTTCTTATCTCCGGGAATCTCCGACAGTTCCACCGGAATCATATCCTTCAATCCCTTGATGTACCCAAACGCCTTGGGAAGATTTTTTTTCAGCAAAGCTTCAACCAGAGCCTCCTTATTGAACAAATTCCCCAATTTATCGCTAACCACTGGATGCCTCAACGGCTCATTGGAAAGGCTACAATTGATGCATTTGGAGAGGCGCATTTCATTCGGATCGACCTTGTCCGGCTTCTTCTCCGCGTACATATTCAAATAACAGTCCCGTGACTCCGCCCCTGTAGCGCCTCCATCGCCGCCGCCTCCGAGGAGGCGGACGTGGAGAGTGAGGGTGGAGAGAGGAGCGATCGATGGATTCCGGAAGAGCGAGGTGGAGTCCGGTAGAAGCTTGCCATTAAGCGTGAAGAAAACGGAACTCTCTGGAATCGGAGAAGCCGAGGAACAAATCGAAGATTTCAGGCTGCGGAGGGTGAAACTAGGGTTAGGGTTTGGGAAAATTATGGCACGGGGAGGGAGTTGGAGATCGGGCGATTGAACGAAAATCTGGAAATTCCGAGAATTAGGCTTCATGTTTGTTGACGTTGACTGACCAGAGAGCTGGATTTCCGGCGAGACGAAGAAGAGAGATGGCGGAGACGAACAGCGCTTTAAGATCGGCGGAGAGTCTCGTAGATGGAGGTGATGACGAGACGCCTCCTGAAATAATAGATAACCGACTTATATTTAGACCCGACCCGAATGGCTAGTTATATGGACCGAATCGGGTCTTGAAGTCTCGGGCTAACCCGTTAAATATATATTTAATATTTACTTTTTTGTTTCAAAAAATCTTATTCAAATGTTTTCATGGTGTTTGTTTGGGGGTTTTGATTTTGGGTTGGAATTTGAATAATAAAAATTTTGAATTTGAATAATTGTATAATGTGATATAAATGGGTGTTGATGTGATGTTTAAATTTAAAATTGATTTTTAGTATAATATAAAAAAAAAAAAATAAATGTTTGATTTGATATTTTTGGGGAAAAAAAATTGGATGAATAGTTGGATTTAAATCCAATCCTCCAAACAAACACACTTTATATTGTTAAATGAAGCTAAAATCCAATGAAGCAATAAAACTTGATAAAGGTGTGTTTCCTAATGAGGTTTTAGGGTTTAAAACTTTAAAAACTTTTTATTATACCCAAAAACTTGATAAAGGTGTAATTTACTTCTAATTTTACTATTTAATTTTTTTTTTCTTCCAAAAATATCAAATCAAACATTCAATTTTTATTTATTTTATTATACTAAAATATAATTTTAGTGTCAAAGCATCACATCAGTACATATTTATATCACATCAAACAACTATTTCAATTCAAAGATTCAAAATCAAAACTAAAAACTAAACAAATATGAAGGGGAGTAAATACCCACAAAATGCTTTTCTTGATATTCCTCAATGTCCCGACTATTCATCAAAGTCAAATTCGGAGCATTTTTGGGAATCCTACAACAAGATTGGTTGGTTCTTTGTCTTACACACAAGAGGAACCATCACTTGATTTTTTTAATAATGTCATCAACATCATAGACTGTAAAATGATTCAATCATGATCAAGGAGGGAGAACACAAGAACAAAGCAGATGCAATTAATCACTTCAAATCCTTAAATTCATCAATCCGGAAAAATTCAGTTCACGAGTCAGTCAATTTTCCAAGAAGTTTCTTATACTAATGACGGCACAAAGATGTTCGACTAGCCACTAATGATAAAACCAAATCTTCGAAACGTTAAATGTAATTATATACATATGCAATTGGCTTTACATATCTTTTTAGCTAACTCTTTAGTCTAAATCATAAGATCATTCAAGTGTATTATCTTGAATCAAACCAGAATGTTCCCCAGCATTCTATCACTTGCAGACATTTTAAGATTGTAACAGAAAAAGAATTTAGTATGATAATCTATCTAGCCATTCTAGCCTTCTAGGATTGTAAAAAAAATGAATTTAGTGTAATAAAACTATTTAATCTGGAAAATGGCTGCACTGCAAATTCACGAACTGATTCTAAACAGAGAGGTTGAAGCTGTGAAAAACACAAAACTTTGAATCCATGAACACATAAAAGCTAACATCATAGAAATCAGAAATTCGAATCGAAGAAACAAATGTAAATTTGAATCAAAGCCAGAACACATAAAAGCTAACATCTCAGAGTTCAGCAAACAGAATAACCTTGAAAATTAAAAGTTAAAGACATTCAGGCAGAGAGTATTACTTGAGGCAAAACCCTAGAAATTAACTAACTCACAGACGCCGACGCTATCAGCATCGAAGAATAAACAAATAAACACACAGATCGTTACTTGAAAAAATATATATCCAATTGTACGATTAAACCAACCCTAAAACCTCACAGAAATCGATCAAACAGGAGAAAAAAAAAAAAAATTTGGACCATTTCTCGATTTATGCGTGTCATCCTTGCGCAGGGGCCATGCTAATCTTCTCTGTATCGTTCCAATTTTATCGGATGTCCCCGAAGGGACGAACAGCATTGCTTGTCCGCCATAGAAGAAAGACTACTGAGCTTTTCAATTTGGCAGTGTGGGATGTTGTCAGAATTGTTGGGCCTATAGTGGGCCAGAATTACTTGGGCCTATATTCATTTAAGGCTCAGTAAACGTCCTCAGAATAATTCATTATTTCCTTAGAAAATTTCTGAATTTATTTTTTTTTTTGCACATATATAATTCAACAACTAAAGCTTCAGAGAATAAATAGAATTTATGATTTATTATTATTATTTATTAATTTTTAAGCAAGCAGATGGAACTAATTTAAAGCAACCATTGATGGTAAGAGTAGTCAATATCAGAATGGGTCCGCACTCTTCAAGGCATGGGTTGGAATTATTTCAGAATGGTCCTCCTAAATATCCCAATCCTTATTAGTGCACCCCCAACTTCCAATTGTTAGCAGTTAGTCCCCGCCCCACCTCCCCGGCCAGATATAATTACGCCAATAGTACAATTCAATATTGGCCACAAACCTCACCTTTCGCTTTTCCTTTTTTTTTTTTTTTTTTTTTCATAATAGTACCTATCTCTATTAAGTGATAAGTAATTAAGACCATCTCCAACCCTCCATTTCATTTTTTTATTTGCTATAGTAAAAATATAGTTGATTTATAGTAATTTTACTCCAAACATAAATTTCAATTTTTACTCTAAAAAGTATATTCTCTATATATTTCTCTTTTATATTATTTTATATAACTTTTCATATTTATAAATTACACCCCAACTTTAATTTATTTTTACATTAGATCCATACACATATAATTTATAAATTATTTAAAAATTATATATTACTTTCCAAAAATTAAAATTATATCACTTTTAAAAAATAAAATTATACATTATTTTTCAAAAAAAATAAAATTACATACAATTTTTTAAAATATAAAATTATATATCATCTAAAAGTATTTTAAAAAATTTAATTAAAAAGTAAAGTAAATGAAGAGATAAAATGTAATAAGATTAGTGATATTTGTTGTAAATAAATGTTGAATAAAAAGTAATAATTAAATATTAGATTTGTTGACTTTGCGAAAATTAGTAATAAGATAAATTTAGTGAACAAATTAAAAAGAAGAGTGAAAATAAATTTGGCGGACCGAAAGAGTAATTATAATAATAATAATAAAAATAGTATATTTTTGTTATGATTTCATGCACGTTTTATTTTATTTTTTTCAATGATCAAATATGATTTTGTGGTTGCATACTTTGAATTTTAATTTATTAGAACTCATAATTTATGGTTACGAAAGCTCATTGGCTTATTTAATTCATTGTAACATGTTTTATTCGACTCTTTAAATGTTTGAATTTTCTTTTCTATTCTTTTAAATATTTAGATTTTAGTAAAAAAAATTTCTTATAAATTGAATTATGGATTTTATTTTAGCTTTTTTTTTTTTTTTTGGGACCAAGTGTGTGCCTCGTGGCGTTATAATATCATTAAATTTCTATGGCCAAAACACGATCATGTCTTATCACTGTCATGGATGGCCCTTTGTGAATTTGACTTTTTTCTCCAACGTTTATATTATTTATTTATTTCATGATGTAAAATATAATGTAAATAGTAAATTATTTTTAATTACATCATTAAGGTAATATTAAAATACTGTGTGTTACAACCCAATTTTTAGATTTAAGGCTTTTATATATATATAATCTTTATGATTATTATTATTTTGTTATGATACAACTTTTTAGCTGGTATAATTTTGATAATTTTATTATTTTTTATTTATTTTTAGAATTTTACTGTTATGTTTTGTTTGTGATGAAATTATAAATTGGATCGATTATGGTAGACATAGCTACTAATTCTCATTTCTTTCGCTACCAACGTCGGTGCGTGGCAGCTGCAGTCTGATTTTCTGCACGATTCTTTTACGTGTTATATATTATTCTTGATTTTTTCGCTTCATAGTATGACTCTTAATATGGATCGTGTAGACGCTTCCGGGATTACTGTTATTCTTTCTGGTGATAATTATGATTTGTGAGCTGAATCCATGAAGAGTTTCTTGATTGGTAAAAGATTATGGCGCCATGTTACTGACGACTTTTCTGCACCGGTTGCTCCGGTTGTCACTTCTACGGCGCCCTTCAACAATAAGGATCTCACGGACTATCAGAATGCCTTGGGTGAGTTGAATAGTAAGAACCACATAATTCTTACTTGGATTCGGAATACCTCTTCCAAGTCCATTCAGATTCAACTTCGCCGCATGGACACTGCCAAGAAAGCTTGGGGTTATTTGCAACATTGATATCAGGCCACTAGAGGTATGCATTATTATCAACTTATAGGTCCTTGAATGCACTGACACGACTTGCACCAAGATATGAATGAGTTCCTCTCTACTATACAATCTTTGTGGGATCGCATTGATGAGACCGACATACAGGTTGAGCACTTTCGGTTGATCCAGCTCTTGATGAAGCTTGGTCCAAAATATGAGTCTGTGCTTGCTTCCTTGTTTAATCGTCATCCCTCGCCTTCCTTGGAGACAGCGATGAAGGAGATTTTGTTTGAGGACACCCGCCTGAAAATGCTCAAGGCTCCTACTCTTGATTCGGCCTTGGCAGTTCCCTCTTCCACTCCTCATCGCATAGATAATCGCAAGGATGCCCGACCACCGCAGTTTGATAAATGTCGCAGTTGCCCGAATGTTGATTATCTTTATATCTATTGCCCTAAGGTTGAGTGTCACTACTGTCATCAGAAAGGCCACATCCGTCCTCAATGTCCCAAGAATCCCAAGGCTTGTCAATCCTCTTCCGGCTCTTTCTCTACCATTGTTGCTGCCACTAGCTTATCACAGTCGCTTCAACCGTCTCCCACTCTTGAGGACCTAAGTCACATGCTCACTCAGGTTTTATCAATTCATCATTCATTAGCCTCGACATCAGATAACAATACATGGTATATTGATTCATTCTGTTGTAACCACATGACACCTGACCCTCGCCTTTTACATTTCTCCCAACCCGTCACCTCATCCTCTCCTATACTTATCGCTGATGGCACCTCCATGTGCATTACCCATACTTGCCAAATTAGCCCTAAACCTTGCGTCTGTTGGTTATTTGGTTGAGCAGAATTTTACTATAATTTTCTTTTCTTCTAGTGTGCAGGTTCAGGACACGCAGACGGGTCAAATACTTTGGACGGGTCGCAAGACAAGCCGCCTATTTGAGCTTGACCACCTTTGCCCTCGCCAGACACCATCTCTTTCCGTTGTAGTCTCTTCTTCCTCTTCCTCTTCCTATTATTGGCACCTCAGACTTGGTTATGTCTCCCTATCTAAACTCAAGTCTCTTGAAAATACAGATGTTTTAAGCACAATTCGTTTTGAGTCTTGTGATTGCTTGCATCATAAAATTGGAAAACAACAAGATTTACCTTTTTTGAATAACTTGTCTATTGCTGATAAACCTTTTTTGTTAGTACATTCTGACATTTGGGGGCCCTCTCCTATTGCTACTCTTACTGGGTTTCATTATTTTGTGCTTTTTATTGATGATTACTTTCGCTTTACTTGGGTTTACTTTGCGTAAGCAGTCTGAACTTGCTTCCATTTACTCTGCATTTGTTAAAATAATGCAAACTCAATTCTTGTGTCCTATTCAAACTCTTTGCACTAACAATGCCCTCGAATATAATGATTCTATCTTTCTTAGTTTTTTGTCCACCAAATGTACTCTTGTCCAGCGTTCTTGTCTCTACACATCTCAACAAAATGGTAGGACAGAGCGCAAGCATCGTTATATTTTAGACACAGTTCGAGCCATGCTGTTATCTGCCAGTTGTCCAGATCGGTTCTGGGGCGAGGCTGCTCTTACTGTTGTTTATAATATTAACCGCTTACCCTCCTCTGTCCTTCAGAATATTATACTTTTTGAGAGGCTCTTTAGCCAGGTACCTGATTACTCTCATCTTGTGTCAGCTTTGTTCATCTTTCTCCTCATAAAAGTAACAAATTAGAACCACGCACCCGTCTGTGTTGTTTTCTTTGGTATGGGATAGAACATAAAGGTTATCGATATTGAGATCCTGTGTCGAATCGTCTACATATCTCTCGGGATGTTACTTTTTGGGAACATAAGTTCTTTACCTTTGAGTTTAAATTTTCCATTCCCTTTGAGTCAGAGTCCCCGTTCTTTGTTCTGGATTCCTTTCCTCCTCCTGCAGGTCCCGAATCCCGTATGTTCATGTTCTGGATTCCTCTCATCTTTCTGCAGGTCCCGAACCCCCGTCCGTTCCTGTTTTGATTCCTCTCCTCCTCCTGCAGGTCCTGAACCCCCGTCCATTCCTGCTGGTTTGTCTGATGCTGATCCTTCCCCACCAGTTGACCCTCCTGCGTCTCCTGAGCCTGTGCCCGACCCTCAGGAAATCTTAGTTCCTGCCGCCACTGATCGGCGACACACCCGTGTAAGTCGTCCTCCCTCTCATCTACTTGATTATCATTTTTGTCATTTTATCTCACCATGAACCCAGGACCTTTCGTGAGGCGAACTGTGATTTCTTGTGGCGCGACGCTATGTCTAAGGAATTGCATGCTCTTGAGAAAATCGGCACATAGGATATCGTCAATCTCCCTCCTGGCAATAAACCTATTAGCTGCAAGTGAGTGTACAAAATCAAAATTCACTCCGATGGTTCTGTTGAGTGCTACAAGGTTCGCCTTGTAGCCAGGGGTATTTCACAGGAGTATGGTATTGATTATGAGGAGACATTTGCACGAGTTGCTCGTTTGACATATGTCCGTTGTCTCCTTGTTTTTGCCGCTGTTCAACGTTGGAAATTATTACAGTTGGATGTGAAGAATGCGTTTCTTCATGGAGATTTATCTGAGGAAATCTACATGACCCCTCCACCTGGCTCAGATTTTTCAAGGAAGGTATGTCAGTTGCCGTGCCTTTTATGGACTGAAGCAGGCGCCCCGAGCTTAGTTCGCCAAGTTTAGTGCTGCGCTCTTTCAGTATGGCTTTTCTGCATCTCCCTATGACTCTGATCTCTTTATTCGTCGTTCTCCTACCGGGATCATTATTCTCTTGTTGTATGTGGATGACATGGTTATTACCGGCGGTGATACTTCTGGTATATCCGATCTACAGACTTACCTTCATCGACACTTTGACATGAAGAGTCTTGGTCAGCTCCACTATTTTCTTTGACTTGAGATTTTTATGCTCCAGATAGCATATTTCTATCTCAGACGGAATATGCATCTGATCTCATATCTCGTTCATGTCTGACTGATAGCCAGATTGCATCCACCTCTGTCTCGGGGAACTGCCGACTTGCTCATTTCGACGGCACTCCACTAGAGGATCCCTCCCGCTATCGGCAGTTAGTGGGATCCCTGATATACTTGACGGTGACTCGCCCTGACATAGCTCATGCAGTTTATGTTGTTGCTCAGTTCATGACTAATCCCCGGACAGTTCACTATGCTGTTGTGTTGTGCATCTTTCGTTATGTCAAGGGAACACTACTACAGGGTCTTCATTTTTTTGCCAACTCTCCATTGGTTCTTACAAGTTTCTCTGATGCTGATTGGGCAGGTGATCCAACTGATCATCGCTATATCACAGATTATTGTTTTTTTTCTTGGGAGTTCCCTTGTTTTTTGGCGCAACAAGAAACAAACTCTCGTTTCTCGCTCTAATGCAGAGTCTGAGTATCGTGCTCTTTGGCTTCGTCGGCTTCTTTCTGATCTCGGGGTTCCTCAGCATTCTTCCATTTCCCTCCATTGTGACAGCACGAACGCAATTCAGATCTCCCATAATGATGTCTTTCACAAGCGCACCAAACATATTGAGATTGATTGTTACTTTGTTCGTCAGCATGTTCGTGTAGGCACTGTTCATCTATCTTCTATCTCTTTTGAGGATTTGACTGCGGATATCTTCACCAAGTCTCTCTTCTCATACCGATTCTCTACATTGTTGGGCAAATTCAAGTTGATTTCTACTTTACCACCATATTTTTTTATATATTGTTATTTAGGACCCACGTATGTATACACTCTCTTTTTAAGTTATAATAGAATTTCTATTTTATATAAATATTCAAACATCTGTTATCCAAATTTATGCTATTTTATTTTTTAATTGTCATCAATAAATATTTTTTTTAGTAAAAAAATATATTAATATTTTTATATTTTTTACTATAAAAAATAAAAAATTAACAAATTATTCAAACCATCGTCAAATTATAGAGCATTTAAAAATCTACAAATAAAAATAGGCCAACATTATTCATTTCATCAAAAGTAAGCGCTACATGAAAATTTTTGGAAAATTTTAGAACTATTGTTGTTATCATTATTATTATTTTATTATTATTATTATTATTTTGGTTTAAATATTAGGTTGGATGTTAAATTATGTGAGATGAAATGGTGTATTTTTAATAAAAATTGCATAATTAAAAAGAAAAAAAAGCATCAAATAAGCATATATATTTTTCAAAAATATTAATATATCATATATATTTATTATTTTTATATTTCGTATAAATCATCTTCCAAAACAAACATATTGTAATTTTATATGGAAAATATGATATGACATCTTATTAAAGAATCACAATGAAATTATTATTCAAACTAAATTTTAAATTCAAAACACAAAATCAAACAAGTTTAAGTTGTGTGTTCTTGTATCAAACTTCAGTTAATACTCCATCCATTTTAGATAATTTCTCAATTGTTTCTATTTTCATATGTTCCATATAATTTGTTTTTTATTTTTTATTTTTATTTATAATTATTTTTACTGATATATTTTATAATTACTTACTAATTACATAATACCTAAAACTGTGCTCTTGCTAAAATAGATAAATTAGTTGAGATGGAGATAGTATTTATTATTAATCACATTTTTTCTTTCCAAAAATATAAAATAAAATACTTATTTTTTATATTTTATATTATACTTTAAAAAAATATCACAATCATACAATTATTAAATTCAAAATTTTTACTATGCAAATTCCAAATTAAAATTCAAACCTCCAAACAAACAGTTGTACGAATGAATCTTACTTGTGGTATTGTGATGCAAACAATAATGTAATATATATTACTTTTGAAGAAAAATATACATTAAAAAAAAAAAAAAAACTCGTGAACAAATTCTTGAAAGGAATGAACGATTGCCTTGTACATACAAGAATCTTTAAAATATTAATTTATTTTTTTTAAATAATAAAAATTTACATAAACGAACCGAGCCAAATGATGACATGAGAGGTGATGAAATCAAACAACTAATTCTTGAAGGGTACGTTTGTTTGGGGGTTTGGATTTTGAGTTGGGATTTGAATAGTAAAAATTTTGAATTTGAATAGTTGTATGATGTGATATAAATAGGTGTTGATGTGATGTTTTGAATGTAAAATTGATTTTTAGTATAATATAAACAATGAAAATAGGTGTTTGATTTGATGTTTTTGGGGGGAAAAAATGGGATGAATAGTAATATTTTGTGTAAGTCCTACAAACGAACACACCCGAAATGAATGAGAAATTGAATTTTTTCAAAAATAATTTATTTTTTAAAAAAATAAAAAAATTGACATTTTGTATAATATTCCTTCCGTCCCGGATATTTTGTTTGTTTACGGTAAACACGAGAATTTAAGAGAGAGTATAATTAATAAATAATTAAAAATATATTAGTAAAAATAATTATCATATAATAAAAATAATTATAAATTAAAATTAAGATAGTTAATTAGTATAATTAAATTTAAAAAAAAATTATAAATTAAATTATTTAAAATAAAATTAAAACGTATAATTCTTTTAAATAAATAAGACTAACGAAAATAAAAAAATAGACATGAGAAGTAGCATTGAATGAATTTTTTTTTATTATTTTTAATTTATGTTTAGTTATGAATATAAACAGAGATAAATAAAAACAGGGGCAGGCAATCAAGGAAGATAAGCTTTATTCTCCGAAAAACAAATGCCATTCTGCAACGTGGCCAAGACACAATCCAACTAACTAAAACTCCTCCTCGAATTACTGCACCAGACTCGAACAAACAACCAAACAAATCACAGAAGATTGATTCCATGGCATCTTCCAAATTCTCACATCTCTACTCTACTTCTGCAGTCAAATACTTCCCTTTTTCTCTATATTTTTAATTTCCTGAAATTAATGTGGCTCAGCTTTCTTCACCACAACGACAAATACTGTTGCTTGTCAGACATCTGTATTTATTCAGACAAGAGAACCCTCGAGAGACGGGTATCGTCGTACAAAGCTGCTGCTGCTGCTGTTGGTTCGGAATTGCAGTGCAAAATACACAGCACAGCACACCTTGAGGGTTTGCCATGGCCGGGAGTGGAGTTTTCGCTGAGATAATCGATGGGGATGTGTTCAAGTACTACGCTGATGGAGAATGGAAGAAGTCCTCTTCTGGTAAGGCCGTTAACATCGTCAATCCTACGACGAGGAAGACTCAGTACAAGGTTCAAGGTAATCGATCAATCCCCTTTCGATTGTCGTCATGAATTGTGTTTCTATTTTATCCCCGCAAGGTGTTTGTGAAAATTCCCCAAAGGAAATGTGATCTTTAGCTCTGTGAAGTGATCCGTGTGGTTTGGACGGCCACGATTTACTTTAATTTGATTTTTGTATGCTACATCGAATTTAGATTAGATATATGAATGATGAATTCTCGATAATTGTTGGTTGATTCTTGTTGAATAATTTAGCAGAATGCTTTCGGAATTGTTATTGGTAGAGTTTTGAGATTTTAAGGTTGGAGGAAAATGTGATTATCTAAAGTTCAAACATGGCTGTGTCTTGTCCGATCAGCTTGTACTCAAGAAGAGGTTAACAAAGCCATGGAAATAGCTAAAGCCGCACAGAAATTATGGGCGAAAACTCCACTGTGGAAGCGTGCAGAACTTCTTCACAAAGCTGCCGCCATTCTTAAAGAGCACAAAGCTCCAATAGCCGAGGCTTTAGTGAAGGAAATCGCCAAACCGGCTAAAGATTCCGTCACCGAGGTAGAATTTGAATTTTCTCGTTCGATCATTTGCTCGTTAGACGATACAATTGTGGAGATCTTTGTGTTCTTTTAGCGTAATTTAGAAATGTGGCGTCGTTCAGGTTGTTAGGTCGGGCGATCTGGTTTCTTATTGCGCCGAAGAAGGGGTTCGAATTTTGGGGGAAGGCAAGTTCCTTTTGTCGGATAGTTTTCCGGGGAATGAAAGAACAAAGTATTGTCTCACTTCCAAGGTTCACAAAGAGCAAATCTTTATAACTCTGTTTCCGGTTTTCTGATTAGTTTCTTACAAAAGCATAATATCTGTTGATTCGGCATTGTTCTAAAATTTTCAGATTCCGTTGGGCGTTGTTCTAGCCATTCCTCCTTTTAACTATCCCGTCAATCTTGCTGTCTCCAAAATCGCCCCGGCTCTCATCGCTGGAAACTCTCTCGTCCTCAAGCCTCCGACTCAGGTATATGTCAGATCGATTGTTGGTTGTTGTGATTGGATGGATGGAATATTTTTTCTAGAATTAATTGCTCGATTCGACGAACAGGGTGCTGTTTCTTGTCTTCATATGGTACACTGCTTTCACTTGGCCGGTTTCCCAAAAGGACTCATCAGCTGCATCACCGGAAAAGGATCCGAGATCGGCGATTTTCTTACGATGCATCCCGGAGTGAATTGCATAAGGTATATATATATATATACATATACATATACACGTGCTGATTGGGTTGCGCCGATATCGAATTTCTTTTACGTGACGCGCGGTTTCGGTCAGTTTCACAGGTGGCGACACCGGGATCGCAATTTCGAAGAAAGCCGGGATGATTCCTCTGCAAATGGAGCTCGGAGGAAAGGACGCGTGCATCGTGCTCGAGGACGCCGATCTGGATCTCGTAGCGGCGAACATCATCAAAGGAGGATTCTCTTACAGGTAACAACCGTCATACTCTTGAGTCGACGACAAATGTTTTGACATTGCTCGGCATTTTACGACAGCGGCCAGAGGTGCACGGCGGTGAAGGTGGTCCTCGTCATGGAATCGGTGGCTGATGCGCTCGTCGAGAAAGTGAAGTCGAAAGTCGCTAAATTGACGGTGGGCCCGCCGGAGGACGACTGCGACATAACTCCGGTGGTCTCCGAATCGTCGGCGAACTTCATCGAGGGTCTGGTGACGGATGCAAAAGAAAAAGGTGCTACGTTTTGCCAAGAGTATAAAAGGGACGGGAATCTCATCTGGCCGTTGCTGCTCGACAACGTCCGACCCGACATGAGAATCGCGTGGGAAGAACCGTTCGGGCCCGTCCTCCCGGTGATTCGAATCGGGTCTGTCGAGGAAGGCATTCATCACTGCAACGCGAGCAACTTCGGGCTACAGGTAAAGTTTTTATCGAACTCGATCGGTTCGACTGATGAAATCTGACAAAATCGAACGTTTTCTCAGGGCTGCGTCTTCACGAAAGACGTGAATAAGGCGATTCTGATCAGCGACGCGATGGAGACGGGGACGGTTCAGATCAACTCGGCCCCAGCTCGCGGCCCCGATCATTTTCCTTTTCAGGTAACTCGGGTTGCTCTTGCAATCGAATATTAGATCAATGTGTTTGTGTTAAAATATATTTACAAAATGAGAAAGGTTAGGGGTGCTGAATTTGAAAAATCAGCACCATTCTCATTCTTCAAAACAGCACACATAAAATATAGAAACCACACACTGTCTTTATTATATACAATATGTGTTGTTAGTTCATAATTATAGCTTATGAGACTATGTCATGTGCTGAAATAAAGTAGTGTATGTGTTGTGTTAGACTATATCATAGGTACTGTATATATATTATATTAAAGTATATTGTATGTTGTTTATGGTAACATGGTGTGCTATTAAGTATAGTGTTGAATTTAACCCCGCCGCCTTAAAGAATATATATTATATTTACGGTAGTTATAGATTCTTGGTCAGATGATTTATATATTATTATAAATATATACAAAGTTGTTATAATTGAAATAGAGAATTTCAATTTTTTATTCTAAGAATATGTTCGTGTAGGGTATAAAGGACAGCGGAATCGGGTCGCAAGGTATTACGAATAGTATTAATATGATGACGAAGGTTAAAAGCACCGTGATCAACCTGCCGACCCCGACGTATAACATGGGCTGAGAAGAGAAGATTTATATGTATGGAGAGGCTTGTTGAAAGAGGTCTTTTTAGCATGAATAAAATGTTTGGATTTATATATATATTTATTTTATGTATTTATTTATGTATGTATGTATTTGGGCTTTCATGTAGTAACTGATTAATGGATTTTTGGATATGCTTTTTTTTGTTTTAATGTAGAATATTACATTAAATTATATATATAAAAAAAAGATATAACATCTCATCGTGTTATAATGTTTTATAAAAAAATTAGAGTTTGTAGAAATTTATACAAAACTCGTGTATATAAAAATATAATCCAAATCTTAAATAAAAATATATTATTTTATTTCGTATAATATTAAATCAAAATACATATAATAAATCACAGGGCCACGTCAATGTTGAAAGTAAGACTTTCTAATCTCTTTAGATTCCTCTAAATTAATTAAAGAATAAAAAATTAAGCTAACCATACAAGTATTTAATTATAATTTATAAAGGATAAAAATATTAATTAGTTTATTCTAAGAATCTGCTGCCTTCCAAAAATATCTTGGTTATTTATTGCTAATATTATTAACAATAAATAAATAAATAAATATCATAATATCATATAGAAATGCCCATACACCATATATACATACATTTGTTTACTGCAAGTTTTAAATTTTTTTCGATGAGAAGGTCTATAAAGAGTTGACTTAAACCCACATGTGAAATAATAATAATAATAATAATAATAACATAAATGGTGAATTACAGATATAATAGCTGTATTTTAAAGTTAATATTCCTTCCGTTCTGCAATAAGGTTGCCATTGATTTTTTGCGTATTGATATTTGAATATTAATTATAATATAAATACGTAGTACAAATTAAAAAAAAAAACAAAAATATGTTTATTAGTCTCTTATAATACATATATAATGATATTTTGTCGAGTAAATTATTCAAATATAATAAAATTTTTAATGTTAAGTACAATGACGCAAAAACCAAATGACAACCTTCCTGCGGGACGGAGGGAGTACATGAAATATTGAATATAAATATTTACAAGGTGTTAGTTGAAATAGTACAACGAATTTGTGTGACAAATATAGTTTATTTAATGTAATTTATTTTGCAAGCTATTAGATTTGATCGAAATTTATTTGAGCATTGCAAAGGCGATTATAAATTTTTATGTTTAAAAATATATATATATTTAAAAATATTTATAACATGAAAATCCAATTTTAGGCCTATCGGGACCAATGGAAAACTATGTGAAGTCCAGGTCTATAAAGTCGGGCTTTGCCCGAGCTATTTCTTTAAAATTTAAAAATATTTTAAATACCCAAACATTTTGCTACAACATTCACATATTTATCATGGTTTGTTAGGTCGTAATTTGAAACGAGTTTGAATTTTTATTTAAATAATATTTTTATGTAATGTTTGTACAAAAAATAATACATTTTTCGTTCTATTGGAAAAGTGACATTTGCTTTTTGCACGTAGATTTTTGAATATTAGTATTATATTGGATTGTAATAAAAAAGACAAAAATACCCCTATCAGTATGATGCAATATGAAAGTAATGACATTTATGTAATATAATGTAAGTTGAAAGAGTATTTATTATGTTAGGTAGGTAGTACAATTACTAAATTAGGAAATGATAACCTTCTTTTTGGACGGACGAAAATAGAAAATGGTAACCTTTCGATGAGACATAGAGAGTATATTTTTATTAAAAATATAATGAATAATGTTGATTTACCATATGTAATAACTAATCTTACCTCTAAAACATCATTTTTTAAAAAAAAGAAAAAAAAAAAAAAAAGATCGATTGTGAAATTTTAATTTTGTATTTGAATTTTGAATAATAAAATTCAAAATCAAAATAATTGTTTAATAATTGATATGATATAAATACATGTTATATTTTAAATACTTCCTTCGTCCCGGAACTAAATATTCATTTGCTTTTTGTACGTAGTTTTAGAAATATTAGTATTATATTGAAATATAGTAGGAATAAAATAGAAATAACTAAAATAACCTTATTAGAATGTGTTATAACATGTATTATATATATTATATGATCATATACTCTCAATTTTTGTAATATTATTATTATATTATATTAATATGTGACATATGCTGAAAAAAAATTACATACTCTATAAAGTATTTATGTTATACTATTAATACTCCCCCGTTTCATATACCGTATCTGCTACACTATAGACACGATATTTTAGAAGGAGTGTAATTAGTAAATAATTAAGAATGCATTAATGAAAATAATTATCTTATAATATAAATAATTATAAATTAATATTAAGATAACTAATTAGTTTAATTAAAATTAAAAAAATAAATTAAAAAATTTAAAATGAAATTAAAGTAGGTAATCATTTTCAAAGAAAAAAAATGACATGAAATGTGTGACCGACAAAAACGACATCCTGGATATGATATGTAAAACGTAGGGAGTATAAATTATTGTGATAATATTAATTATGATATATCCTATATGTACTCTACCGTATTCTAATTAAAGTTATTATTATTATTATTATGCAATGAATGAAGCCCTAAAACAGAAAGTTCCACACACACACATACATGTCCACATTGTACTAATTCATACAACTGCTGCACTATATATATTTATTGCAAATAATTAATAAATAATTAATAATAGTACTAATTAATACTCCCTCCGTCGGGACTCGATATTTTAGATAATGTAAGTTATTAAATTTTTAATAATAAATTAAAATAATATTTTATTTTATTTTATATGTTTAATATTGTTGGTATTTTAAATATTTTTAAAATTATATCTCTATAAAATATATGCAATATGTATATTATTTTGTAGAGAATAAAATTTTATATAATACAAATGGATAGAAAAATATATTTATTTATTTATCTTTATCATTATCGTAAATTAGTTTTATAAAAAATGAGGAGTTTTAAAGGTAGATAAAAATATTTGTTAATTGAGGAGAGAGATAGAAATAAAAAGATTTTGAGTGGGTCCTACATTAAAGATGTCAGAAGTTTAATTAAATTGATTTATATTTGTTAAATATGTTTAAGATTGATAAAATTACCAGAAATAAAAGGGATCATCTTTTGTGCGACGTACCAAAATAAAAATGGGATCATCTGTGCGGGGGCGGAGGGAGTAATATTATTTAATTTATTTATTTATTTATAATTAAAAGAGAGTAAGAAACATTGTATGAATATAATGAGAAAAATTCCTTTGTCGGCCCTTCTCACTGCAAAACAGATTTTGGATCATCGTTGATATTCTTACGTAATTAATTATTTAATTAATTAATTAATACTCTTCCCTTCCTAATTATTTTAATATTTTTTGTTTCGATATGAATCTTTATGTGGACATTTTTGGAAACCAAATTCACTTGTTTTTATAAATTGTATTTAAAAAATAAGATGAAAAAATAAATATGTTATGTGTAAATAAATAAAAAATCATAAATTTTTTTGAGACATCCCAATTAAAAATAAAAAATTTAAAGTATGTAGTCCTATATACATGTATATGTATGTATAGCTTGTCTGTTAGGTATGTGTATCAGAATATTATTGCACTTATTTAATGTATCTGTTATGTTTGGAAATAATATATATATATATATATATAATATTTTCACAAATATATAAATGTTTATTATTAGAAATAATTTGATTAAACAAACATGTCCTATATTCAAAATTATCTTTTGCATGGGAAACAAACTAAATAACTGTATATACATACATATGTATAAGTATATGTATTGTATATTAGCTGTCTGTATATTACCTATGAAGAATATTCAATTAGATAGATATACTAAAGTATTTAATTTATATAATTGGTAAAATATACTCCCTCCGTCCTAAGAAGAAGTATCCATTTGCTTTTTGTATGTAATTTTAGAAATATTAGTATTATATTAAAATATAGTAGGAATAAAGTAGAAATGACTAAAATAATCTTATTAGTATTTGTGATATAAAAGTAATGACATTTGTGTAATATATTGTAAATTGTAAGGGTATTTGTAATCTTAGTAGGTAGTACAGTCACTAAAAAAGGAAATTGATATTTTGTTATGAGACAGACTAAAATGGAAAAATAAATACTTTGTTATGGGACAGAGAGAGTATATACATTGTAGGTTGGAAAAATTAATTTAATTTAATTATTGATGTCACAATTATGAATTATCAACCATGATTCTCTCGTCAAAGCAAAGCAAATCAAATCAATCCAAATCAAAATACTTCTCAAAGTGTCACACATAAGTTACTCTTAATTTTTTACTATAATATATTTATTTTTTAAATTATATAGCAAAAAATAATTATAAAAATATAAAAATTTAGGTATACAATAAGTTTTGTTACCGAAATTTTCCATTTATTATTTTTATTATTGAAAATACCAAAATTTTGGTATAGTATAATACAATATCAAAGTTTTTGATACTATAACGATATATGATTTGATATTTTTAGTATTCAAAATATCGTCATATACCGATAATTAACTGTATTATATCAAGATTATTATTTTAATTTTACTATTTGGATATAAAATTATCAATTTGGTATCAATATATATATATATTTGTTATATTGATTTTTTTGGTAATTAATTCCCCTTTGTTCTAATGTTGGTTCCGCAGCTGTATATTATGTATGAGATTAAGAATAGATAAGTATAGTTAAAGTTTGTCGGATGTGACTATTTAACATCTATATAATACTCCATTCATCCTACATAGGATGAAATATTTAAATTTAGGTGAATAGTATTAAGTAGAATAAATTGAGAATAAGTAATATAATAAGAGATAAAAATGAATATTTAATATTTTTTATTCGAGTTATGTGATGAAAAAAAAATATAATTAATTATTTTTTATTTTTAAAATATTGATACGTGTTAGACAAACAAAAACAAAAAAATATTTTCTTGTAAATGATGGCCTGGTGGTGTAGGGGTTGGATTTGTGACCGTGAGATCATGGGTTTAAACCGTGCACACTTTCGGGTAGCGGCTGCGGTTTCATAACATAAGGTTTAAAGTAGACTTTAAGTTTTTAGTAGATTAGAGAGCAGTTTAAAGTTTTAAAACCAACATATATTA